TACAGACGTTTTGTAAAAAACGACACTGTTCTAACAGAATCTTTTGCAATTTTATAAAGGAATTCTATTTTGAATAGATTCGATGGATGAGAATACTTTCCCGAGTCAGCGGATGAATTTATCCGTCGGCTGAAATTATTTGGAACCTAATGGCTTTTCTGCTCAAGCGGTAAAATACTATGGTGTGCTTCTTAGCCAATCCAGTCCATCTAGATGAAGTTCAAACTGCCAGTATACAGCAATGGATGCAATCCCGCTAATCCGCATTTGGACTAGTAACTATCATGACTTCCTTTAAGTTTCTTCGCTCATTCCGTGACTGGAGCCACTGGCAGCCAATCAGGTACCGCAAAATTTTGACGGGAACTGAGCTTTACATAACTTCAATCCCATCTCTCTGCGTTTCGAGTCTCCAAATTTAATCAGGAGATCACTCACGCGCAAAAATGCCTCCTCATGATGATCAGCTCCACAGGAATAAGAGGAGGAAGGTGGATTCTGCGCAGGAAAATGAAGCCTCTACGGACATAACGTCTCACGGGCAACTACGCAATCTTTTAACCTTCCAACAGAATGTCAATGAGGTCAAACAAGGTCAGTACGCTATTACCATTTTGTATGTTCTGTGTAGAACCATACTCATCTAGTAACACTAGGCATCAGGAAATTCAAAGAGTTTCTTCTCGCGACTGGGCAAGTTGAGAACGAGGGCGAAAAAGCCAAGAAATTCCGTATCCTCAAAGCCTATTGCGACTCGCAGATCTCGCATGAAGAGGAGCCTTCTTGCTTTCCAGATCTAATTCAAACTTGGAATTTTGCAGATAGTAACAATAATGAGTCCTTGCTGACTGTGGTCCCGTCCGTTTTGGCTCTTTTTATTAAGACGGTATCTACTAACCTGGATTTCCGGGACTTTGGATTGGCTCTATGCAAGTTTTTGCTGAAAAAGGAACAACTCAGGTTTTTTAACCGCGGCTTGACAGCAACGAAATCCAAGGAGCATTTGATCTCACCCTGTCTTCGTCTCCTTACTGAAATCGTCAGCTTTGACGGAGGTGCTGTTGCACGGCATGTCTACGCTGTGCGGTATATCACTTTTAAACGCATAGAAGTGTTTTTAACTCCGAACAAATCTCAATTAGAGGAGGCTTCAGACGACAGTCAGAAGTCGACTCTCCGACGGAATGCTCAACGATATGTTCTGGCAAACTTGAGGTTCCAGCATGCTAGTGCGAAGAGTGATATAATCGAACAGCACAAGGTCATCAGAGCGTTCTTGGAGTATGTAAGAAAAGATACTCGAGATACTGTTTTGGATATCATCAAGGCCATTGAGAGGGATATTATGCAAGATACTTCCCTTTCCAGGAATGCGAAGACGAAGTTTTTCAACCGAGGGAACTTGGAGAAGCTTGTGACGCTCTATGGCTACGACAGGGAGTCTGAGGAGCCCAATCCTACTGGCGTATCTATCGCCAGTGAGGTCCATAAGATCCTGATGAATGTCTGCACTAACTCTAGTCATGGTGTCTTACTCTCGGAGACGAGCTGGTACCCCAACGGAAGTGACCCGGAGTCCTTGCCGGGCGAGGAAGACACATCGATCGACTTGGGACTTGATTCCGCAGTATACGTCGACAAATATCGAGAGTCTGTGCCTGTTCGTAACGGGATATTATCATACCTCGCTCAGACTCTTCGTCCAGACGCAGACAGCCTGCAGATCGAGCTTCTGGTAGCCATTTTTAAAGAGGCACCGGAGCTTGTTGCCGATTTCTTCACAAAGAAAACAATGTTTGTTTCAGACCCGAAGCCTACATCATCGTGGATGGCTGAGTCTGCGCTTCTTTTCTCCACAGTCAGTTTGCCTGTGCCAACGAACTTTGGTTGGAAGGATAAATTGCCTTCTATGCCACCTCCCGTATCAGTAGTGATCGAGAACATCCTACCTCGCCCGCTTACCCAGAAAACCTTAACCCGCTGCCTGAATTTAAACGCGGAGGTAATTACTTTGTTTGCGGTTCGGATTTTGACAATCTCTTTCAACAAACTGCGAAAGGTTATTCGTCTTTTTAATTCAGATCATGGTGTCAGTCAATCATTTTGGACTCAGGCCAAAGGCAAATTAATCGCGGAGTTCTGTCGTCGGTGTCCCGCAATGAAAGATGTTGTGTCACTATATAAGAAAACTGCCAAGGAGGATCTGCGGCAGCAAGAAGCTGTGGCCGAACTGCTTTCGTGTTTCTATGAAATCGTGCCTGATGTGGCATTCGAAGAAACTTTCGATGTTTCTCTCGTTTTGGTTGATATCTTGAAACGCCTGGATGAGTCAAATCCTAGCGAGGAAGACTCGGAATCGTTGCTTGCTCAGTTGGGTAGCATCCTAAAGATCGCACAGCAATCCGCATCGATGCGCTGGTGGCAAAAACCTGGTAAGTACCTCGTAAAATATCGCTCTGAGCGTTCTGCTAATATGGCTTTAGGGTCAATGCAATTCTCTGCATTCACGTCGATTCTCAAGGTTGTAGTAGGGGCATCATCTCGTGGTTCTCTCAGAGACATTGAGGTCCTGCTGAAGACTGTGCTTATCGAGAACTCGATTTTGCAAGGCCCGAGCTCCTTTATGTCACTCTTATCCAGTTTTGGGGCGTCCGACTCTGACAGCCTCCACCATCAGTTATCCTTTTTCGATAATTGTGTTTGTCGGGTAGCGAAAAAACCGGTGCACTACCAAGACCTGCTTGGGTCGCTGTGTGAGGATGTATCAAAACCAATCAGCCCTATCGTATCTGCTATTTATGAGCAGTGGCCATTTATTGTCAAGTCTGGAGGTGATGCAGAAAGTGCTATTGGTGCATGGATTGCTAAAACTCTTGGGAACTTGAAAGGCTCCGGGGAAGACTCGAAAGCGTTAAAAGCTGCCCGGGACACTTTGGTAGCAGCCACTGAGAATAAGCGCACCAAGTCGACTCTAAAGAAGGCATTGAAAGATACCGAAGAGGGACCAAATCAGGATAGTAAGAGACGAGAGTCTAGTACCACACAACCGACAGCCTCACATTCGAATAATGAGAAGTCAACCGTGGACTTGGAGGAGATCTTCGGTACATTACCCACGGAAGGCACAACTCACAATGCATTGCATAGATGGGAGAAGGATGACATCGAGATTTCCGTCGAGCAAGGCAAGGTGGCAGACCTGATTCTCTGCCTGTGCTCAGAACATGAAGAAGTCAGAAGACAAGCATTCGCCAACATAACGCGATTTATGTCCAAGATTCGAGTAAGTTGATACTTTCCCTATGATGGCTAAGTGGAGAATATACATCGCTCACAATACCAGGAATCTAATTATGCCGAGTGGAGGTCGGTGTTCCTTCTCACCGGTGAACTTCTAGAGACGGTGAAGCAGATTGGTCTGGATTCGCCCGTTCCATGGATTGTGGGGGAGTGTGCTTCCAATTGCCTCGCGGTTCTCGTCAATCCAATGCATAAACTCTATGGAAAAGTCAACAAGTTCCTCCAGAAGGCACCTTCTTGGGAACCAGAGAAGATTCCATCGTATTGGATTGACAAGATCCTGTTGCACGAACCCGAACTAGATGATGGCTACTTCGAGGAGACGAATTGGCTCCTGGATCTACTTATCAAAGGCCTTCGCACAGAGACTGTAAGCCACCGTGCCATCAACCGTAGGAAACATGATTAACGAGCTTATAGGATATGGGAATCTACCGCCGCGCAAATGTATTTGAACGAGCACTGTCTTTTTATGAATCACCCGGCCCTAGCCTTCCATCCAAGCGGAAGATTTTGCACCTACTGTATCGCTCGACACAAGTCCAGGGTAGCACAACCTTGATTACCCGGGCTGGTATTGTCAGCTGGATCCAAAGCCAAATTCCAGCATTGGGTGGTAAGGAGGTGCCAACTTTGACAGCCATGGCGTCTTCTTTGTATGAATCCTCGGAACAGGATCGGGTCATGAAATGGAGTGGAGGATCTGTAGCACAGGTTGTCGAAAACATTGCAGTGTAGATGCTTAATCGTTTAGGAGAGGGTGTACATCCTTTTCTCCTCTAGACATAATGCTAGACACTTTCCCAGGGTTTCTGAGGATTTTCTCTTTTCCTTCTTTGTTTTTATCCTTTTGCTGCCATTCTCTAAATGTATACATATATAGTAGTAGTGTATTTATTTGGCAATTATGATGATTGTGTGGTTCCAGGTCTTAAGTTGTCATGATGATGAATGTCATTTCATACAAATATATACGAGTGAATGAGCTTCGTTCGCCAAAGCAGGACCAGTAGCAGTAATAGGAGTGAATAGCGGTGAATGACGTTTTCTATGATCACGTACTAGCATTTTATAAGAGAAAATTGTGACTGTTGTGCATAAAAGAATGAGGGACAGAAATTCTAGACTGCTTTGCGCTTGCTGATGCTGGTCGTTGTTGTTGTTGGTGTGCAAAGTGACTTTCCCCATTGGGCAGTCGAGTCCTAAGAGCCTGAGGCCGACGGTGGAAACAAACGTTTTGCGGCCACAAGTTCAGATCGGGCGCTCTCCGTTGAAACCACTCACCACCACAACCCCCATCATTTACCTACTACCTACTTTCCATCGGCCGTGTCGCCCATTATTTCCCACCTTCTAATCGGCTTCCGCAACCATAGTTAGCTACATTCTCAACTGCCAGAGAAAACCCTTTTGCTTTGACAACGGAATCCCCTTTGCCCCTCATCGAGTCCCCCGAGTTGACACCGATTGAGAGACTCCGCCAATCTTGCCACTAGCAAGTGGCTTTGCTTCACTGCTCCTCTCTACACCGCACCCTCCATTACACAAGGACCGTTACCCCGGACTACACACACACGCTCTCCCCCTTCTACTCCTACGTTCCCTGCGACTTGCTCCAGCTCCCGCCTCTTGATCCTTGAGAACCAATGAGAACGTTCTAACGATCTGCCGATAACATCACACACACTTCAGCCATCCTCATGGCGCGACGTTACCAGATTGATGAGCTGTTATGGCTACGCTCGTCGCCCCTGGTTGCTAGGCCTGCGAACTTACCTCCGATAGAAGATTGGATGGGGTAAGGGATTCTTGTGATTGCACTTATGATCCGGAGACTGACATGACTGATGTTAAACTAGTCCGATACCCGACCCAACGACGCAGAGAAAAACCACCGGCACCCGCGATCCTAATAATCCAAATGAGACGACACCTCGACGACCGAGCATCTTCGAGGCTCGTCATGTCTCCCGCAATTCGAATTCAGGTAAATATAAGAGCATTATCTTATGTGCCGGGATCGACTGTCCTATGAATTCATCGCTAACTGGGGAACTTGTTAATTCCTTGTAGAGGATATTATTCTTGGGCCACCAAAGACCGCATTTGCGTCCGCATCTCGCATACCGGGTAAGGGCTCGATAGATGCTACCGAACGGCCATCCAGACAACCTGATTCGGATGACATCAAGAATGACCGGTTAAATTTCCGCGGCAAGTTCTTCAAGGATAGGGAAGGTGGTGATAGTAATTTCGACCGACGTGACGGAAAGTCGGACCCTTTCACCCCTCGTCGTGGGGACAGAGATGACTGGAACACCGGTCGTCCCCGTCGCACCTTTGGCCAGGAAGAACAAGAGAGAAAGCCAAGACGTAACGGAGACTTTGATCGGTGGGAATCTCGTGATTTCAATCGGGACCGCGACCAACAGACTCCGAATCATGAACGGGGAGGAAAAGATAAGGATGGTCGATTCTTTCCTCGAAGAGATGGCCAGCCGGGGCGTGCCCGACATGAAGGAAGTTGGTTCCGTGATGACGGCAATCAGGACGGCCCCGAGCCTGAGGAAGAAAAGACCCCGATACGGAGCCGAGACTGGCGCAGAGACCGGCACGGTGCTGACCGGGATTGGACCCGAGGTGCCAAATTTGAACAGGATCCTGAGTGGTTGGATTCTAATGATAAGGAAGAGCCCCGAAGGGTGCACACCCAGGAAGACTTCGAACGTTGGAAAGAAAGGATGAAGGCGGGATCTTCTCAGGCTCCTGTAGAGGAGAAGAAAGAGACGCCCGCGGAATCAACTCCGGCCCAGAAGTCAGAGCCCAGACCTACAGACGGTGAAATCTTCAGCAGCAGCGGCACACCGTTCCAATCAGACACAGCCATGGAACGCTTTTTTGGGCTTCTGGGTGACTCTAAATCTCCTCAGGAAATCGCGACCTCCTCACCTTTAGAGGCCCCCATAGTCAGTCAAGCTACACCTAAGAAAGAAAATATTCCGGGGAAGCCTTTCAAATCTTCTCGTTTTGCTGGGTTGTTTAGTCCGCCCCCCGGCAGTCCGGCAAAAGAGACTGATTCGCAGCTGGAGAACAAGTCTCCTACTGTCCAGCCATCAACTACTGATGCTGACCAGGAAGGGTTTCAGCGTATTCTTCAGATGCTCGGAGGGAGCAAGTCGCGCAATGCTACACCCCACAACGATACCGTGCAAGCCAATCGGCCTCCATCTCTTCCCCAAGCAGAATCTGTCCAGAGCGCTATCTCATCTCCCTCCCACGAGCAGATGAAGCGGCCAGACCCCATGCTGATTCAGGAGAGCTCTATGCGGAGTGCTGGCCCTGCTATGGATCCCCAATCCCGAGAACGGGAACATCTACTCCGCCTAATGCAGCAAGTCCGTGTCACTCCTGTTACAAATCAGGCTCAAGGTAATCATGGTCAACCACAAAGCGCCGGCGCCGCTCCTGGTATGATCAATATGCCAGAAATGCTGCCACCCCCTCCAGGGCTTGCATCTGCACCAAAGGCTCCTAACTTCATCGACGATCCCGCGATCGCTAATATGCAGCGAGCGGAACCTGATCAGCTTCGGCGACGACCCGCGAATGGGCCTCCGATGGGTTACTTTGAGGATATGCCGTTCCCTCAGGGTGGCCAAGTTCCCATCACCCCGGGTGGAAGTCGGGCTCCTCAAGGTCAAGGTCTACCTGGAATGGGCGTTCAGAGACCGCCAGGCTTTGAACACTTGCCACCTCCTGGATGGGCCGGCCACCAGCTTCCTCCACAGCAGGGCGGTGGCCCCGGTCCTCTCGCTCCTCCACCGGGTATTCCTACTCCAACACGTGGCGTCAACCCTAACTTCATGTCCAATATGATGCCAATGCATGGCAATGTTCCACCGCTCGGTGAGCGCCAACCCTTCCCACGTGGTGCAGGCGGCAATGGATCTGCGGGATTCCCGCCTCCCCCGGGTATGATGCCTCCTCCGGGTTATATGAATGGCCCTCCGCCGTCTGGCTTCCCGCCTATGCCACCCAATGCCGAAGCCCTGATGGGTCTTGGCCATGGCGGTCAAGGTCCTTTCGACGGTAACCCCGGTCCACAGGGGCCTCCACATTCATCTCGGCACCTATTGGATATGTTTGGACAAGTCGGCGCCGGAGACGCTCGGGGTGGCATGGTAGGTCCGGGCCAGTTCAGATAAACAGACATAGGGATATAGCCGGGCTCCTTGCTTGATACAAAACTCGCGTGGCATATGGTGGGATTGTTGCTGGCTTACCAGGCTGGTTTTTTTTGCCAAATTTGATATGTATCCCAAATTTATGTGTTGCTTTCCCTGGTGCCCTCCGTCAGTGCGTAGCAAGGACTGGCTTTGATCGATTGAAATCTCCTACCATATGCCCCGAGAGTGTCGAAGGAATGTGAATGAGGTTGCTACTGCAGCTCCATTTCTAGGCTGATCTAAATGAAAGTAATAGGTGGATTGAACAATCTTTAGTGGAGTATGTGATCTGACAGGATAGATCGTACACACTATACTTGCTTAACCAGATGACTGGATACTTGCAATCAATCTATTACATGAATGAAGGTTCCTATCCGTAAAATTCTCGCTCGCTGTATACTGAGTCTTTGATTCTGTTGGGCCAATGCAAAAGTGATTGGCTGTGAATTTCATAACTTAAGCTGTTCTGGTCAGTGAAGGGCACTCTCAAAGACTTGTCAGCTAGTGTTTCATCTTGTTCAGTGAATAGTAGGGCATGCCATTTCGCGATGCACTGCTTTACCATTTTTGCACACTATACAATTCCCTTCCACCGACAGCATAGTGCACATATATCACTTCAATATTTCGCGATTAGTATTCCACGATACAAAGTAACTATAGGTTACCATGGCGCCCAATCCAAAGGTAAGTAAAGTTTTTATTCCAACGTGTCAGCGGATCTTCAAACCCCCTTGCTCCATTTTCCCTTTTGGTCACTTTTTACTTTATACCTACAGCTTTCACCACAGCCCTACATTCAACCAAGCGAAAAAGGTAAGCTTTTCATTCTATTCATCCTATTACACTACTAGAGTGTATCTCTAACAAATTAAAAGGCTAGAAACCCCACAATAAGCTATAGACGCAGGGGCGTCGACGCTTCAACTTGTAATCGACATCCACGCTTTCTGGATAATGATGGAGAAAAGAAGCCCATCCGGGGCTCAAATGGGTTAATACAAAGCGAAATGGCTAACGGATATGTTCTTCACAGCTTGGCGATATGATGGACGAGGTCGACTTCGAGCTCTGCTTGGACATCGATCAATATGTGAGTGCTTCCTCTTCCTCGAATTCATACTCGATACACATCATACGAAATCTCGGATCCAGAGAAACCTCAATTGTTTTTTATTAATGAAGAATAACGAGAGAAAAAAAAAACCCCAACAGGCAACCGCCTCCCGCCGTGAGTCAAAGCGACTATCCACCCAGTCCGCCACAGACTCAATCAAGCACGACAATGTTCAAACAGCGACAATCGCCAACCCCAAAGTCCGCAAGCACGGGGAACTAGACTCAGCCTCTGACATTGACGAGAATATCACCCCAGAACAGCCTCACCACCCCCGACCATGCAAGAAACTCAAAGCTCTGAATCATTCTGAGTCAGACCTCGAGGATGACCATGATCGCACCTATCTCGACATCGCGATCAAGCGCATCACCCACCACGACCAAGAGATACTCTCCGACGCCGATGACACCGACCCAGAAACCCACAGCTCAACCAGCGCCTCGACCACGGCCATCAACGAAGAAGAGATGGATCTGGACACCGACACGGATGCTGAAGTCTACGCCAACTCGAGCAGCGACGACATAGGCATACGCCCGGTTTACTCCTACATCGCTCGTCCCTCCCATTTCTTCGAGATCTACGAGGACCTGGATGACTCGCATCTGGAGAACCATCCCGGTTTCATGTCCAGCTTTACTACCTACTCCTCTCACCATGAAGATAAGGAGAACATCCGCGACAACCACCACGGGCAGCTGGAGCAGACACAGGAAATAGGAGTCAATTCGCAGATGTGGATTCGTCAATCTACTAATCGTGTCTCGCATGTGGTTAGTTCTAGGTACCAGGGGGTGGATGGGGGTGCGGACACGGATGAGGCAGACACTGATGTTGAAGAGTTTTTGACGGAGGGTGGAGAGAGCGCGAGGGAGGGTGAGATGGAGGAGGTGAGGGTGTCGTTTCATTCGTTGGGTGCTGGAGAGACTCCGTTGCTTCCTCTTGCTTTCCCGCTGCCTTTGAGGATCCCTTCTCCTGCCTTGGTTCAGGGCGGTAGGGCTGATGGCCGGCGTCGTTGCTTGGGGCCTAGGCCTGTTGTGCACTTTGAGTGATTACTGATGTGTGAAATGCTTCGTTTCCCGGGTAGTTCTTGTACAAAATCTCTTGTATTAGCTTTCTCTTTCGTCTCCTTTATTCCGTCGCCCGCGGATTCTATGTACTGTACTTTTATTCCTGGTGTTGTGTGGTTTGTTTCTTCTCTTCAAATGGCCGTTGTGTCTCAGATTGACTTACTGATGGGAAACGAAACGTTCCGTTGAGCATACTCATGCCGGGTGAATATCAGGTTGTTCTGACTCAAAATGGTATTGTACAGCCTTGACTGCCTTACTGTGTTTAAAACATTGTCTATTTCTGCTAATACGTCCATTTCTTACTATCCCTTTGTTCAGTAATGACAACTGGCCAATTTAAAAGATATCTTCGAGATGAATCAAGAAATAGCCAATGAGATGGACTATGATCCAATGTATTCAGAGTCAGCTTGATTATTATCGAATGATCGCAACAAATTTCCAGATAAAGCAGTAATAGTATTGAAAACCAAGCTCCCCCTACACAATATGCCCCTTCAACGGAATCGAGTTGAATGAAAAAGCCCATCCAGACTCTTAGACTGAATCATCATAGCCCTCTAGATTGGCACATCCCAAATGTCGTTTGCCATGGAGACAAATATTGTTCTATCGGAGACATAGTCACCCTCTGGTGGCCTTGGCCCAGATGGGATTTTTGAGGATCATTTCGTCGGGTGTCTGCCGTCGTATGTGATTCGGCACGTACAGCCGAATATTCCTCGATTCTGTATTGACCTTTCGACGATTTCAGGAGCGACACTGGCCACTAGTAAGTAAAAACCCTCATTGCCTTGCTTGATCTCCTCTAAAAGACGCTTCTTTATTCCGGCTGCTGCCGTGGTTCCGACTATTTGCGAGGTATTCGCTGGCAGTGTGTGTGTGTGTGTGTGGATAGACATGATTGGGTGATTTTTTTCCTCTGTAGAGATCGTTCGACGTGATGGCAATGCCATATTGTTGGTATCTTCTGTCTACGAGATGGGTGTAGACATCTTTCAGGTTTTGAAGGGCTGATTAGGTTCCCGTGATGTCAGTGATGTCACTTTTCGTTAATCATGCACTATCAATATCAAAAGGATATGGCAGGAGTATATAAAATTCTATGTATGTGTTTACGCTATGAAGCTGTTCAGTAAAGAGAAGTGGAGGTTGAGAGGGCTGTAGGGGATGGACGGGGTAGTTGAGGGTCAGTAAGAAGTGGTTTATATGTCCAAGAGATAAGAAGAAATTGAATGGGTGGGTTTAGATGGAATGCAAGAGTATAGATGGGATTTGAAGTGAAAGGAATATGTGAAAGTTATTGTAAGATTGTAGTAGAGTATGAAGATGCGACACAGTAGTTAAGGATTTGTAATAAGTGATTTCTATGTCTAAGAGTTAAGAAGAGACCAAATGTATGTCACTATACACACTTGATTTTCTTTAAAGAGGGCGCTCAGGGGGTCGTTCACTGAGTATTTCTCGCAACTCTAGCGGCCGGAGCTCCCTGCATTGATGTCACTGGCTCGATTGACCGAAGATACACACATAGGTACTAATCTCGTCTCCCCACAAGTTGACACCCGGTCCTTGCGGCCCATCGGCCCTGCAGAGAGAGAGTTTTGCATGGACTAGCTTTCTACAACGGAGAGTCACCAGTAACCAGCTCGGAGTAAATAACAGTATTTGATGCCTATTCGGACGCAAAAAACCTCGCTATCTCGTCGGCCGTTTTCCTAGCATGCGTCCATATAAGCCCTTTAGTCGTATGTTCGGGGTACACTCAAAGGAATCTCACAGAGCTTGAGTAGCTGGATAATTAATATTATTTTAAAGTATCCTGATCTCTCGTCTTTCAGTAAAGTATGGACTCCAGGGCCTTCCAAATTACGCTACTTCTTATTTATTGGAGAACTGTATGTTCTAATCCGGACCAGCGAACTGAACTATGGCTCGGGACTCGGGAGGCCCTTATGTGGCCTACTTACTGTTCTGATACTAGGCCGCTCTATGACTATGTAACAACTGCTCTTCAACACTAATCTAGCAGGTTACGTAGGGGCTCGGACTGAACACGTAAACCCAAGAGCTTCGTTGTAAGAAAGGTTCAGGCCAATACTTAAGTGGTATCCGATCTGCTTGATCTCTTTGACATTGCGCAAGGGTAGAGAATGTGATGCGGATATAGAGTGTACAAAGACTCTGGAAAAATAGAAGACTCCTCGCAGCGGCAGCTCCACAATAACACAGTGAACCATACGATTTCATCATATGGTCACTATGATCAACGGTCGCATAGGTGTTAGTTCTTAAGACGCCTGGGCGACTATGAAACGAGGATCATGGCGTTACCTACGTAGGAAGTTCCTGCCTGAGGCACGAACGGCATCTACGCTACAGTTGTCGATATACTTTACCGATAAAGTATTGCCTATAAAGTATGAGCAACGCTTGCAAGAGATAGAAGTATGCACCCTCCCTTCCATCACATCGAAGGGGCGAACCGGATTGCTCATGTTGATGTAATGTCCATAGCTTTCCTATGCGTACTCCTCTACTTAGTCGGTGTTCGATAGAGGGTTAGACAAAAACACGTCTCTCTAGCTACATTATGCTGGTCTCCAGGGACAGAAAGTCAGATGGATCCTTGAATTCCTTGATAATTTGTTGTAGAGTGGCCGCAATGGCTTGCTGTGGTCGTTGATAGTGACCTTGGCCAAGGCCAGCCCCTCCTTTGCTCCTAACCGCGCCGCTGGACTGACGCCTGTTCTCTTTCTTATTTCCTCGTTGCTCAAAGAATAGTGGCTCAAATAATACGATGCATTGGGAATACACGACTCTCTACTCCAGAACCCCCCGCTCCTTCATCTTCGCCGTCGTCGCAAATGTCGGCCCCGGCGGCGCCAGCCGCTCCCTGGCCGTGGCCTACCGCCAGCACCACGACGAACACAACATGGCCTCATCCTGGCCCCGAGTGCACCATATGGTAACTGACACCCTCGCGTTGATCGACGTTCTTTCGGATCCCGCGAACCGCGCGCCGCTGGAGGCGGAGAGAGCACTCGCGCAGGACTGGTATCGTCGGTCTCCGGGGCACCACGAGCCTCCGCCGCATGAGCGGCCCAGCGTGCCCGATACTGCGCAGCCACCGTTCGTGCCCTGGAACCGACGTCGGGAGCCAGTGCAACAACAGCCCCCGCTGCCGTGGCGTGATGATGGCCTCAGCCGGTTTCCCTTCACCGCGACCTGCGTTTTGCTGGCGTTGTTGCGCGACGATCGTCCTGCTGACGCCACCCACCCCAGCGACGTCCAGTTCCAGCCCCTATCAACGGTATTTCGGGCGGACTGCGCTGAATATGGCCTGGTCGTCGTTGACATCTCCGACCTCGACAGTGGTGTCAAGTACGGCATTGTTGCGTTCCCCGTGGACTACATGGCTGAGGTTCAGTCCCGCGACAAGTGCTTCGGCTGGGATCCTGTCGAAGACCCCCAGCCAGAAAAGGAGCCGGATGTTATACTTGTGAGCCCGCGGCCTCGAGTGCTGTTATCGATTTCTCAGTGGGCAGGGAAGTATTACAGATGGTCGGACCTGGAAGACCACCCCAGTATCCTCCGACTGGAGGAGAAGCCGCTGGCTGATGCGGCAGCATTGGATTGTACGTCTGTTCACGCCAGTGGGTTCCGGAAGGTTTTGCAGGCACTAACGAGGAATGGTAGACATCTGGCCGCCAGAGCTGGAGGCTCCGGCTCAAGCATCTTCAAAAAGTGTTCTCTCTCGCGTTTTGAAATGTTCTGTCCCATTTAAACCCATATCGACCGCATTTGCTAACCTCCGACAGACTTCACACCGTCAAATAAAGCCAGGTCCATCCCCCGATCCATGGTAGGCTACACTATAGTAGACGAACCGCCGCGACATGGGTCCATGGACCGCGCAAAAGAGGATAGATCGACTAGGAGAGCCTCGAGCGTGACCATATCAGAAGAACCGCCACAAACTGTCCCAGTGGATATAGACCGCACTATTGATGATCTGCTGCTTCTCACCCAGGAGCCCGTATCCCCTCGCCTCGAGAAACAAGCGCTTGCTCACCTTCAAATGCTGGTCCCGTTTAGTGAGAGGCTGCGGCAGCGACTCGAAGAGGTGCCTAACAGGCTCGGTCCCTCCACGATCTCCAGCCATGTTCTGCGCGTGGCATACACTGAATGCAGTCACCTCAACTGGGTGTCGTTTGGCAACCTGCCGCCTCGCGTGATTGCGGTCGCTGTTACATCGGATGAGCTTCGGGGTGCATCTGCGCTCAGCCTCTGCGTCGATGCGTGGGTGGGAGATGAGGAAGAGGGGGAGTCAGACCTCGTTGATCCTGCTGTGGCCCTGGCGCAGTCCACAGGCCTGCAGCAGCTCTGCTTCTTGCAGCAACCGGACCGGACTCACGACGAGGTCTCGGCTCGTTTCTGCTCGCAGCTGCTGCAGCTGTGGGGGAGGGCGTCAGAAGAAGACTGGGAGTGGCTCCGGCCGAAAACCATCCATTCGACCTCTGTATTCTTAACTGGTTTACGCCGTCGCAGACTTCTCACATCCTCCTCGACGATACGATCGGATTCCAGCTTTACCTTAGGCGCACAAATCTTTCCCATGATCCACCTGTTCACGTTTCTGGGTCCCCTGCGCAAGGACATCCCAGACGCAACCGCAGACCGGCACGTCTACTGTGCTCGTCCTGGGTACAGCAGCTACTACTCCATAGACAATACCGGGCTAACCGCCGAGGTCTTCGCCATCCGATTCCTAGGATACCTCCGGGCGTTGGGTCCGTATTCAGATCCCGACAAGGCCATCTTGCGAGTGGCATATCATGGGGCTTTCTCGTCGCTCGCTTCCATGGACGACGACAGCGAGCAACACCGCCGCAAGCACGGCTGGTCTCCGGGGCGGAGACCGCCGCCACCATCGCCGCTCCGGTCATCGCCAGATCCATTGGGCGTGAGACCCATCCCCGCCGGATTTTTCGACGACGAGCTCACCCCTGACGACCCGTCCAAAGTTCGACTCGGGGATATCCCCCCTGGGGACTGGGTTGTTCTTGTGGATCGACGAGACCGAAGTTGCCGGGATAGCGACGACACCACCTTCTTACAATACTCGTTTATGAGAATCCGTCAGCCCTGTGTTAAATTTTCGTCCGAAAAGCAATCTAGCTCAGTCGAGATGGTCGGCGGGCTGACCGACTTCCTGCGGGAAACTGTGCCAGGGACTAATGTTGCCATGTGGGAGAGACGTGTCGATGAGGTAGAGAACGATTTGGTTTCCGCTTTAATGAGGCCGAGCCCATCCAGCACCCCGTCATCGGTTGATGTGCCGACGATGCTAGAACGGGTGAACGAGTCGTTCGGGCGTTTGGCCGAAGCTTCAGCTGAGACGAGCGCATCCAGCACCCTACGAGAGAGTGATATTTCCGATGGGGAGGAACCGGTCGTGGAAGTGGAGAAGGAACCCTGCATTGACGTCGGTGTCATGGCTGAGAGTCGGGCCTACATTTTACTGGATCAGTTAGTGTGAGAGCATGCCATTGTATCTATAGTACGCTCGCAAGGGTGGACTGCGAGTGAAGAAGCGGGCAAAGGGGTGATAAGTAGTTGGGGTGCAGTTTATTAAGGTTACTCGCTCAGGGCACTCGGTCTCCCGCTCACCCCGTGCTCAGTGATCGCCTCAGGCTGCTCAGAGCGTGCTCAGATCCGCTCAGTGAACAAGAAGCAGCGAAGGGTGAGCACTAAAACGGAAAGAGTAGGCCATCGACCCTCCTAGAAAATCAAGTACATATATGTTTAACGGGAAGAAAGGACATAGATGGGATATGAAATGAAAGGAATATGAGAAAGTAAGTGAGGTTTATAGTATTAGACAAGGTATCATAAAGTGAATAATATAAGACGGCACCGAAAAACACTGATTAAAAGCAGCTAGTGAAGTGACGCCGTACTATGTGAATAAAACATGTACGGTTAAATGGGAATCTCTTTTAAGGCGAACACCAAAATGCGAAAGAATAGTGGAAGAAAGGGTTGCAAATAACGCAAGATGCTCTCCTCTCAAGTGATCGGTGCTAACTGCCGTTCGTTGCGTCGACAGTCCGCCCGAGATCGCTGGTCAATGAGTATACGGACAGATCTGAGAAGCTCTCGTGGGTTGGAGCAGGTAGATTCCTCTTGGCTATCGGCTGTGTGGCACGCCTTCCAACACAGCTGTCGGGTGGAAGGTGGACAGGAGACATCAGATCGCGAGTCTGCCCGGGAAAGAGGCCCTTGTCAAGGTCACTTTGCCACAGCCTGCGTGACGCATCGAATGCCTTGTTGACTAGTCCTCGCCGAAGCTCTTCATATTCTTCAAACAATGTGATCAGCTGGCACTCGGGGTTCTGAGCCAAGAGTTTGGAAAATATGATCGCGTCCTCTACAGCATACGCCGCCGATTCATCGCGCGGAGGCATCTGGATTTGTATTAGTTTTGTGACGAACACAATGCCGTTGGAAATGAAGAAACTTACAGCGTGCGCGGCATCGCCGAGTAAAAGTATCCGATCCATGTGCCATTTCCCTCGTTGGCGAACCTGATACACAGGGTATAGCATCCAATCCTCAGTTCGGTCAATGATCTCGCGGATGTACGGTAGGCTTGACATGCCGAACTGCGCCCGGACCAGGTAACGCATTGACATCCGCATGTTCTTCTGTGCCGCCAGGTCCGTTCCCGACATTGCTTGGTATTTCTCAATCAGGTGTTCGCTCACGCGGACGACTGCCGCCACAAAGAGTTTCTCATGTTTTGTGTCGCAGTAGCTCGTCAGGAGCGAGCTATGCCGGGCGAGGTGTACCGCGGTTTGAGTGAAGGGCATCGATGCGGAAAAGTTCCGGGCGTCGGCCATGCTTTGTATGAAAGAGACACCGGTATATTCAGATCGGTTGCCGGGATCTACGATTTTTGTCCGTGTCGCCGAGTGAACCCCATCGCATCCCAAAACCAAGTCCCCTGTGGCGGTTGAACCATCTTCGAAGTGCAATGTGACGTTCTCCGGCGTTGTGCTTCCTCCAACGAGCTTTTTATCGTAGTGAACCGACACATTCCGCAGCTTGCGAGCCACTGCCAGCATGGCTTCCGACAAAGCGCTGCGCAACACCCGACGACCCTTATAACCACCGTAACCATGTCCGTTCTCGTCGGTAAATCGGAGGGGGCCCAAACGGCGACCGGAGCGCACGGAAAATAGATCAATGGCATCCACTTCAATGCCAGCCTGGTCGCCCATCAGATTCAACTCGGCTAAGACCCCTAACTCGTCGAGATACCTCTGAGCGACCGGTGTCAAACTGATGGCGCCGCCGGACGTGGTGAGCTCAGATGCGCCATCGTATACTGTGATTTTCAATCCAGGAACAACGGGGGCGAGCTCGTTGGAGAGGGCAATGGCACTGGCGAGACCAGCAACGCCAGCACCGACGACGAGAATATCGCTCGGCATTGTGGGGAACCCGTTGTTGCTTCGTTCTTTGCTTGTAGAGGCCGACAGACACACTGTCGTCGGAAAGTGGTAGGAAAAGAGAGGTTCAGAGCGAGGATAAATCGGTCGGAGAGGTCACACAGGGGCAGTGATTTGCCCTGTAGTTCGGTTCATGATGTTTCGTTTGTATGCACATCGTTACACTGGTCAATGGTTTAGTGTCCAATTAATTAATTTTTTTACCCTCTTTTTAAATTTTTTTTTTTTTTTTTACTTTGCTTTCTTTTTTTTTTGCCGCCGCCGTTTCCATCTTTTCCCATTCCGGATTGGGATGTCTCCGTGTCCGGCCGAGAGCTCTGTTAATTCGGACGGTCGGTTAAACGATGCCGGCTAGCAGAGCCAATCAAGCGTTCACATTGCCCCCTCTCAAATGTCATGTCCAACGTGAAGAAGTTGGCGTTCCATGGATCCCCTGAAAGCTTCTCTGATTGGCAGCCCCCGGCATAAGCTTATAGCGCCCGGGGGCAAAAATAGACGGGTCTAGACATACAATTTCCTTTCTTCACGGAACTGGCCGATCATTTTGATCTATATCTCACCTATTAAGCATCATGTGGTCTTAGTATTGGCAGGAGGCATCTGGAGAGCGAAGCGTTGGGAACTGTAGCCATTTGCATTAGGGATTATTCATCATGATCCAGGATCGCTACCGTTAATACACTACATGATATGTACAGAAAGTCACACTTGCCGAGGCACGAGTGTGTTTTTAGAAAGTGACTCCCCTGTGGCATCCGAAACTCTCAACAGCAAAATTTTAGTCATCGTTCAGGGTGTATTTCCATATTCCATTCGGTAGCAGCGCTTGCCGCAATGTCTCCAGCTTCTTTTTCAACATGACTGTCTCCGTCTCCAACTCCCCGATATAATTAACAGCATCGGTCAGAACTGCCATCTTCTTAGAAGCATGTTTCCTTTGACAGTAGAAGCGGGGCCTGCCACTTCCAACCCCTCGCGTGTAATAGCCTTGCAGAGACGACTCCAATGCAGCAAAATTCTTACTGAGATTCTCCCGGTAGCGTTTTTCAATTCTGTTATGTGCTGAGCGCCGGGATGAAGGATGCACTGGACCTTCATGAGGAGTGGAACTGGGCGAACCAGATGGGGAAGATGGAGGTGGCGATAACGAGGCGACGGTTGAGCTCGAGGCAGTGCAATGAGATTGCGGGAGCGAGGTCCGAGGTATAGAGGAGTGTTTCGATGTGTTCTGTATTGAATCTTGTTTGAGTGGCGGTAGCACAGGCGCGTCCTCAAACTGGCTGGGTACGGCGAATGAGTGCTTCGGTGATGTCCAATTCTCGTACGCTTCCCACGGGAGAAGGTCTGCGGAAGATGGTACGGAAGATGGAGACCATTGTGGCAAGTAGCAGGGAGAATCGAGAGCATCTTGAGAATTCGGCTGCATAATCATTAGATCATGGACTGACTAGATGACGGGGTGTCTTTTCCTCAGGGTACTTACTCGTCGATGAGGGTTGGCGGGCACTGGCTGAATGATCGTACCAAACGTAGACATCGGCGCCACCTCGGCATCTACGCCAATTAAATTATCCCATGCATAGGGAAGATCTTGGTACTGGAGTTTCCACAGATGTGCTGAAGTTGCGGGCATTTTGCGTTGGGTTGGACCAGCGGATAGTTGGGGTTACCGAACCAAAGGAGAGAGGGTTCAACAGCTTTAAATAAACCCGAGGCGTTTCAGAATGGGTGCCACAGGTATCTAGGATGGAGAGGATTGTGCCATGAGTTAGACAGGTCAACACTAGGATTTATCTCCGACATTAGGGACTTTTATTTTCTTTTCGTGCGATCCTTGTAAAAAATGACCTCATGCGACGCTGTCTGGACCGCGAAACTTCGCGCTCGGCTCCGACTCGGCATTAGCAGGGTTTCGGTGCTTAAGCCTCTTTTCGTCCCCGTTAGCCCTAAGCTACAAATTAAATTCATGGCATTGAAGCCTCGTACAAGATTGATTGCTGAGTAGCTGACACTTGCTTCAGTAAGGAGAATGGCAGGTTGCTTTGCGGTGTCGTTATGCGGCTGTCGTTCTGCGAACCTCCATTTCTCCGATATAATTTTCCTAGCTGGTCATTACTCTAACCCCACTCTATCATAATATTGTGCTGGTGACCCCTGGCGGAGCTATGATTATTATTCAAAAGTGGGTAGGACGAATGACAGACATGATAATAATATGTAATAAGGGAATAGATGAATAAATAAGTAGATAAAAAGTACGCTGTTCTGGGGGGGACCGACTAGGAGTGAAACGCTGCATTGCAACCATCCACTATGCCCACTAGCGCTGTCACTGATAAGGGTGGCAAGATGGCCCCTGTCGAACATTCTTTTCTAGCGCGAGCGATTGTATATTCTAGATTGATGGCCAGATCAACGGGCGATCATCTTTGCAGCGAAAAGCATGGGAGTATTGTTCAGGCTAGTCCATCCATTGGCTGCAGATCGCCCAGTTTGCTGGTCTGTGTTCCTTGACACTTTGCGGAGAACAGACCACAATATCTGTTGAACACGTTGCAGGACTTTTGTCGAATCGCTCAGTGCTTGTACATCAAAATATGAACCCGTTCAGGGTACTGCGAAAAGGCTTCGAGTAACCGTCTGAGATTATCATGATGTCAACCCACACATTGTGCGACATTTCCGGAGCGACAAGCTATCGATAGGCTCGGAATTGACTAAATGCTTGTTTAGGGAGGGACATGATCCTTCGCCCCGTGCATGGCGTCATAAATGATCGCTATTAGTGAAGATCCTAATTATCAGTTAAAAGTGGTCAAAGGAAGAGTCAAAACGAAATTGAGTTTGTCTCTTAGCGGTGTGCTTCGCCCACGTGCGCAGCGCACGAGAAATGAGGGGTTCTTTCTTTTTAGGCAACTGAACTCAACAATACCCCTCGCCCTTTTTTTATATTAATATTTTTTTTCTCCATTAGACTTCTTTCCAAGAATTTTTCGCACTCAATCTCATTTACACTACGACTGTCGCAATGAACGTCTTCCAAGAACAGCGAGGAATGATCTCTCTTTTCGCCTCCGAAGGCCAAAGAGAGGGAGCCATTATTGCCGTCATCCTCGAGGAACTCAAGTGGGTCCCCTGAACCATAACAATCCCTATGAATCCTGGCTAATTGCCTCTGTTTCAGACTCCCCTATCGCCTTCATCTGGTCGAAAAACCAGAAGATATTGATGCGAAAAGTCTCCCGGTGCTCAGGAACATTCAAAGCGACGGCGAGTCCGTCGATCGTTCCGGGTTCCACGAGGTTGTGTCGTACCTGATTGCGCGCTATGACACAGCTCATGAAGTGTCTTATAAGAAGGGCTCCAAGGAGGATGATGAGGTCAACAAATTCGTTGCATCCTTAACTGAGCCCAATGCAGCCCATCCAGAAGAGCACCGCTTCGATCTCGATGCAAAGGATGGCATCCCCTTCGCCAGAAAGGCTATCAGTCTGTATCTTCACCTCGAGCAGCATCTGCAGAAGTCGCACAGTAACTACCTGGTGGGCAAGAAATGGTGCGCTATCTCGTTATACACCCCTTTGGTATCGCGCCCATATAAAGCTAACCATGTGCAGCACCCTTGCGGATCTCCTCCACCTCCCCTACGTGGCTGCCGCAGGCTCAGCTGGTCTCGACCTTGAGAGGTTCCCGGAGCTGACAATATGGTACGATCGGGTTTATCAGCGTCCGGCAGTGCAGAAAGGCTTCAATGCTGTTCATCTAAAGATCCGCGGATAGAATAGCCCTTCTATCACCAATTGACTACGCCATTGGTCAGGACAGCTGACAGAGATTGAAGCGATGTGTGATGGACTTGTCGCTCCTTTAATTCCTTAATTGTATCCACTGTTCACGTTTCCTGTATAGAGTAGTGTATGTTATAGATATCTACTGGGTTGTTATAGATCAGCGATTTGTACATTCCATCGGCTCCAATTCTAGACCACTGATCATTTCCGTCAACGAAAACAAATTGCTCGGCAAGTCAATAAGTACTTTCTCAACACCCTGCAATATGATCGTACGTTACAGATATGCTCGTGTGAGACGCACCTCAACCACCCAAGAGTCTAGAATCACGCTGCATGCATAAATGGTTGCGGAGCAATATCCACCATATAAAAATAGTAAATGCGGGGAGAAGGCATGTGACCTCGGTTGGCTCTTATGTAGCATAAAGTAATCATAATGATGATATCACCGTCCGATTCGCTGGTTCTTGAGTAAAACATGACAGAATTCACTTGGCTTCCCTACGTGGCCAACTGTGGTCAGCCAAAGAGATTCTGCAACCGAATGCCAGCTGCCCTCGCCATGTGTCCAATCGCCTGACACTCGCCTCACTGGTCGGGACACCCGTGCTTTCCCGTACGGTCGTACGAGATCTTCCGTCCGTCTGATTCACTTTATAGATAAATGCAAGCCCCAAGGAGCTACAATGCTGGATCATATAGCCGCCCTAGACTGACTATCAATCTACTACTACATATCATTCAGCATGTGTATCGCCTTTTTTTCCACCGCTCATCCGCAATATCACCTCATCATCTGCAACAACCGAGATGTACGTATTCCACACGCTTCATAGACCATGGTAACATCTAACACTGACCACATCACAGGAATTCCTTCACCGGCCAACATCCCGTGCAGGCTGGTGGCCATCCCCTCATTCCCACGTCCTCAGCGCCCGAGATCTTGTGCGCCCCATCCATCCCACCTGGCTGGGTATCACAAAACAAGGCCGCGTTGCTGTGCTAACAAACTACCATGAAGACACCTGCGCAAAAGCTGTTGGGAAATACAGCCGCGGTGAGGTCGTCAACAGCTGGCTCGCATCACCGCCGGATAGCGCGCAAACCACGCAAGAGTTCGTGAACCAATGGACTGCCAACGGGGAGTTAGCAAATATCGGTGGATTTAACCTCGTTTGTGGAAATGTTATGGAGCCGCTCGCGATTATGGCCAGCCGGGCGTCGGAGACAGAGCCGATTTCTTGGATCGCGGACAAACCGGGCCAAACGGTCGGGTTAAGCAATACGGACTACGATGATCGGTCTTGGCCAAAGGTTGAGAAGGGAGAAGACGCGCTTGTTGATGCGATTGCGGGGCATGTGCAGAATCAAGAAAGCGAGGACGCTTTGATTGAGAGGCTGTTGGATGTGCTTAGTCTGGATACGCTACCTCGATTGAACAACAATGCGGGTGTCCAGGAATACATCCCGCATCTTTCGCAGAGTGTTTTTATTCCACCTATTGGCTGCGACAAACAGGTGCGGGATGAAGCAGAGCTACCAGCCAGGCAAGACAAGAGGGAGGAGAGTCCAGTCCTACCGTCTACTCCCGAGGGGACGCCCAATCGTGCATATCTGGAAGGTCTGTATGCGACACAGAAGCAGACGGTCATCTTGGTGGGGTTCGATGGGCGAGTCCGATTCTTTGAACGTACATTGTACGACGATGATGCTCAGCCAGTCTCTACAGAGGCTCGCGACCGGTCATTTGGGTTCCGGATTGAAAAGTAAACGCCATACCAGGAGTTTCGGTTTCACGCGATTCTAGTTCGTCCATGTATATCTAGAGGGCATTGTGGCGTTTTGGGGACATATCTCTCAAATCATAAAGTCTAATGATCCAGCGTATTGGTCCAACGGTCAAACAATAGTTTCTATCGGAGCTTTAATTTGTGGGCTCAATTCCCACGTCAATGGTATCACGCCGTCGGTCACGTTGTCTTCAGTTCGGACACAGGAATCCATCGGCATCCCGATACCCCATGACGCGGCGAGTTTAGCTTAGAGTCGCATGTTGTGTGGGTTCATTGTGGAATACTGATTGACACCAAAGGGCAATAGTCTATGCGGCATGCCCCATGACATGGGTGATTACTGTCGTTATCAGTGTAGCATTCGTCCCAGAATTTAGCGTTCTTCTGGGTTCCTTATTTGTCAGTAATATGGCGCCAGCTGTGGTACTTTTGTCGCACACAATCTTCCGTAATAAGTCGAAGGATCAATGCCCAGATCGAGGGGTCCAGACAAATGACAAGGTTTTGTAGACAATTGGGGTTCCGGAATGGTTCGGAGGTCCCCGTCCGCAGCTACACTAATGATTATCTTCCACGCAGCCACGCCGTTCCTGATCCCCTGTCATGTTGTTTTCCTTTTTCTTGATTTAGTGTGGCAAATTGCGTTGTGATCCCACTGAGTACTAGTAACAGGTGAATGCGAACACTTGGGTGGTTCAACTATCACAAACAGGACAATGATTAGCTTAGGCATCTTTCATTCATTCCCTTGTGACCCTTGTCCTACATCTGCCATTGCCCGAGTACCACATCGGACCATATTGGCCTGTGAGAACAAAGGGAATCCCACTGCCATCAGCCCATCACGGGATGTGAGATCGGGGACAGGAGTATGCGGAGATTTCATTTCTTACCCTGTTTTCCATCCCAGATAAAGTCAGTTCTCTTGCTGCCTCCAAGGATCTGTTGTCCCATTTATCACAACATCGCCATACTCGTATCAACGTCACTCACGTCTATAGTTTGTTGTGATCTTTGACTAATTCACACCATGACCAACTCCATACTAGATAGTTACTCTTCAAGACGCAAACCCCGCCGCATTGGCATCCTGACATCAGGAGGGGATGCTCCGGGGATGAATGGAGCAATCCGCGCAGTCGTCCGCACAGCAATCCAGAACGGCTGCGAAGCATGGGCAATCCACGAAGGCTACGAGGGACTCATTCAAGGCGGTGCAATGATGCATCCTCTGTACTGGGAAGACGTTCGGGGCTTCCTATCGCGTGGAGGGACACTCATTGGCTCCGTGCGCTGTGATCGTTTCCGCGAACGAGAAGGTCGTCTCCAGGCTGCGAGAAACATGGTGCTTTTTGGCATTGACGCCCTAGTCGTCTGTGGTGGAGACGGAAGTTTGACCGGGGCAGACCTCTTTCGGTCGGAATGGCCAGAGTTACTCAATGAGCTGGTCTCAACAGGTGTTTTGACTGTGGCACAAGTCGCATCCCATCAGAACTTGAACATTGTTGGACTGCTCGGCTCTATCGACAATGACTTTTCCGGCACGGATGCCACCATTGGATGCTATTCTGCGTTAACACGAATTTGTGAGGCGGTCGATGCAGTGTTTGATACGGCATCCTCTCATCGCCGAGGCTTCGTCGTCGAAGTTATGGGCCGACACTGTGGCTGGTTAGCGTTGATGGCTGCCATCGCAACTGGGGCAGATTGGTTGTTTATCCCGGAGAGGCCTCCACGCGATGGTTGGGAAGATGATATGTGCTCGATAATTACCAAGGTACTACCATCATTACAATTTCTCCCGCTACGTCCACTTTGACAGGCTGACGTACTAACACATCAATACTAGAATCGCAACCGTGGAAAACGTCGCACTATCGTTATTTTGGCGGAAGGAGCCCAGGACAGCAACTTGGATCGCATTTCGTCGTCTGCCGTGAAAAATGTTCTGAGCAAGCGTCTCGGGCTCGATACCCGCGTCACCGTTCTGGGGCACATCCAACGAGGCGGATCCCCATGTGCATACGACCGCTGGCTGTCAACGTTGCAAGGCATCCACGCCGTCAAAGCAGTGCTGTCTATGACTCCTGACTCGCCCTCTCCGGTGGTGATTATCCAGGAAAATAGAATCAAAAGCTCGTCTCTGGCTGAAACTGTTGCGCTAACAAAGGAGGCTAATGCCAGTATGCATGCCAAAGAGTTTGAGAAAGCAACAACACTTCGGGACCCCGAATTTATGGAATACCATAGCGCGTACCGACGTCTGAACACCAGTGCTCATCCTAAAATGGTCTTGCCCGAAAATAAGGTATGCTATTCCTAACCTTAATTATGCACGAATTGAGCCTAATGTAGACTTCAGCGCATGCGAGTTGCTATTATTCACGTCGGTGCCCCAGCTGCAGGCATGAATCCAGCCACGCGCGCAGTGGTCGCCTATTGTTTAACCAGAGGACACACCCCGATCGCCATTCACAATGGTTTTCCTGGTCTCTGTCGGCATCATGACGATACCCCTGGCTCGGTTCGTGAAATGCATTGGTTGGAGTCTGGTGACTGGATCAACGATGGCGGGTCTGACCTTGGTACCAATGCGGGACTACCGTTAGACGATATCGAAACGACAGCTCAATGCTTTGAGCGGTATAAGTTCGATGCGCTCTTCGTTATAGGAGGCTTCGAAGCGTTTACAGCTGTCAGCCAACTGCGCAAGGCGCGTGAGCAATATCCTGCTTTCCGGATTCCACTTGTCCTGCTCCCAGCAAGCATGTCAAATAATGTCCCTGGCACGGAGTATTCCCTTGGAAGCGACACCAGCCTCAACACCCTTGTTTATTTCTGCGATGTTGTCCGGCAATCTGCGTCCTCGTCCGGGCACAGCGTGTTTGTTGTTGAAGCGCAAGGAGCCGAGTACCAGGCGACAGCTGCTGCGCTGGCCGCGGGAGCGATGACCGTGTATACGCCTGATCGAGGAATAACTCTCCAGAGCCTCTCTAGCGACATTGAGTACCTCCGCCAACAGTTCTCAAAGGATCACGGTGCCAATCGTTCGGGCAAGCTGATCATCCGCAATGACCAGACGTCCACCATATACAGTACAGCAGAGATCGCAAATATTATCAAACACGAAGCCAAGAATCGCTTTGATGCGCAGGGCGTGGTGCCAGGGCACTTCCAGCAGGGTGGCAAAGTCTCACCTATCGACCGTATTCGCGCGTTTCGGTTAGCCGTCAAGTGCATGGAACATCTGGAGACATTCACAGACCAGTCGCCGGATGAGATCATGAACGATGAAAACTCAGCTACGGTAATCAGCATCAAGCAGTCTCGTATCCTTCTGCTGCCGATGGGAGGTCCCACCGGAGTTGAAGCTACCGATACTGATTGGAAGCGACAGCGGCCGAAGACTCAGAGCTGGTTGGAGATCCAAGAAGCTGTGGACTCCTTGTCGGGGCGCTCGTCCGTGTGTGCAATCCCGAACTGAGAGGTTTACTCTACCATTCCTTTCATAGCCTAATGTTTACGAAAAGATCTTCAATTACAATTCCGCTAATACACCAATGATGACACCCAATTGCCAGATTTTCTTAACTCGAATGAATTGACATTTTTTTTTTCAAAGACTTGCATAACGCACCGCTCAATGCGAATGCCACGTTTAACGTTTCGCCGTAAGTCTTTAAACCATGAAAAGCATATTCCGATCCAGCCAAAACGCCCACCCAAGAAACACAAACTCCCATGGAAAACACAACCATAACCTCATAACTCATAGTCATCCCATCCAATCTCCAGAACCACTAAACCTGCTCCTCCCTCAGCCTTTTCGAGCTCCTTCTCCTCCGCCGTCCCCTCCCCTCCAACTCACTCTCCTCCACAGGCCTTGTCTCCACTACCTCTTTTGTCCGAAGTACCCCCAATCCCCCATCCCCAGCCCCATTCCCTTTCACACCGGCGGAAGGATTAGAAGCAGAAAGCTTACTCCTCCCAACCGCATACTTTGCCTTCCTCTCCGTCCGTAGAAGCTCCACCCCCCGCACCAGGTTCTGATACATCTTATCCCCCGCAGCGCGATTCACTGACGCATACCCGACAACATGACGCAGGTCGGGCTCTGGCCGGGCAGACTCCTGCTTGATTTTGGATAAGGAGAGCCTGCTGAGCCTGTATTCGAGTGGCTCGTGCGTTGCGTAGGGGAAGGTGGCTGTGCTGCGTTGCTGGCGTAGGGGGGTGGTGTTTAGGGCTCTGGTCAAGTTTTTTGTGAAGCTCATTTTGCTCCTTTTCGCCTCTTGTAGTGTAGCTATAGCGATGATATGATTGCGTCTTCTTATTGATGACCGAGTGAATCACTCTTCGAGAGGTAATGTATAGTATTGTAGTATAGAGGTACAAGTCAAGATGACCATATACTACACCCGAGGAATAGATAGATAGATAGTAGATAAGGAAGTAAGCAGTAGCTGTAGCTGTGAATATGAACAAGACTATGTATTGGACCAACAACAGCAACAACAACCCTGCCGACCCCCATCCTTATGAAGCAAAAACTCATCCCTCAATGCACCGCCCATCTCACACCCAATGACGAAAGTTGCACTCCAGGAACGCGATCATCCGGTGTGGCGATCCCGGTCCTGTGACCCGTGATCAGGCCACGGAAGCCCTAACCGGGTGCGGTGTGACCCAATCAGGGGCCCGTGGCTCCGGCGATCCTCGCGCTGATCGTACGTTATGATGCAAAAGCCGTGTTGGCTTTGAGAGAGGGATTTTAGGGGGCTTGTGATCTCTTTTTTGGGGATGGTATCATTTGGTGAGGTTTTTTTGGGGGGGTTGTGGGTTTGAGTTTCTTGGGAGGGGTTACGGTGTGTTTTATGTGCTCATCCTATCTGTATTTATGCATTAAGTTTCGGATATGAGGTGTTCACCCTGAGAGGGTTTGAGATCTTATTTTTGTGGTAAGGGGGTCTAGCAGCTAAGTAGACTTTCTATTATATGTTGACTGTATGCAGAACACATACTGCAAATGTAGCAAGTATACTACACGAGTCTGGATTCCTTCATGGAAAATCACCACAATGCCGGAATTGAATCAACAACAACAACAACAACAACAACAACCCGGAAAAACAGGATCCACGGCTGCACAGCAGAGATTGAATTCACTTGTTGGGCCAATTGCAGCCGTCGTATTACCGTGGCTCTGCTGGGGTCGGATCGCCTCCTGTGGGTATAGTGATATGGTCGGTTTCGGAATTGGTCCTGGATGAAAGGGACGTGGAACGGGTGGTCCTGTTCTTCGTTGTACCCCGCTTCGGCTTGCTCAGGGTCTCTCAACCTGAGAGAGAAGGTCGCGGTCCCTTGGTTCTGACGTGTGAGGCATAGGTGTGAGCTTGGGCTAGCTAGGGGGCTGGTTGGGTTGCACGGTGTAGGGCTAGGTAACGGTTTTATTGTGCTTGACGCGAGGGTCATTCTATGCTGATGGATGGTGGGTGGGGTCGGTGCTGTTAAAGTAATCGTGGAGTAAAGATACACGTCATTGTATTCTTTTTCTGGGGATTTGCAATCGAGCGAGTGTATTTTGTATATGATAATGAAGTCCTGATAGGCGAAGCTGACACTGATTATATATGTAGTGCTCTCGAGACACCATGGCACCGTCTATCGCATTACGAGATGGTTTATCCCAGGGTACGCCCTGATATACATGGCTCACCCGGGCTGTTCCTAGCCCAGCCACCCAGGCGGCGCCCCGTAGTATCGATTCACATACGTGGAAATGACATCCGAGTACGACGTGCGGGGAGCTACGCCGGATCTATCGGAGGATGGGTCGAGATCGGACCAAGGATGGGAAGGGAACAATGGGCCATAGGTGACGATCTTATCTTCGGGCTTGTCCAGGGCTAGCCAGCGCTTTGGACTCGAGCTCCGTGCCATATGACACTGGACGCTCGACGATGCGACACGACAAAGATATACAAAACTGGTTAGAAAGACCGTTATGAGGGTCGCAGGCGCCTAAGTGGTTTCCCGGTGAGGCTGCATGCACACTGAACTGGATCGATAGTGGCTGGAAAAGGCAGGAGCAGCGGTCGTGATCCCAAGTCATTTAGTAAGAATGAATGTTATCCTGGTTGCGGCCAGTGCTTCGACCGGGTTGTGGACCGTTGGTCATTGGACAGCTCGCCTGCGATGCTTGACGGAGTGAACCCATACTGGTGGGATGTCAGCAGCGTGTCACCTTGATATCGAATCCTTCTGCTTTGCTCGAGTCCTTTGTTCTGCACTCTGCCTAAGCTGGCAGGTCACGCTGCATTGTCAATCCTCCACTTACGGAGCCGCGATGGTGGCACAGCATATCGCGAAACGTCAGCGATCCTGGCCGATGTACCCTAGCAGAGGACTGAGCTCGAGCCGGTGGCCTTTAATTAGGTGAGCTATCGAGGCCAGGCAGATACTTACCTAGGTACTAGTTACCCTGAATCTAGACTTTCTCTTGTTTTTGCTGTTCGCAAGGGAAAGATAGACCCTCGCAAGCTCAAGGCAAACCACAGAGACGGATTGGTGCAATTTGAAACCCAGTATAAGATGCGTCGTTCCAGGTAGTCAGTCCTCAGCGGACTATGTGGCCCCTGCTATTTTTATCCAATGGCGGAGGCGAATCTACCGCTGCAAAATCGTTGTATGGCTCACTTGGTCAATAAGGTATGGATGGACTATCTGTATAGGCATTTTTATTTTTCTTTATAGATAACGTCTTCCTCTCGTTGGTCTATTTCATCCCTAATGACCTTGGATTGGTGTTGCGTGGCCCGGGGACCCTACCGGTCTATGGAAGACTGAGGCCTAAGGTGATGAGTGTCAGCCTCGCCTATACATCACAGAGATACATAGGCAGCTTCAGATACCTCTGGCTCTAGTACACCTATCGTCACTCCCATCCTCAACATTGTGCCTCCTGCCTGAACTATTGGACCCAGCTTGCCTTCGCTCCGTGCTCTGTCCATGCCATCCGAAGGCCATCTTAACCATGTCATCGTGAGTACTACTTCCCTATAGTCAGTTTCTGCCTATCAAATAAGCTGACACCTACTTATAGTGCCCGTACCATCTCCAAGAGGCCACCCAAGCTTCGTGCTGCCTGCAATGAGTGTCATGCCGCTAAGGTAAGCGGGAAAGCACAGATATATTTGCATAGAAACATGAGATATAACTCTCGTCCGTAGGTCCGCTGCTCAGGAGAGAAAACTGGCTGTCAACGCTGCGCTAATCTTAGCCTGGACTGTATCTTCTCGATCTCAAGGATTGGGAAGGTGCCTGGGAAACGAAGCAAAGCCAACCGCGCCGCAGCAGCAGCCGCCGCCGCCGCCGTTACCGCTCCCCCATCATCCACATCGCTCACATCGCCCTCTCGCCTGGAGTCCACAAATGAGACAGTCGCATCATTTAAGCCATTTTCACACGCTATCAAGGATGAAGGCGGACAAGGGATGACTCCTTCAGCACGCCATATCCCGTCCAACTTCGCCGTAGATCCTATAATCACCCCGTTAATAGTGCACGATTATTCGAGCAGCATGCAATTTTACCCCGGGGATAGCTGTGTACAGGATGGTCTCTCCCTCACAGACACAGTACCCACTTCAACACACCATATAGCTCATCCTCTGGGTCCCAATATTGACCTGGGCCCCCAAGAACCTGGCAACTTCTGCTGGTCCTCCGACCTGGAGCCCCTCAGCGCCAACAGCCTCCCAACCCCGGGACTAGAAATCTCAGCGAGTAGAGGCTCCTTAAGTCTCGACCGTCGCCTCAGCCACGACTGGGAGATGGAGACGAATGTCGCCAGCGGTAGCTGCAACCCCAGTCGATCTTGCACGACTTCGATCCGGCAGCCCGCAACTCCACCCGAGTACCTCGCTGATGATGTAATATACCCGGTCAGCGCCTTGGGAAACATGGGCCCAGAAACGAGCTACACAGTGTACCTGCAACTGCTGCACGACATCGAACAGACACTCGTCATGGGCCGGCAGCGCATGAAGGAGAACCATACGCTCGACGCCGTACTGGCCGCCAACCAGCAGTACCTGACAACTCTCCTACATCTGACCGAGAGCCTCGGTTTTGAGCAGATGTACGATGGCCACTTGCTGTTCACCGTTGCTTTGAGCAAAATCATCACCCTGTTCAACTTCGGATACCGCGACTTCACACTGCGGTCAGAAGCACATCAGTCCATGGGCTGTGCGGAGCGCCTGATCCGCTTCGGCGTGTTCGAGATAGACTTCGTCGAGCAGAAGGCTATCTGCGAGGGCATCTTCCTCAGGGAACTAAAGCGCGCGGGGGTGTGCCTTTCCAGATTAATGGACGTGTTGTGTCGGGAGAAATTCCCATATGCCCATGGCCGGCATGAAAAGTTATGTGAGGAGATGAAGCAGCATTTGGACCAGTTAACGAGTGCATTGGAGGCGAGCGAGGCATGATATCACGTGTTCTTTTTCTCCCCTTGACTTTCCTTTCCCTAATAATCTTTTATATCGATTAATACCGCTTTATACCGAAGAGATTGGAGATTGGTCCTCACAGACAGCTGGTCCAAAAAGTCCTAATTCGTATACCCTGGCGGAATGGATTTACATAGGTAGTGTCAAGGATACACGTCACCACTCATACATTGTAGTTGTTTTCCTTCCTGATCTCATCCACGTTCAATTGAGCGCAGTAAGGATATAAGAATGCTCTAGCCCTGGTATATAAATCGTTTCTTTAGTATTATCATTGTTAACAGGAATAGCTTTGTTATGTCTCATCCACGAGCAAATTTTACTCAACGTAAGCTCACCCAATGAAGTAAATGTATGTGCTCTCGCCAATCAATCCAGTCCAACTATACTAGTAGTGCTTGGATCTAGACATTCGGCCTCCGAGAACGGAGCCGTATACTTGGATGTCCCTGTCTTCTACTCCGTAATTGGGTTATAAATGGTCTCATTGTTGCGTTTAGTGTCGTGTATGAGGTCTTTAATTTGTTTATTCTGGGTTGATGTAAGAGATTTGATGTAATAATGCGAGGTATACATGGAGTGTAAGTTGAATTAATAGTTGAGGTAACTTATGTGTAAGAGACAGGATTTTGCTCTGGAAAATGAAATGTCACGAGACCATTCACCTGACCCTGGATAACTATAATGAGATCTATCGAGCGAGGTTTAGAGAGCACTGTGAATCATTTCCGCGTAATTGTACCCTATCACAGCAATGTAGAAATACTTCGTCATTTACTGTACATCTACAACGGCTAAACATCACCAGCACCTGGATTGAGCAGCGAAACCCACTTCGAGGAATACGAGAACCACAGATCATATTCAAGACATCAACTAAGCAACATCACAGATCCTGTCAAAACATCCATCGTAATCGCAGCTCATATATAAATTAAGTATTAACAGACCGGTCAGGGCCATCATATCTCAGAGGCGCTGCTTAAGGAGACCAGCAACGGCCACGTGGGTATCAAACAGAAGGAAAACATTCTTGCCAAGACATGCTCTGATGTGGCAGAACTTGGGTCAGAGTTCAAATGAGTGACTAGTAGTGGATCTTCTCTTCATAGATAGGTGGAACACCCTTGTCCATGTCCCAGTGGATCTTGTTCTTCTCATCCAACCACGCATCTTCGTCGGTGATGGCGATCACCCGCGAGGTATGCTTTACCTCCTGCTTGCTCACGCCGAGTTGATCGCGAGGGATCCAAAGAAGAGGTGGCTGGGAGGTGATGGAGGGGTGGAAATATGCGTCGCGTTCAACTTCGGGGGTATAAGTTGTGATAGCCGAGGCATTGGGGACAAACCGCCGGAGATGGGTGTAGCTATCGTACTTGTCTGGGCGCAGCCACTTGGTCAAGAAGTTTGCCTTTGGCTCCGGAGCTGGTCCGGTGAGGCCCTTTTCAGCCGAATCAACGTTAGTAACATCGTTGCCGATGCCCTCCTTTCCAGGGACACTGGCGCCGGCATCATCTGATTGCTCGCCCTTCTCCTGCATCAGAAGGGCTTCCTCCTCTGTTTCCAGATTCTTTGGGATATAGTTGATGAGAGGATCCAGCGCTTGATTCAGAGAAACATGGTAGATGACCATGACAACAAGGGAGATGATCATGAGGATGAGAGGACCGAGAGCAATTCGGCGAGCACCGGTTGCAATGGCGAAGAGACCGATGAGACAAACGTTGAGCAGGTAGCAGCCGACAGTGATATGCTGCAAGGCGCGTGTATAGGCTTTGCCCTGAGTGTCAATGTCCGCATTGGACACATACAACATGTTGTACCGGTAAGCGAAGTAGAACAGGTACAGACCAATGGTCGCGAACCCGAGCACCAAGGGAGCGATACACGAGTAGGTGATGGCTATTCACAAACAGGCGCAATTAGCCACATTCCATATCGAAACGTGAATAGAGTACTTACCGACGACTACCAGGAAGGTGAATGCAGGGTATACCGTTCCCCAGCCTAGACCAGAAAGTGAGGACCAACGAGTGAACATCTTACGGGGGGTATTGTCCAACAATGTGCCCAGAACCTTGCCCAGGATTAAACCGGAAATCTGAAGAAGCGCACCAGCGCTGAACGACAACCCCTGCAAGATGATGTAAGAGATGTAGAAGTTGGAAGCCTGTGGGATCTTCTTGGCCAGGAGCGATGCAGCAGATGTCGGATTGTTGATGATATCCGAGACCACACTCGAAGCTGACGATGCAACAGTGACAACCAGGAATGTTTGGACGACTTGAAACGTGAAGTAGAAGTTCTGGGTGGTCAGCTCGACAGCCGCAGCGGTCGGAGCACCACCAAGCTTGGCCATCACTAGAACAATAATGAGCGATTATTCAGAATTGAACTCGTTGTCGAAGGAACTTACATCGCAGGATAATTGGCAACAGAGCCATCAGCACGGACTGCAAGATAGTAGGCAGAAGACCAGTGATGACACCTCGGATCCAGCTTGGGACATCGTTGATAAAGCGAAGAAAAGGGACCTTCTCGGTCAAGAAAGTAATGTTCGAAATGGAACCAACCACGGCCGTGGGAATTGCCCAGAAGACGATGAGGGCGACAACGAATGCGATAGTTGCGAAGTACCGAATGACGCGTTCCCACCATCGAATACGGAGGTTAGACCAGATAACCTGAGTGGGCTCCAGACCGATGTAGCGGGGCGCCATGTGCAGAGGCAGATTGTGGGCCACTGTAATCGCATGTTAGACCAATCTTGCGACACCATTATGGCAGATATTAAATGGAGCACAGCGAACAAACATACCGGACTGATAGGCAGACTGAGCATCTGCCTGATGATAGAATTCAACAAAAACCGAGGAAACCAACTTTGCGTCGCCAGCTCGGTGCTTGGCCTGCAGCTCTTCGATCTCAGGAGTCAAGCGCTCAATTTCGGATCGGGCCCAATTGATCGTATCAACCTTCTTTCCAATGAGTAGTTTGAGTCTATGCGTGGGCCTCTCGGACGGTTTAATCCAGCGGGCTGCAACTGAGCCCGACTCGTCATTGGGCTCTTCGCTGGGGGTCGGGGGGCCGTCTTCAACAGAGCCCTGTTTCTTCATGGCCTTGAGGCGTGCCTTGTTCGCGAGAGTGATAAGCTTGGTTTCCGCAGCTTCGAGCTTCATGGCAGCATCATCACGTTCTTTCACTTTGTCGTCCAATTCGGACGTATCGGTAGTGATCCAGACATTCTTCACTTTGTCAGTACCGAACATTTTGCGAATCTTGTCACGATTGAGATAGTCCTCAGTAACAGCGGTGAACAACACGGTCCGAGACGAAAGCCGACTGGCGTATGCTGGGGAAAGGGCGTAGGCGTGGCGCAAATTGATATAAAAGATACTTTCACGTGTAACGGTGTACATGACAAATCCTTAAGAGAGCGATATGTAAGATTAAATGAACATGGAAGAGCTCACCCAAAACTTACCAAGGAAGAGCCATGCGACAAAGGCGTGCGCGAAGTAACGCTCGTACTTGCTTTCTTCGACGTTGGACATGCTCAGAATATTCAATTGTAAATTACCCCCACCGCCAGTTGCATTGATGGGAAACAAGATAGGGAACGTCATGCACGCGCCCACGAAGCATATCATGGATACCAATTTAAGGAAGCGAATCAGGAGGTAAGCGTCCATCGAATGGTGTTGCAGCACGTATTCATCAGGCAATTTGTACATGTCAATGATCCAACCCCATGGGGTAGTAGAGGTGGGAGGAGTACGCTCCCAAGATTGCAAGGTTCCTAGGTATGTTCGCGGCATATACGTCCGGCGCTGACTGCGACGAAGAATCAGGAAGATCAGAACCATCACTCCTGCCGATATCAAGGCCGGTACAAGAGTTGAGACGAGTGCCGATGCCGTTGGTGGAGTATTGCTGGGGTCATCACTGTCATCCTGCGTGTTGTTAGATGTGCCCACGGCCCAGAGCCGATCAATTTGATCGTTAGCAAGTCGCAACTCACCCGTCGGACGAGATGATGGAGGCCCCTCAGGCCAACATCGGAGAACGCCATTACGGCTGGGTATAATTTCTCGTTCCAATGTTGCCCTCGTTGAAGCGCCCTCGAATTGATGTTGATTCAGGGGATAGCGCAGTGCGGAAGATGCGATAGGCAACTCGCTGCGGGTTTTGGCCGCGATTGAATGAAAGATCGTCGATATGAGAATCGAGTTGGGATGAGAATTTTGGGAGGGAAAGAAAAATGAAAAATAAGCAAGGTGGATAATGTCTAGAAAAAGATAAGCGAAAGAAGAGAGGGACGACTGTAGTTAGTGTATCAGCCCAGCTGGAGAAAGGGAGATTAGAAAAGAATGATACAAGAGAACCCAAGGGTATGGATTCAAGGAGGGGCTGATTTTAGTTTTTGTTTTTTTGTTTTTATTTTTTTTAGAGTTATTATTATTTTTTTCTTGATTTTCGTTTCCTTTCCTGGTTACGGTGATCTTTGGTCAGGAAAGTCAAAGACGAGAAGGCATGCCAATTGGACTCCCAAGAATGAGAAAATCAATCGGGTGGTTCTTCGGGAGGGAGGAGACACTTACGTAGATGCCCCAAGCTGAATATGCTTTGTACCTTGGGCACAGAGCTTTACCGGGGAATCGTTGGTAACTAGCGACAGGAGTCGTGGGACCAATGCACACCAGAGCCAGTCAGCACCATAACCTGCGACGAGTGAAACATGGATCTGAGATGCGATCGCGAGGCAAGCGGGAACTTCACTGATCATAAGTAACCGATCAACTCGTAGCGCTAATTTAAAATTAAATAATTTTCAAGGCTAAGAACTCTTTGTGGGTTTCCTCATGATTCTAATTTTACGGTACCACAACAACCTGTTTAGCCATAAACTGTCCTCTCAAAAGAGAAATAGCATCAGCTCAATTCAATGTGGGATGGAGAAGAATAATGTCAATGTGCGGCGTATAATAGGACAGATGATACTCCGTACAGATTCTGTAGTAGCAATCAAACAATGTAGAACTTGAATATGACCGAAGTCAGGATCCCAATGATGCCACTGACGGAAACCTTGAAACCTCACCAGATAAGAGCAGCGGGACTAACGTTTTTTGGGTTACGAGAGTGGATGACTTGGCTCAATAGACCACTGTTAGCGTCAAAAGAAAACTCTCTGTGATTTTCTCGTTTTTCCTGTCATAATTGTCCACCCTTTCTGTGTCAATCCCATACAGAGTATACTCCGTATCATTGTGGCAACACCTCCTGACTCAGGTTCCCAGGTACAGTTCATCACCCCAAAGTATATCCATGGGTACCTCAACTACAGCTGGGCCAACCTTACGTATTTATGGACCCCGGCATCGAGGAACGGGTACCTGTTCCTGTACCTTACCGTACTGATACCGCTGCCTAGTAGCACAACCTCAAGGAAGCCGTTGTATGTACATGTACAAGCCATGGTATGTTACTGTAAATTAGTCCAGTACCTGAAGTGAAGACAATTTGAAACACATCCATTAAAGGAGGCTTCAGTCGCTTCAGTTCCTCAACACCTTTCCCTTATTTTGTCCTGGGGGTTCTTTTTCCGAAACACTTCCCACAACACGGTATGGGCACCGTACACTGGTGTAATCTGGTGTAATACAACTCGAGAAATCTACGATGGAGGTGTGGCTAGTGCTGCTGCCTGTTTGCGTTTTGCCACTGGCCTAAGCTGCGCCGATCCAACCAAACCTGTTGCTGATCAACACCCTCCCGTGTCTGCACCAGCCACACGAATTAAAACCCTACTACTACCAGCATGAAGTCATCCTCTCCCGACCGAGTATCCCCGTCCGTGGGGTTACGACTATCATTACCGATAACTGAATCAAAAACTTACAAGATAGAACATTCATGGGCAATTAAAACCAGTTGCCTCAGAAACTTTACAGCCCTATCATGGCATCACCACCCTCAACAATCGTTCATGCCTAGTGCGAACCACCAAGGCCTTATGGGTACGATGTTGCTCGCTACCCAGTAACGACCATGAACAGGTCCACAGCATGGTCCACGCTGCTTCTGACGCTTACACGTTCATGGCCTTACCGTGTGACCTATCGTGGGTCCACTTCCTGATCTGGCATTGTTTCTCGGATGTACCGATCGGTCAAGCCACACCTCCAGCCTGGTTAAGGTTGCGTTTGGAACGTCATCTGCCACAGCCACACGGTTTACATATGTGTTCGGTGTAGGTAGATCATCGTGATATCATCTTGGGACGAGGATCCTAGATTGGTTGTGGTTGTAGGGGTTCGACGGGGGGTTGGTTCGCTGCTTTGATTTGCTAGAGATTAGTCGTTGCCTTCTATAGAAGGTAGGAGAGTCGAGGAGTGGGATTGGTGGCTGTCTTTCACTGCCTGGTTGCTGGATTTGGTATGGAGTAAAGCTTATGGAATACACAAGAAGTGATCTGATCCATGGAGACGAGTTGTATGGGAAGGCAAGAATTTGCTGCACACAGGAAGAGATGGGGTGACTGCCAAGGGTTCGCAATGAAATTACTGGGACCGACTGTGGTCTGATTGGTTCAGGATATATATATTTCCTTTTCGAACCGGGTCTCCTACTACTAGTAGTATTGGGGTAGCTAGTCTTGAACTTGCAAGGTGAAGGACGGGTGTTACTACCATCGGGACCCAGAGCTTCCCTGATATACTTCTCAACAGCCATGAGAATCCTGTGCGGTGTGATGGCATTCCGGTCTCTATACTAAGAAGACAAGTCGGTCACAATAGACGTCTCTGCAGCTGAGTGCTTCGAGTTCTTCTTAGAAAGCATGGTATATCTTTAACGAGAGTAAGCATAATGTACATAAAACACCCCACTGTCTCCTATCCCTTGCGAGAGAAAGTCTAGTTCGTACTGGCCTCTGGTCGGTATGCGTAAGATAATACACGTCCCATAGTTATTAGTTGCAGGGGATTTGGGAGCCGTACAGAGGGAAAGTGACAGCTTGGCACCTGCCCCTGTGTCAGCTGTAGTATATACAAGAAATTAAATCCAAGAATCAAATGCTTAGATGAGATTGGCGCACGGCTGCCTGCAAACCGTCGAAAAGTTGTCGCGTCCTGAGAGGAAGTCAGAAGAGTAAATGTGCATGAACAAAATAGTAGCCCGGGTTGGATGTAGCTCAGAGTTCTTCCTGGACCTCTGGCACAGAGCTGTACAATTCTCTTTCAAATACATCGATCCCCCGGATCGGTGGAGTGAGCATCAGGAGGCTGAAAAGAATTTCAGTGAAAAGGAACTGAAGTTCTGGTCGAAGCCGCTTGTACAATTTCAACAGCTCGCTCGTGGACCAGCTTCTCTCAGGTTCCTGTAGATCGGCTTCATATCCTTCGAGAAGGAGGAGCCACACGAAGGACTCGCATGCGGGAAACCTATCGAGTTCACGGTCTTTCGCAGTCGCGCGTAGATGGTCGAGAAAGCGGCCGGTTTTGTTGGGAGAACCCTGGAAATCCCAGAGGGCGGCTGTGATGTATATCAGAGCCGCAGTACGCGTGAGCTCCTGCGTCGGCGCATTCTTCGTTATAATGTATATGCGTGACTGATGTGGAACATGAGAAGGACGAGGTCCGCTGGACAGCAACGGAAACAAAGGGCTATCCATTTGAAATGCAGAGCGACGCTGGGGAACTGATGACAAATACGCATCGGAACTATGTTCTAGCATTAAGTCTTCTGCTCCTCGAAGGAACGTGACCAACCATTGCTGGCCATCTTCGGAAACTGCTGGATGAAGCGGCATCAACATAAATTGCACATAATGCAAGAATGCTTCAGCAACACAATGAGATCCCGATCTGGAACGGAGGATCTGGACAGCCTGGTCTACGTATCCTCTGGCGAGCTGCCTGCTGCCAAATCTTTCTTCCTGTATTGCCATCCCCGTCAAAGCCATTGCTAGACTATCAGTGTCGATCTCCATGCCGCCCTTCATCACCTGTTCAATGCCCTTTGTGGCTCTCCCTAAGTGCTGTTCCACCTCAGGGCTCCACTTTAATCCATATGCGTGTGCCCTCCAACGAGCGCAGTACGCAAGGACAACAGACTGAAAAGGCAGGGGATGGTTGAGGACCGCCCGGAAGACTTGGTCTTTGATTAGTCTAGGCTCACCTGACCAGTATGTCAACCTGTTTGTCCAACAGTCCATTAATATGAAATCCTCTCTTGTGCAGGCTACGGGCAAGCTATCAAAAGGATCTTTTCTGGAGGCGTCAAGTAGGGTGACTGGCGAAACAGAATAGAAGGCAGGTGCAGAGCTTTGGGGCCCGACTGGTATCTGAAACGCCTCTGGGTGTTAGTAAGGCAATTGACTGTGCTGAAGCTCCAATTACGTACTGAGACCTCTTTAGGGACAATTCCATCCTCAGATCGCTTGTATTCAACGACTTCATTGTCATCGCCACTCAGTAATAACTTTTTCTGCTGCCAAGAGAGATAGCGAAGAGGGCGATGAACTCTCTTATCAGAGTCGCTCCGAGGATGCGAGTGTTTAAGTTGTTTTCGTTTCTCCTGAACATGATGGCGCATAACATGTGCTCGCTTTTCTCGGGAAGAAGAGTTTGAATCGACAAAATAGAAAACTTGATTCTTAGATGGGTCATCTGAGGTAGGTAGGTGCCTTCGCCTTTTGACCTTCACTGGAAGTTGACCGGCATTCTGCGGAGTCGCTGTTGCGAAACTTTGATCAGCTCGCGAGCGAAGAAAAGGAAATAGAAACTTGGATAAGAACGCCAACCTTGTTGTTCTGAGCCGGTAGAGAAGTCTTGCGGCGCTGAGCTTGGATCGGAATGTGCCAAATTAACCAAAGGGGGAGTGCCCACGGACATTGCGAGCCGCCTAGTGGCAGTGGACTCGAGCAATCTGACTGACGGGACAAAAGCTAAACCTCCTTAGAGGTGCATACCGGACAAGAGCTTTACCAGAAAACCCCCATAGATTGAACCAATTTGACGGAGGAGTTCATTGCAAAGTTGCGGTCGGGGAAGAGAATGACGATTGACGATCAAGATGCGCCGAAGGAATCAGCCATAGTCATGCTTATCAACGCCCGGCGTCGAATGACCCCGGTACGGTTCTTATTAGGGATGAGAAGCAGTGGGGTCGGTACTGAGCAAAAGGTCTCGTTGGCGCAGCCCCGAAAGTTAGATTCCCAGAATCATCTTTCATTGGCCAAAAGAAGCTTGGGCCCTCCCAAATAAGTACCTTCGTGGTTTCCCATTGGTAGGGGAAAGGAAAGACTTTAAGAAGTCCTGGACCTAGCCGCTGTCGGCGTCTGGCTTGGCAAGGATCCGCTTCCTTCTTCGCCAACAGGCATGAAGACCTTTCTCCTGAATTGGCTAGTCTGAGGATATTGAGTCATGGACGGTCCTGTTTGGGAAATGGATGAGATAAGCATTCTGAAAAACCACTTTACACGTCGGACTGCAATAACATTTCTCCGACGCGTTCGCGTTTCCAACGCGTTTCTGCAAAAAGAAAGTTATTATTGCTCCTTTGATCCACACACACTGCCAGGGCAACTTGAATATACCCCCCCCCTCCTGTCACTCTCACCCATAATTTACCCAATTGATCAAGGAACATTCATCCTGTCACGCAAGAAGGGGTACGTTCAATTAGCTCTTTCGACCCGACTGTATAGCGGCCTTGCTCTGGCTGCCCTTCACCATGTCGTCCCTTTTCGACGCCGTTCTTCAATCCGAGCTGGACTCGAACGTCGGCTCTCGCGACCATCGTCTGCACTCAGATCAACTTCCCAGCTCTAGGCCACATCCGCCCTCGGAAAGTAATGGCCCTATGAGTGATATGCACGCTTTCCCTGACGATCAAGTCGTTGAGTCGAATTCGTCGACCGTGACCCGCCGCCGAAACCCATATGTAAAGCCTCCTCCTCCCTTGGTCGATGTGGCAGGCGAAAAAGTACAGCAGGCCTTTGAGGAATTGCTTGAGACTTACCGGGAGGAACCTACATGGTCTGCGCCGCCTCCGTCTTCCGAAATCCTCAGCGACAAATACTACATTGCTCAAATCCATGGCATGAACAAGCATTCGCTGTCTACACTATATGTGGATTTCACCCACCTGACATCACTGGATAACCCCATCCTAGCAGACGCCATTGTCAACCAATTCTACCGATTCCATCCGTTCCTCACCAAGGGACTGCACAATCTCATTGCGAAATATGAGCCCGACTTTTATACGCACCATCGCAAAGTTGACAAGGTGAACTCAGATGCCAGCACGTCGATGATGGGAGGCAATTCGAGCGTTGGCATCTCCGACAAACATGAGATGGGAGAATACGTCCAGGAGAGGACACGTCACCAGCAGACAGACAAATTGTTCTCTCTCGCTTTCTATAATTTGCCTCTTGTCTCACGTTTGCGCCAACTCCGAACCTCACAGATCGGAAAATTGCTCTCCATCTCTGGCACTGTCACGCGGACGTCTGAGATTCGTCCGGAGTTGTCTCTAGGTACTTTTATCTGTGAGAACTGCAAAACGGTGTGCCCCGATGTTGAACAGACTTTCAAGTATACAGAGCCTTCGGAATGCCCGAACCAGTCTTGCGGAAACCGCTCTGGTTGGCGTCTAGACATTGGGAAGAGCACTTTTGTTGATTGGCAGAAGGTGAAACTACAGGAATCATCACATGAGATCCCCACTGGCAGCATGCCCCGTACTATGGATGTCATACTTCGTGGTGAGATGGTCGATCGTGCCAAGGCTGGCGAGCGGTGTATCTTCACTGGCACTTTGATTGTTGTTCCCGACGTCAGCCAACTAGGACTGCCCGGCGTGCGACCTGAGGCTGTCCGTGATGACTCTGCATTCCGCAGCGGAGATGTTGGTGGTGGGGGACTCACTGGTCTGAAGGCTCTTGGTGCGAGGGACTTGACCTACCGTCTCGCCTTCCTCGCTTGTATGGTCACCCCAGACACCACTACTCCTGGTCAGCAAACCAATCAGCACTTGAATGGGCAGTCTCATAACATTCTCGCTTCCCTCAACCAACTCACTGAGCCTGAAGACAACGAGGACAAAGCCCAGGAGGCGTTTCTTCACACCTTAACCCCATACGAAGTGGAGGACCTAAAAGGACTCGTTCATTCGGATTATATCTATTCTCGGCTCGTGGACTCCATCGCTCCCATGATTTATGGCCACCGTCAGATCAAAAAGGGCTTGCTTCTGCAACTAATTGGCGGAGTCAGCAAACATACAGCACAGGAGAACATGCAGCTCCGTGGTGATATCAACGTATGCATAGTTGGTGATCCTTCAACAAGCAAAAGTCAATTCTTAAAGTAGGTATTCAGGGTGTATTGTATAGGAACGGGCAGCTGACTGTAATTCTAGATACATTTGCTCTTTGCATCCTCGCGCGGTCTACACAAGTGGAAAAGCCTCGTCAGCCGCTGGTCTGACTGCTTCGGTTGTGAAGGATGCCGAGACCGGTGAATTCACCATTGAGGCCGGTGCCCTGATGCTTGCGGTAGGCGTTTCCCTCAGTCCTTCACTTTCTCTAAACGCAGCTGACGATTGTTTGATACATAGAATGGTGGTGGCATCTGTGCTATTGACGAATTCGATAAGATGGACATCAGTGATCAAGTTGCTATCCACGAAGCTATGGAACAGCAGACGATCTCGATCGCGAAGGCAGGAATCCATACGACTCTCAACGCACGTGCATCTATCCTCGCCGCAGCTAATCCTATTGGTGGACGATACAACCCCAAGGCCACCCTGCGAGCCAATCTCAACTTCAGTGCTCCCATTATGAGTAGATTCGATTTGTTCTTCGTAATCCGAGATGAGCCCAATGAAACTGTCGATCGCAACTTGGCCGACCATATCGTCAACGTACACATGAACCGCGACGAAGCCGTTCAGCCGGAGTTGAGTACCGAACAGTTACAGCGCTATATTCGATTCGCCCGGACATTCAGGCCAGTCTTCACTGATGAGGCCAAGGCTTTGTTGGTTGAGAAATACAAGGAGCTCCGTTCTAATGACTCCCAAGGCGGCAATGGCAGGTCTTCGTACCGCATCACCGTGCGCCAGCTGGAGTCTTTGGTTCGTCTTTCCGAAGCTGTTGCCAAGGCTAACTGTGTCGAGGAGATCGTACCGAGGTTCGTGCAAGAAGCGTATGATCTTCTCCGGCAGAGTATTGTCACGGTTGAAAAGGATGATGTCGAAGTCGATGACGATGAAGAACTTGTCAACGCGGCGGCACGTGATGAGGATCACGAAATGGGCGACGGCGAACGTGACCGAGAAGGCGACAGCCCTATGCGTGACGATGTGGAAGAGCAGCCAGCGCCATCGCGCCCAAGGACTAAGATCACCTTCGATAAATATATGAAGATTCTGAACCTCGTTGTCCGCCGAGTCAACGAGGATGAGTCTACCTCTGGTGAGGGTGTAGAGGAGGAGGATCTCATTGTCTGGTACTTGGAGCAAATTGAATCTGAGCTGGAGAACGAGGAAGATCTGCAACGAGAGCGCAGTTTGGCTGTGAAGGTTTTGAAGAGAATGGTCAAGGTTTGTTCCTCTATACAGCCCTGCCTGGTTGATTTGCCTGGCTAACCGTTTATCTCAGGACAACATCCTCATGCCCATTCGGGGAGAAGGCTTGGTTGATGCAGCCGATGGAGACCCAGAGATCTCCCACCGCACCGTTTACGTTTTGCATCCCAACTGTGCGGTGGATGACATTGTGCTCCCGGATCCTAAGAGCAAACGGTGATGATAATAAGCATATAAGACGGAGTAATACTGATTACGAGTTATGAGGTGTGCTTGTGCATTGTTATTTGGGTTAGATGTGGATATCTCGGATTAGATTAATAGTTCGGCGTCACTTTTCAGCGCAAACGAACCCTGCCATCTGCCATTATTTTTGTAATCTTTTGTATCCTAATACGCTTACTATATAGGCGACATGCCCATCTTATTTTCGTATCATCTATGCTGAACCAGCCGCATTGGGAAATTGTTTTTGATTCCATTGAGCTTGCCACAAATCTGCTCGCCCTGGGCTGCCGTCGGACACGTGCCGTATTCCTGAAAAGACAGTTTCGAAGGGGGCAACTAGTAATCAACTTTGTGCATCATACTGCCGCACAAAGAGTGCGGCAAAGCGCGAATAGAAAAGCAGAAAGTTAAGAGTTCCATAACAATAGGTACTACTAAGATATATATTCTTTGCATACTTAGGTTATATCCTTCCCACTCAACGACAGCACCTGCTCCAAACGTATACTTTTAATATCTAACACTCCCATCCTAGATATATATATATGTGTAAGGCGAGAAGACCAAAACCACAAAATCTACTCTGCATACCCCGAACAGCACTAACACAGTGACATGATCCCCCGACGAACGGACACACACGTGAGAATCAAACACGGACATTCCCTTCAGCGGTAACCCGCGGGGCCAAATCTAAATCATACGCATAATCCTCTATTTCAATCCATGGTGGGGGAGGGAGGGATGTAATATTAGCCTTTTAGGTTGGCGCGCGGGGGTTCAACTGCCATCAAGCTCGTGCTGTTTCGGTAGTTTCACTGATCTGACATGAGGGACTACAAGATGGCTAACCGAATTAGGGTACACTACATTACGACTCATGGGGAAGGTCTGTGGGCAAATAACGTTGGTAGGGAGTGTTGTTTGTTTGTGGTTATGCCTGTGCTAGGACCTCACAGGCTATTACTGTATTTGTTAAGGATTGACTGGGCTGCTGCACTTGTACTGAGATTCATAACGTCCTCTCTTTGCTCTTTGCTCTTTTTTTTTTTTTTTTTTTTTTTTTTTTTTTTTTTTTTTTTTTTTTTTTTTTTTTTTTTTTTTTTTTTTATAATCAAATTGATATTTCATTAGACAATAGGAATATCAGCATTAGTCGTGCATAAACTAATCTCCAGAGATAGTACGGCATACGGAGTACACCGGAGTCCACATCCCCCCCCCTCCCCCCGTATTCCCCGACAATTCAATACCCCGTAAACAGAGTAAACAGAGGTAAACCGTAAACTGCAAACCTCGGCAAAAACACTATCTATCCACTATCCCAGACACAGTAAGACTCTGCTCTTCCTCTCAGCCTAAGCGACTCATTCGCCACGAGCACCAGTCACGAATCGATCCCGTAGGATTACGCATTGACGCAGGAAATTGCCTGTTTAGGAAGTCAGTACTTTTTGCCTTGCATTAGTTTCGTAACTTCTGTTTCGGGGGGAAGAAGGGTCGGGGATATGACTCGTTGATGTGCACTGGGTTTGGGTTTGAGATCTATTCTATGGACTCTGGAGTGAGGGTGTTTGTAGTCTTGGATTTGATTCTGCTAGGATATCTGCAATCTAATAGGCAAGGTGGCGTGCTTCGGTTTGTTGGTTTGTCTGGACAAAAGATTGAATGGAGTACTACTGTTTATATTATAGATTCTTTGCTGGGATTGTTGATTTGATTTTTGTAGATGGATGTGTATACTATACTTGCAGTGTATTTATTGTAAAGACTGGCAAACTGGCAGGAATCGAACATGCCCGCGGCAGGCCATCCCTGACGAGGATAAACACGCAGCCGAGCTTCCCCCCGACGCCGGTCGACGAAAGGGGGTGGGCAGACGAGCCTATCACGTCCAACAGACGGCTTCCCTTCATCCTGCGTGTATGGTATGTATGGTATGGTCAGGGTACTTTTGGAACTTTGTCCACAGGCAGATCGTGTAATACTAGTCGATGCATGAATTCCTTATGTTATGCTATGTATGTACTTCTGATTTTTGGACTGTGCAGATCAGATCAACAATATACTTGTCAAGTAGAAAGAAAAACAATATGAGGTCAAATGCCAATGCGAACGCCGCGCTCTCCAGTCCGATATGCTAAACATGTTCGTCACGAACGAATGGATGTCGATGGTAGAAATTATCAATCGCTCAGAGAGACCAAGGAGAGACTAAACAAGACAAGGAAAAAAAAAAAAAAAGTAGAGAGTGATTCTCAAAACCTCAATGAAGGGAGGGGTTAGGTATCATCGCTAAAACAACTCGAATCAAAGATGCCGCTCCAAGGCACGCTCTGCGGCGTAGTATCCGCGGAGACGATTATGCCGCCGCTGCGTATTGCATCGCAACACGGTATGTAGTGTCTAAGCCCTCATCATCATTCGTCGGGCTCGGAACGTAGATAAGTCAATCGATTCTTCGGATTCCGTCCCGTCGTCCACCTCGATCGCTCCGATATCTGATGTCGGCACCTTGTTGCTCCCGGGGCTAACTGTCAACTGTATAGATTCCACGTGTGGAGCCTCGTTCTCCTTCGCGGCACGTTCCTTTTCCTGTTCCTCCGTGAGACGTCGCACTTCACCCGTGGCCAGTTCGAGCAGCGCTTTGAATTTATCCAGCACCCCCTGTAGTTCTTCCGAGCAGTCGCCCACCCGGAGGAACTGGTAAGCCGCCGTCTCACACAAACTATGAGCCAACTCCAACTGTCGATCTGCCATCTCAAAGGGGGAATTCTTCGCCATCACCCGGGCCTGCGGCGGAGGCCCCCGATTCCGGGTGCTGCGGATCTGGGACAGCAACTGATCATCAGAACCATCCGCGGAAGGAGGAAGCGGCGGGCTGTTCATGCGCGAGGGTTTGTTCAGAGCACTACTACGCATGGCGCCCATCTGGGACATCTTTCCCCTCCGAATGTTGTTTCTGGCCGTCCCGATAACCCGCACCATTTCCTCCAGCGACTTCTGCGTCTCCCCGTCGTAATGGATCACTAGGTTGTATCGGGTGCTGACAAAAGGGTTCTCCTCGGAGGCCACGGAGGGGGCTTCGTCCGTGCCACGCTTTCGAGGGTTCGGGGCCGGGGTCGACGGGTCCTGGGGGGCGGGCTGGGGGGTGTCGGAGTCTTTCTGGGTCGGTGCATCTACGGGGGGCGGCGATTGTGTGACGGCATTCCGCAGGTCGTCGGTCCGGATGGAGCACACGGAGCTATTCTTGCGTCGACGCGGTCTCCCCGGTGTGACGGCGAGTTTCTTGTACGCCTCGGCATATTCGGCATGTTTGGCGGCGGTGTGGGTGGCCAGATCAGAGATCCGGGTAATCCATGTGGGTAAATTATCGGAGAGGTGGGAGAAAGCCCCCAAGGCGTCCATTGCACCAGCGGGCATGGGGGAATTGTTCGCTCAGGGTGCGTCTGACAAGGGTAAAATATGCGGTCGATTGATGGTGTCGAAGATATCCCAACGGGGAAGAATATGGCTGGTAAAACCGGGGGTTAAAGAAGAAAAGTCGTGCCGTCGTTCAAGTCGTCAGTCGTCCTAAAGATGTGGAGGATCTGGGGTATAGAAGTCGAGAATCCCGGCAGCCGTAGCGGCATTTGTCACCCGCTTTGGGTCGTAACTACAGTTCCATGGAATGTTGAAGCGTATCTATGAGCCAGGGAGACTAAACTGAGTCACTGGTTGGGAACAAATTGAAGGAGGGGGAATCGAGAGCGAAGTGGTAGAATTTCGAATGGAATTGAGGGAGAGACTAGCTAAAAGAACATAAAGAAAAGAAGGAATCGAAGGGAAAGGAAAGAAATGCGACCGGACGGGACGAGCGAGACTTCAGAGGGAGCCAAAGTGGAGACCCAGTCGTTCGTAGCGGATAATACGACGGACTAAGGTACGAGGTGTACACACGGTATCATGATACGTCCACATTACCGTACCTATCGGCCTCCACAAGAAACAGGCGACGTCCCCGAAATGACTGAGTGAAGCCCGAGCGTGGGTCCAGCCATGCGAATTGCAGCAGCAGCAAGCAATATCGATCCCGTCTGGAATGTGAATCTATTGATGGACCTATCGTACCTATCGTACCTGTCTTTTGATCCCCTCATCGCTGACCGTTCTCACCCACTATCCTGCTAGTGATATGACCATGGACTGCAGAATAACCCTGATTCAGTCGTGGGTCGGTTGGCAGTCTCCACCCTCGGTAAGTGATCGGGGATGGGGGTCTGACCGTACCGTACCAAACCTACCCAGGGCACGACGGCCCCTCCCGTTTCGTTACTGTCCAATAGTCGAGGCCTGACCGGCGGGACCAGAACTTCAGGCATCCACACCCTTTCCTCCTTGGCACGTCGATGAATCCCTGGTCGTTGGTCCATTATTATCATTCTTTAAACATCGTTCGATTTCCTGAACAGTCATCCTCACACCCTTGCAATGCGACCCGGATCCTCGAAAGGAGCGGTGAAGAACCCCTCGTGGACATCTTACTTATGCATCTAGACAGTTCTTGAGAAAGACATGCAGATGGCGTCGGGATCGGTCCTCCCGGGCTGGAGGGGTTGACCAAAGTCGTCGTACAAAATTCGATCCCCGGTTACCTCCGTGCGACAGGGACTGACTTCGAGATGCTTTGGAAAGGTCCTGGAAGATCGGAAAGCCTTTTGTGTTCTAGAAAACGGGTGTCACTAGAAATGCCACGGGGAAATTAAAAAATTCCCAAGAAAAAAAAAAGGGGGGGGGAAGGAGTGATCTCTCACACCAGAGTCTCCTGTTAAGGTTCTTCTCCCGCCATGAAACAAAGAATATCACCACTGATTCAGGTACATGTCGATAATATTATATCAGCATATGTTATGATCCACACTGAACGGCAAGCCCGTTAGACTAACCACAGTTGCACTCGGAAAAGTGATTAATTAAAGTATGTACGTACGTAACTCTACTAAGTGGCAGGTCTGGAGCAAGAAACCCGAGGCAGCCAATTGAAAGACAGTGGCATGGATGTTCTCAACGGCTTCTTTACCCAAGTAAGCCCTTAGACGTAACGGCTATTTAGAACGACGGCAACGAATGCCATGTTGGGCGTAAGTTCCCGACGTTTCCGTCTCCGCTTTCAAAGGTCGCCTGGCGATCGTCGTGCAATCATTTCACATGGGGCAACAGATGAAAGCGACGAGCAAGGCAAAGGAATCGATATCCTGGTTATAATCGCAAAGATGTCTGTTCATGGCCGACGGGAACCAAAACACGCCGTTGCCAAGCGCTCTCCCCAAGTTGGCACTAATTCCAAGGCAATGGCTTGCAACCCATCCTACCTGCCTTCCCTCGCCAGTATTAGACGCACGTATGGCACGAGCGATTCCTAGTCGCAAGGTTCTTGGTTCGTTACGACGAACCGGTCACGGAGAATGGACGAGAATCTAGTCTCGGTCTACGACACGAATACATCAGACAATGGTGGTCTTACTGTGCTAGTGGCTCGGGTTCATGTTGATCAGTGACAACGCATCATCTTCTGTCTGTCACCTGCCATGTAAGCAATTGTCCACTTGGCAACACCGATCCCTCGCTGCTGCATACAGACGCAAATCCTGGATACGAACCATGAAGGTTAGGTAAACCAGTGCTGTTCTCAGCAACTGGACTCTGGGTGCATAATTACAACGAAGAACCAGATGAATTGCAAGCAATAACGCAGCGGACACTGTGTGTGCGCCGATGTAGTCGGGGAAATACGGCTTCTGAAGAGTATCTGTACAGAGTAGTCATTGGTCCTGCACCGTAGTGACAATATCCTCCATCTGCAATCATGTACGGAGCACCGGAGACCTTGGCTTTTTGCCACCGTCGTGAATGCAATGCCCTACATAGTTAGACCATTACGTTGCATGCGTAGCAGGGTTTATCGTGGGCGAATACGGTCGTACGGTCGTTCAATCAGTGGCTTGCCGCGGTTAAATCTTTTTCTGATAGTTTTGGTGAAATGTTCAGTTGACTATCTGACTTGTTAGAGTAAGTACAGCCAGGACAGTCCGCGGAAATATACAGTAGAAAAATCTACTATGCGGAGCAATTTACACAGTAAGGCATACTGAAGGTGTAAACCAGGTTCCTTCGTACAATAATGCATAGATGGTATTATATAATATCAGGACAGGTAACTATCTGTGTCGTGTACGAAGTTAGTACTATTATACTGCTTGGTCAACAACAATGTGCATGTGACCACGAGACTTTCAACAAACAAGCCAAGTACTATGCTGACTACTGCTCCTAATGGTGGTGTTCAGGGCAACCCTGGACTACGAAGTAGTACTACTACTAGTACTACTACTAGTAGTATGTAGTACGCACCTTGTGGCTGTGAATACGTGTCAGTTTTGTTGTCTGCATTCTGCAGGTTGCCCGTTCTTTTCTTTTTCTTCAGCCTTCGGAAGCTAAATCCGCAACCATGTGCAAAATAATCTTCTACTCCTGTTGTTGCTTACCTGCCTTTAGCTCTTGACTCAAGAGAGTGTAGAGGTAGGCCCTTGGTTCTAGACTACCCACCCAGTCATACGCTTCATGGCCATGATGCCTTCAACCAACTTGCCAGCAGGGTACAAAGCTTGTGATATCGCAGTAAACACATCCCACCCTGATTCTTGCTTTATTGTATGATTTTAATAATCTACCAGGTAGCTAACACTACATGGCGCATGGTGTACAGGCGGAGATTTCTACGCATGACCGCAGCGTGCATCCTATTGCGTCAACCGGAGACGACCTGAAGATGTACCTAGCTGGATAAAAGTCGATTCCAGGCGAGAAGCGACAAACCTGCAATATCTCAGCGAAACAGCATTGAGGCTTGCTGCAAAGTTGTCGCAATCTCTCATGCAGGTCTCGCCTCAGCTTCTCTATTGGAAATCGTCTTCCTGGCCCAAGCAACTCCTGCGTCTAGACCAACTTCAGCACAGAGTATACCGGAAAATGTGCCATCAACAGCTGTGATGTTGGGTATATAGAGGTGCTGCTCGTCGGCATAACAACTTCTCTATCCATCCTTCGATTTATCTACACAGTCCGGCTTAAGAATACTGGGCCTCTGCACAAGGTAAAAGAATTACAGAAGACTTTCAGGAATATCTCTAGCTGATTGCATATACCGGTCCAGTCCTTCCGATCACGACGTATACTTCGTTATCACACAGTTAACCACGAATCAGAATGGCTGAAGCTACCGGTAAGTGTACTTCTACCCACCTGGGGTACAACTACTTAGATGATCCAGGACAAACTTTCGACGCTGACCGCGGCCAATATTGGAGCGGCGAGATTGAAGCAGGCACTGCCAAGATCACTCGGTACCAAGATGGTAGACCTACGCGGTTTACCTTCAAGAAACCGTTCCAGAAGGCACCACATGTTCAGTTCACCCCTGACTTTGGGGATAACCCAGCCGCAGGATTCAAACAGTCTTGGCTTTACTTCCTGGGCCAGGGAAAGCCGGCGGTAGATAAGGAGGGCTTTACCGTGGGATGCTTTACGGACGCTAGACATGAGCTGACGTTCAGGTACACCGCCATTGAGATACGTGAGAGGTACTGAGTGCCTAGTAACTTTGGCTGTGGCATGTGTGATAGGGTCACCGGGAACGTTAATTGTCAATAGCCCAGTTATGTGAAGCATTCTATGAAGATACTATTTGGCTTTCGCATCTGTCCTGGCGTAATTCTTCCACGTTCAGTCGGACCCCCTTCACATATGTAGATGGAAAGATTCCTTAAACTATCAAGATGTGCCTTCTACATAAATACGCACTACGCTAACACGGAACCATTCTTCATAAAAAAGACCTGGTCGCTTCCTGGACTTTGGCTATAACCTAGCTAACATTACGACTTGCATCCGACAATGCTGAAGGCCCGAGATAGGAGAATAATCAGGTGCCTAAGCTCTGGATTTACGAGACTGATGTGACAGGGCATGGCCAGTGCAGATAATCACACTACCAAAAGAATCAATATTGATATAGAGAATTGGTTCAAGCGTGAGGACTTCATATCCTTGCAAGAAAGGTTCAATGATCGGCCAAATACTCTTCAATGGAAAGGATATATCAAATGTCATCATCTATATATACCACAAACACTTATCTCTCGTGGCACAAGAGCCTACGATCCTTCAGGGTCAGCGTTTCTTCCGTCTGCGTAACAATCTTTTCACTGACTATCGCAGGCACGATCCGAGATAACATTCTCCTTGGTATTGATCCCAGAACAAGAAGTGACAGTCAAGTCCACGCCGCCAAGGGCAGAGCTATGATTTCCGTTGCACATCGATTGGACACTGTGCAGAATGCCGATATAGCCTTCGTTTTAGATGAAGGTGATCAATTGTTAGACAAGGGCAGTCATCTAGAGCTTCTTAGGAAAGGAGAGGTCTACTATCAAATGGTACGTTCAAGAATATCAAGTTCTACATTTTAGTTTTATGGGTAACGTTATTTTAATGAAGGGGAAACAGTGTCAGAACCAAGCACTCGATTAGTAGTGCAGAGAACTTGGTAAGGAAGACTGGGTTATGGGATTTGGTATCATTTCGGCATGGTTAGTTTATGCACCTCGAGGATGAAACGTAGCTCATTTATACTTGATAGTGCAGTTTATTTCGAATGGTACGTTCGGTTTTTGGTCGGCCTCCTCGGTGTATTTTTGACGAGTGACGTCTGCTGCAAGAGCTTAGCTCATATGTGCCTTATACAGCATACCAATCTGGTGTTCAAAGTGACAGGTCATTGATGGTAATAAGCAAGAGCGGAATGTTACGCCGTGGGCTTCGTCTAAGGACTCTGTGACTGGTTAGCTATCCTGGTTAGATGAGACTTCCCACGATGACTAGAATTTACTAGTGATCGGTGATGATGGGTGACCGTGAGGTCCGAAACGATGCAAACCCAATCCGTGGGTATCAGCCTAAGATTCAAGAGCCAGGCCTATTGAGTACGTATATTTAATAGTTAGACAGTGTGAATGAGTTGACCTGGTAAAATCTACTATGAGCGTAGGAATTAAGTAACTGGTGAGGTTAACCACGAAGAACTAGAATAGGTACATGAATGAATGTCCTTATATATCCTCTCTCTTGGTATCCTTGAACCAAAAAGCCGAGTTTACCCTCGCAAAAATCGTAAAAGGGCTACAAAGATCCACGGGCGGGCAGATTTGGAGTTGGCTCATGATAGTACATCATCCGGTAAGAGATTCCAGGCTATGGCGGTCTTGGATTACCCGAGTAAGGGCAGCAATGCTAACTCTCTTCTCTCTACCCTCGGAGCTTGAAGACGATTATAAGTAGTGTTTCTATTCTGTGCAAGGCAAACTATCTATGAGCTTATTTCAACCCCCCAGACAACAGGAGACTCTGGCCCGTCATATACCCAGTAGTCACTAACATGGTGACTACATTGGCCGTCTCCTCCGGCGTACCCAGCCGGCCTAAAGGAATAGTCGCCACTGTGTCTTGAATTGCTGCAGCACTGGGGACCATGCCCGTATCACCTATCATAGCAGGCGCGACATCATTGACACTGATGTTGTATTCCGCCAGACGGGTGGCGAGATTCTTCATCATGCCGGTAAGCCCTCCCTTGGACGCAGCGTAGTCTGAGACAAGAGCATTAGAAATCACCGCATGTGAACAAGGATAAGAATATCAACTAACGACATCCATTGATTCCTCCCCCACAAGCAGCAATCGAAGACATGAACACGATCCGGCCCCATCGCTGCGCCTTCATATGCTCTACCACGCCCTTGACCAGAACAAAGGAAGCGCGAAGATTAATATTAAGCATGTAATCGAATTCCTCGAGCGGGATGTCCCATATATTAGTTATTCGTTTCCCGTAGCCAGCGTTTGAGATCAGGATGTCGGGTCTTTGGCCGTGTTGAGCGTCGGTCTCCTGGAATAGATTCTCGATTTGGTCGGCGGATCCAACATCGACTTTGTGGGTTGAAATGCGCAGCTTGTTCTCGGCGTATTTGGACTGTAGTTCTGTGACGAGTTCGTTTATCGATGTTGGATTAGTTGAGTATGTCAGTGCGAGGTGAACTCCACGTTCAGCTAGCTGGTGAGAGCATGCTGCCCCGATTCTAAAGCAGTGAACTTTTGTCAGCAGCTGGATATCTCATCGTGAACTGTGGGATGGTATGGGTACCCTCCTGATGCGCCCGTGACTAGGGCTAGGCGGCCGCGTATCTCATTTAGTGTCATCCTCTTATGAATATGGAATGCACGATGCCAATGGGACAGGGAAGTCTATTCTTTCTCACGCAAAGGTATGATATTGTGTAGTTTTAGGATGTCTACTTTAACCTCGGCTGCAACTCGCGGTGACCTCCACATGGTGAGAGCGGCCTTTGAATGAGAGCGCCAATAACGCCTAAGATAAAGCTACTATCGCTGATACCTCACCGAGCTAACGGATTTACTCCGCATATCGATCATGTCTCATGATGGGAACAGACGCAATCCGATTGTAGTAAGCTACTGGCTATCTGATCCACCATGGGCGGAGCTCCTCCCAAGACCCACTTAGTGCATCTTCGCGAGCTCCTCCTAGACTAGTTATACCGCTAGTAGTCAACCTTATACCCCGGAGTAAGATTCAATGTGCAACAGCACGTTGAGCCTTTTATCGCTCGTATCTGATAGCTTGGTATATGTTATCGCAAACAGACTTCTCGGGTGAATGATAGAAATTACCGTCGGCTATTGATCAGTCTGAGTCACTTCCACGATAATCTTTTTGTGAAAATAACGTTACAATGCTTGTGAGCAGGACGAAGGACAGAATACGACTAACCCCACCAACGTTCTTAGAAACAGATGCCAGTGATGTAACGGAAATCCTGGGCGGTGATGGAGATATCCCTCTCGTTGACGCCGGGCGCCCGGTCTATTAAAACGTGGAAAGGCAACACCACCAAGTGACGAGTATGAGAGCACCATATACTGAAATGGTGTAGGGCTAGATTGTAGTGTGTTAACCCGGTTAAAGAAGAACAAAATCCAATACATGCAACAGCATTAGTATGGAGGTCCATGAAAAAAAGCGTATCGAAACGATGAATTGGCCTATGCCAAACAGCCATGAGCACCTGCGACAAGGCTGATGTTTTATAGATAATGCGCCCTTCTTGACAGCTAAGACAGGTCATCTGCTTTTACAATTCTAAAACGTATATACTCCCATTGTATCAGTTGTTCAGAGTATAGGTCTAGTATACACTACAGGCAACCAGGCGCCGCGATAAGAGCATAACGATGAACCCTAGATTTGACATTAGGAGAAACTTTATGCGATAGCAGCAAGCTTAGTAACATATTCTTTGTAACTAACTAACTAACTAACTATACTTCATGTTAATAATAATCGAAACTGGTTTGTCCTGATAGACTCTAGTCTTAATTGAGAGTTTGAGACGCATATACTAGCTGCTGTGGACAGTACTAGCGCTCTTTGACGGGCGCTAACTACTAGCGCTACTGCTACGAGAAGGCAGCCTAGGTAGCTGGAGAACTATCGGAGAGGTGGAAGTTCTATAAATGTTAGCTTTGAGAGCCATTATGTCTTCTATCCAAAATTGAATATATGAGCTATATAGGCTTGTTTTCTTCTGATCTTCTACCCTTCTATTGATTTGTTGATTATTAGTTTATTGTTTGGTCTCACAAACTTCGAACGATGTCTAAAATCTTCAAGGCTGCGTTCTAAGGGCTTGCGAAGGAAGCACGCGACAAGGCCGATACCCTTGTAAACCCAGTATTCCCCTCGGCAGCAACTACTACTAGTAGTACGATTCAAAGGGCGCCTGTCTAATGAGGTGTTGGGAATACCTTTTCCCGCCCCATGTCATCTGACCCAATACCGTAAACAAAAGTGATTCCCAGAGTCAGCATCCAATCTTCCACCTTACTAAGACTAAATTAGCGGCTGGTATTGACCCAGAAGTTGGATAGGTGATGCGGTAGTTCGTTCTTCTTTCAAACAAGCCATTGGCACGCTGCACAAGAATGTATCTCTCACAACTCTCTCACATTTCCCGCATTGGTTCGACACATTCACAGACTCTTCGCTATCTCAGACGAATTTAAATGACACAATCTGTAACTACCCCTCTGTGGAAAGCCACAGAGGACAGCTCAGGTAACTCTTAAATTGCTGAGTGCTCGATTGTAGACTAACCTTACCGATAGAGATACTTATCAACGAGGCAGATCTATACAAATATCAACGATATAGGTAACTGTATAATTTAATCTTAAAAATACCTGAAAATGGCTAACATTACTTAGAAATAACGAATCTCATAATCTTGCAATACACTACTGTAAATTCAACCCACCAGCGCTTTTAAATATATCTAGACATTGACATCTCCCACGGGACTCCCACCGTGGACGGGAATTGGGACTAACCTTTAGTCTTAAGGCTTTTCAAGAGCTCCTTCTCGCTAAAATAATAATATATTATATACAGAGATGGTCTAGGAATATAAGTCTATAGACAAAGCAAGTTAAAGCTGGGCTCCTAACTCTTGCTCCCGCAAGAGTTATCCAGGAAAATAAATAATATTCCTTTTCTAGCCTAGTCCCATCTCTTGATCGCTTGGTAATTTCTAGAATTTGGATATACAGCGATACTGTTTAACGAATAATATAATTGTCAATATTTATATATACTTGTTAGAGGCTGTAGGTATACTCTAATTAAATATTAAAGAATAGATATCCGCACTCCAGTTATATAAGAAGTAGCTTAATTATATATATGATTCGAAGATATATAATACTTGATACTCTAAGAGACAGTATCTTAATTATATCTCTTATTCATTATAAGTATAGACAAAATATTTATTATATTATATTTTAGGGAACAGTTAGTATACCTGCTCCTTCTATAATATTACTACTAGTTCAATTACCCATAATTTGTCTGTATTATAGGTCTCTTATAACCCTTTTTATTCACTTAATAATCGATAATAAGATGCATTCTCTAAATAATCTAATAATTCTTATGAATTCAGAGTTATTATCCATCGTCCCACTATACTCTTTTGAGTCTTCTCTTAACTAGAATTATCTAGCTCACTCTGCACAATAAGTTCAGGACCCTCAAAGCTATTATATATTAATCATACTGCATGTTCTAATAAAAACTTTCAGCCTATGATATCCACAGCTCAGTCTATCGGCCACATGATGGGTGTAAGGGTGAACAATAGGAAACCCTTTTACCACTTATCAATCAAATATATTAGGCCCTCAAGAATGGAACATTTCCATTAACCAGTGGAAAGGCTCTCCTCGCTAAGAATCAATCTGAAGAATATTCCTATAAGCGCCGGGGCTTTGTTTATTGCTCGTCAACTCCACGGTGCCGACCTTGATGCTATTGTTCTAATGCTAATACAACGACTGTGGTTTCAGTGAACTTCTTGAATAGGATATATCTAGAATATATAGAACATGCTGAATAGTCAATGCAGCCTGTTTGCACTCCTGCCTATGGCTTAAACCCTTCTGCCCCAGCTAGGTTACTTAGATTCTCCAATGTATGCTTCCATCTATCTGACGCAAATAGGTTGGGATGCCGCGGTTTCTTGGACTCTTCCAGCGCATACATAAATGGAGTCATTCCTTTCTCGTCTTGGTCATTCCAGTTGATGAGATTCTTTTGCAAAATGAAGTTAAGAATATCTTTACTCACTGAGCCATGAATAGCTCCATGATGTAAGATATTCTTTCCACTCTTGTCCGTCGCGGACAAATTCACACCGTATTCTGATAAGACCTTCAAAAGCTCGACCTCCGCCTTCCAATTGTGCATCGCCAGGTGCGCTAAGTTCTCACCTTTTGGGCTTGTCCAGAGTGCACCAGCTCCCTGCAGCAGAAGAGAGAGGCAAATTTCTGACTGGCATGACAATTTAAACCGCCGCAGGTATATGCTAAGAGGGGTGTCTCCATTTTTGTCAATGTCGTCAACTCTCACACCATGGTCCAGTAGTATGGTAACCATTTCGAGGGAGCAGATACATGATTGGAGATGATGATGCAGTAAGGATTTGCCCAGTCTGTCTGTTTCGAGACATATCTGTCGGCTTCCATCTCTATCCTTGTTTAGGATTATTCTTACGGTGTCACACCTATCGTGGTGCACGGCGTAATGCAAAGCGGTCAAACCTTCTGAATCCTTGTTGGTAATAGAACAACCCCAGTCCAGGAATTTGCAGACGCTCATAGAACTTCCTGCTCTGCAGGCGAGGTGTAATGCTCTTTGTCCTTTCCAGTTACGTGCAAAAGCATTGGCCCCCTTCTCGAGCAGTGACTGAACAATCACTTCCGAGTCAATTTGGTCATATCGAAGTTTATGAAGTGGTGATTCTAGTGCGGTGTTTGCGACATTCACATCAATATCACTTCTTGCAAGAAGGATATTAATTACCGCTGATCTCTGTTCATCGATATATGCGTGGATCTCGCGTGCTTCCTCTCCCTCATAGTCAGATATGTAGTCAGCACTAAGCTCAACTTGCCATCTGTTGTCCGTCCATGCGTCATCGTTTGCCAATCCCCTTGGACTGCTTCCTAGGCTGCCTCTATTCAGGGCAATATGCAATGGTGTGTCCCCGTCGTGAGACTGTGAGTTTGGATTGGCACCCTTGTCCAGGAGATATTCAGTCATTGCACAGTGGCCGCTACAAGCTGCAAAATGTAGCGGTGTGAGACCAACAGCGTTGGTAATATTCGCTTCTGCATTTTGAGGTGGCTGACGTCTTTGATAGGTTGTTTTTTTAGCTTCCATACTAATCGTGCAAAAGTTTCTCTCAACGCCAATATTAATATCGACGCCCGCCTGGAGAAGTATATCCACAACTTGGCGATTTCCTGTGGCAACTGCATAATGCAGCGGGGTCATGTTATCAAGATCAGCCAAGCTGGCATCAATATCCCAAGATAAGAGCAAGTGGGCTAGATTGGCGCTCTTATCCTTTGCGGCGAGCACTACCAAATGTAATGCATTCCGACTCATTGTATCTATGGCATTGACAAAGGCCCCAGCATCTAATAGCTCTTTGATCGCCGCAATACTGAGCTTGTCTGCGGCAGCCAGTAAGGGCGTCTGCCCATCTATATCCTGAATCTCGGTAAGTGCACCTTTGCTTATCAGGAGATGTGTCAGTACAGCGTTGTCTTGGCTTGCTGCATAATGCAACGCAGCTCTCATCTCGGTATCTGTCACATTAACATCGAGCCCCCCATGTAGAAGAACTTCAACTGTCCGAATCTGCCCTCCCATCACTGCCCAATGTAGAGCGGTATGACCAAAACTATCCACAGTAGCGATGCATGGTGTATCCTTTAGAAAGTCTATAACTTCATGGTTTATTCCGAAGTATGCGGCGATATGCAACCCTATAACCCCTTCCAGTTTCCTCAACGGACGGAAGAGAGATCCTTCTTCCAGTATAACCTGCGCTGCGCTAGCCAGCACTGAGCTATGCCGCAGGAAATATGATGTTAACTGTTTGACTTCGAGATAGGATTCCCTAGCATAGAAACCCCAATACCGTGCGACATACTCGTAAAGGGGATTGTCTTTTAATCGCTGTCGGTATTCTTCCCAAGTCGTAGCTGGGCCCCTTTCAAATGTTTCATATGATAGGTAGGTCACACAAGTCTTTGCAATATTCACATCGGCATCGGGAAACCGTTCTATCCAAGATTGATCAATGTACTCCTGTGCTGTGAAGTGGACCAGGCGTACTATTCCACAACTTTTGTCGGCGGTGACCAAGCCAGCGCAAACATCGACTATTATGTCAATGGCTGGGATATTATCTAAATCAATTGAGCATGAGTTCTCTGTAACAGCTAAGGCGTGCTGTAGCTCGATGATTCCCAACGGTCGCCGTGCACGAAATATCCAAGAAAGAATCTGAGCAGCTAGTATTCTGCGGTTCATAGGCTGTTGCTCAATTCTGTGCATAATCCTGTCGTAAGCTGCACTGTATGCGCCAGAAACTTTAGGTAACATTTCTAAAGTCCTTTTGATTTCGAAGATGGTTATCGTATCCTTCAGTGACTGCAAATGAAGATATGCGAGGAGAAACCTGACCCAACATTCAGCAGACTACTAAGTAATGGTATACCAGCAAACTCTTACATTCCATCAGTTGCTTTTATAATTGCCGATACGATCTTTTCTTCCAACCCAGGCTTCTCCAGAACAGACTTCGGTAGCCAAGCTACATTGTCGTCGAGATATCTCCGGATGTCTTCATCGCGAGCGCGAATCTCGAGCACGATACTCCCTCTTTCGTCAAATTCTGTCTCTATTGCATGAATATGTCGCGATGTCACGAAGAGATTCACACGGGTTTTGCCCTGCAGACTGAACAATATTGCTAGGATATCTGACCGTGACCCGACAGAGCCACTGCATTCATCCAGCGCGTCAATGATTATAAAGGTCCTCGTATACCCGCGAACGACTTCCAGCAAGATATCCATAATATCATCCGATGAAGGGCGAGTATTTCGGGTTATATGCTGGTTGTAAAAACTTCTTACAATCTCCGGAATGGAAGGCCGAATCAACTGCGAAAGGAGGCTTGAAAGCAGATCACTACGCGAGATCTGGGGCTTTTGCCAGTCGAAGTATACGTACGCAATACCCGTGTTCGTGTCCGCGTCCCTCTGATAGTTCTGGCACAAGTGATCAATGATGAAAGAGGCAGCGAAAGTTTTGCCTGCACCAGGAATGCCTGGGCAAAAAAGAATCTGGTTGTCCTTCTCCAACCATTTTCCAAACTCTTCTGACTTAATGAGCCACCCACCTGTCCCCTTTTGCCATTTATCCAGGTAATATTTCTGGTCCTTGGAGTAGTCAATGCCTGCAAACCATTCGCGAATAAATTTGTCTTCCTGATTCCCCTTAGTATCCCGCCATGGTGGTAAACAACATAAAAGGTCTTTTGCATAAGCTGCCGCTGCCATTGCTGCATAACCTTGCCACAGGTCATTTTTATGCGTGTCCGAATAGTCACATATACCCCGAATGACCAAGCAAGGAAAGTGGTTCATCAAACCTGCAGCTTCCATCTCGAAGCATAGAACCCCCTTTTCTGCTGCAAGCTTATCGCGTATTGAAGCGTCCTTCATGAGTTGGTTTGCCGACGCAATTAAGCCATGGTGGATCATAGGGTTATCATCGGTTCCACTTCTCTCAGGGCGCACGACTAAATTAGATTTACTGTCATTGCGCTCTGTCCAAAAGCGGAGAAAAATGCCTAAGCTAAGAAGGATGTCCCAGAGAAACTAGACCTGAAACTCAGCGTGAAACCAGCAAAAGCAATGCCAATGCTTCTCACCATACCTTTCTTGTCAATACCATAAACATTGATCGCGCACTGCCTGATGTATCGCTATGGGAATGAACAATTTCAGATTTGTACAGCTTGTCAGTGCTTGGATGTGGCCTTTGGTATTCCTTTCGTAATCTTTCGTTCTTCTTTAGGACATTGGATATATGTTCGTCGAGCTGATGGCCCTCGGTGTCGTGTTTGGCTCGGAGCACACTCACAGCCGTGAGCAGACACGTCGGTGGCTGATTCCAAAAACCTGTATATTGGAAGCTTTTGTTTTGAATGGTTTTACCGAAATCATATTGGACCACACCACCGGCCGTATTACTAGGGGTACTGACAACAACATCACCTAAGCGGATATCGTGACGTTGACTGGGCGCACCTCCACCAACACCAACCAATAGGCCGATTTTAACATTCGGGAAGCTATGCAACATGTCTCTCCCGACGCTCGCAGCAGAGCATATACCATAAATGCCATCCGGTAAGACAGCTATAACCACAAGGTGGGCTCCAAGCTTGCCGAAGGTATAAGTATTGTTGTCGTGTTTTGAAAGCTCAAATGTTTCCTCGTATACCTCGTCCAGAAAAGCTAGGGCAGCGACGTATTCCTTGCGGATGGCACAGATCCAGCCCACTGTGTATTTATCCCGAGAAGGCATCACGTTAAGCGAAGCAGTGGCAAAGGCAGGGAGGATTGGAATTTAAGGTCAGCTCACACTTAAGTCGACTCGTGAAGATATTTACTGGGAACATAAAGATGATGGGTTGAAAGATCAGAGACCGAACCCAGCATCCGGCAACTCAGCCTTGTGTCTTCCTTCCCTTATACGCACGAATGAAGATACACCACGTCAATTGTGTTTGAAGCCTTGATTATGCAGATTTAGCGCCCACGCCACTTCGCGAAACACCAATAGCTAGCGAAAAGTAAACTCCCCCCACCAGTTATATAGTACTAATGACCACACATCTACCAGCTGTATTATCTGCATATCTATTTATTCATGTGTTCAGGTGATTTGATTACACTCTGTATAATAACTAGTCAGTCGTCATAAGGGACTGCTTCGGTTTTAGCTTGTCACATCTTCGTCCGTCCCTTAACATTGCAGTGTATACAGGTTATCTGATCTTTTAAAAAGTTCGGATGACCCTTCTGTGAAGCACGTGACTGCCAAGCACAAATTAATAAGTAAAACGGGTCAGATTAATGTATACAGTAACTATAATACAATTTCTCTGTATTATTATTTATTACTTTTAATATTAAGTATTTCTTAAGAACTTTCCAAGTGCTTTTTAAGTACTTTTTAAGTACTTTTTAAGTATTTATTATTCTTTAAATTCTTTATATTTTTTATATTTTTTATATTTATATAGATTTTTATTATTTAAAAATAAGATTATTTATTATTAGTTATATAAAAGATAAAAATAAAAATAAATAAAAATTTTTAAATAAATATATATATTTATTAAGTACTTAAAAAGTACTTAGAAAGTACTTAAGAAATACTTAATATTAAAAGTAATAAATAATACTATAGAAAATTGGTATTTTTTATAGTAATAGATCATACAGTGAAAAATATTGTATTTTGTTCCTGACGGTCACGGGACTAAAATTTGATTATTAAGCGCCTCGAGGGTGGCGCGAGCTGGAAGTAGGGTCTCGATGACCTGCAACCACACAATTTCTCACCGATTCTATGATTCTATCTATATGACAATTTTTCTTATTTTGGCTATTGATATACGTGGCCAAAATGCTCAGTGATTAGTATTTAGTCGCCTAGTTTGCTCTAGTTATCCAGGAATTCAGACGCTCATGCATTAATATCTTTGGCCATAGAATTACTAGTGTATTCCGAATACTATTTATGTTGACTTCTTGGAAAGTTTTTCTGTATTAGGGCCTCACCGAAGAAGGGTTGTGCTTACCTATATACCAAGGAGCATTACAGGTTGACGACAAGCAAAATGAGATTGGTCTGAAGCAGCTGCAGCCATGCAATCTAAGGTCTAGTCCAGGCGCCAATCCAGGTTCCAGACGGTCTAAGATACAAAGTATGTTTCTGCTTGGAGTGGCATCCCCAGTGAACCATGGGCAGCAGCGTTGATTCCTCACACAGTGGCCTGCTTGTCTGACTGAAGCTTATCTGTTTGCTCTGTACAATGCATATCGTCATCTTCCTGCGTCGGGCGAGTATTGACCCATGGAATTCCGCCGGATAGAATAAATGCCAGAGCGCTACCAGCTATTGGAAGATACTAGTAGAGTCAGCATCGCCAGCTTAATACGGAGGTGACAAGATTAGAAGATTAACTCACAAAGATAGTTGTGATGGCTTTATTGTATGCAATGATAATATCGGCTAAACGGTCCGGAAATGCTTGTACAGCAACTTCCCGCACCCTTAGGGTTCCAGTATTAAGAAGCATCTCGATCTGCTTATAATCCAACGATGCCTGATCTTGTAGCTGTCTTTTCAATTCGTTCTGAAAGATAGCGCCTCCTATGCTTTGCATCACCGCACTTCCAAAGTATTGCGTGAAGAGAACAGTCGCTATCCCGACTGGAACGTAGTGAGGTCTGTCCTTCAATACAAGCTGAACTGTAAGTAAAGGAATCTGGGCTGCAAATCCACAACCCAGGCCCTGGAAGATCTGATAACCAATCCACAATGCGGACGTTGAGGATACAGTAAAAGTTGTGTAAAGCCCGTTCGCAATGCAGAGAAAGGCAGAACCAATGAAGAGCCACGGATTATAATATCTGAGGTGTTTGGCTATAGCAATACAGCGTCAGTATAAATTTTCGTGAAATGGTGAGAATATATCCTGTCTTTACCTAGTATTCCAGAGACAAGGGATCCAAAAACCTGAGTACAAACCGAAGGCAGAAGCATGACTCCACTGCGAATGGGGCTTGCAGACTTAATAATTTGAAACCATTCCGGTAGATAGTAGACCGGAATGACGAATGACCCCAAAAACAAAAAGGCAAATGCAATACTAAGCATTGTCGATCTGCCCCGCAGAAGCACGATTGGGATCATAGCTTGATCCCCCATGTAACATTCCCAGAAGATAAAGATCGCTATCATCACTGCAAAGCCGATGAAGAGTCCGATCACGGTCGCTGAGTTCCAGGGATATTCGCCACCTCCCCACTGTAAGGCCAACATCACCATAATGATGGAGGGTATAAAGAGAGCACATCCGATCAAATCGAGCTGTTTTAGGAAGGACACACGTTGGGCCCCAGTGTTTTGAGGCGGATGGAAAAATAAAAGCAACGTCACCACAGTCACTGCTCCTGCTGGAAGATTGATTAGAAAGCACCACCTCCAAGTATATTCAGCCAAAGCACCTCCGATAATTGGGGCGACAACAGTTCCCAGGGCATAAAGAGAGGTTATCAGCCCAGTGAACAGTGGACGCTGCTGAGGGGTTGTTATCAATGCAATTACTGAGAGACCACCCGACACTACCCCAGAGCCTCCAGCACCAGCGACTGCTCTTCCGATTATGAACATTTCGGAACTGTTTGCCACACCGCAAATCAGAGATCCTAGAAGGAATATGCCGTAGAACCCGAGGTATGTCCATCGCAGCGACAGCAATGACGAGAGCTTGCCACTGATAGGTTGAAGAGCGCACATCGTGAGCGGATAGGTAGCTCCATACCAGCCGATATCTGTTGTAGCATGGAAGTGGGTTGATATTGAAGGAATGGCCTTTGAGAGGTAACTTTTAGTTCCACAAAAAATCAAGCAATAGAACTGAGAGACTTTCAATGAACTCACAGTAGCAATAATAGAGACATCCAATGATATCAGGAAAGTGGCTATCATAATTCCGGCCAAGATGCTATAGAGCTTCACAGAGCCGACCGGCTGTGCTCTGGACATGGCGTCAGGACTTGAAGACATTATCAACAAGGTTGACCAAGATTTCAAACGATTGTATTAGTTGTCTATGGCAATGGAGTTATTCGAAATGTTACCGCAGGTTTTATGCTGTCCCTGATCTCCTAACAGTTTACTAAATTAGGTAGTCTGTTGGCATAGTAGGCCGGGGCCGGTCCCGGCCCCGTGACCGACTCCGAGGCCGACTCCGACTCCGCGCCGCGTTGGCCTCTGCCTCCGGCTTCCACCACAGTGTCACCCATCACCCTGCAACCAGAGCTATCTCCCAATACAAAGAGCAATGCAACCTAAAGCTCCCTCAAGGCGGCATGCATGTGTACGATGCATTCAGTTGAAAGTGAAATGTGTTCCGGTTGAGAATGGACGGTGTCAACGATGTGCGAGACTCGACCGACACTGTGCTTTTCCAGACGGCTCGCGTAGGAATACAAGCATCAGGTTAGCCCAATGACCATATACACCTGTGTTGGGGTAGGCTGTCGGGTAACGTTCTCTCCCTCTCTCCAGAAATAGCCGCGTCGATGTCATCCAGCATCAGATCGATACACTTGCTGCTCAATTATATACTGATAAGGTATCCTATTTCAAACTGATGCCTCCCCTTCCCTGCCAGAAGACTATCTCAACTGTTTCAACTAGGGCCCGAGGGTGGAGCTGTCACCTAAAACAGAAATGCCATCCCCCTCTACCATCAGTGATACTTCGTTACAGCCAAGCCCTGTACCTGAACCGTTCGACGATTTTATTACCCGGGGACTTCTAAATATCACTGAAGGTGAAGAACTTCTCTTGAAGTTCCGCACTGACTTGATGCCCCTGTTTCCATTCGTTATTATACCTGAAGTGAGCTTTGTTGAATTGCGCAAGCAGTCTCCATTCCTCCTCTTGTGTATAATAACAGCTTGCCTCGAGCACAAGCCCACTCTACAGCAGAAATTGGAATTTGAAGCTCGAACTGTCGTCTCTACCCGCATAGTAATGAATATGGAGAGAGACATGGATTTACTTCGGGGGTTACTGGTTCATATCGCATGGTATCACTATCATTGGCGCATCTATCATACCCAGGTGTACATGCTTCTTCAGATGGCTATGGCCATCGTTGTTGATTTGGGACTTGACAGATACAACAACTTCAAAATGCAGTGTATCTCTTATAATGGAAAAGGGACGGAGGAGTTACACAAAGGACAAGTACTCTATCTGACTCCTGATGGGCAGCGTGCCTTCTTAGGGTGCTATTATCTATGTTCCAAGTGAGAGCTTCTAAAGTACAGTACAGTGATATTAACTAACAGAATAAGAGCCTCGATATTCCGGCGACAGCTGACCATGAAACATACAGACTGGGTCGAGTATTGTGCTGATAGCTTAGGGCAAAGGGCGGAGTATCCCACTGACCAGTCTCTAAAAGCACTAATTAAGATCCAGTCGCTTGCTCAGCAATCGGAGCTAGAGGTCGAAGACCCTATCCGTGCAATGAGCAAGGACGAGCTGTTCCAGTCTATGGACGTGCTTGAGAATCAAATCGAGTATCTTCTTGTACAGGAAACACAGTGTAATACCTGTATGTCTATCTGAGACTGATTAGTTTCGCCATTTACTGATCTGACTAGGGTCCCTGCGCTTGGAGCTCAACGCAATTCCTGCCATTGTTCTCGGGCATGCTCTTCGGCGACAAAGAGATGTCCATCGCCAGTATGAGAAACAGCAACTGCTCACCATTGCGCGTTCCGCGTTCAACATTGTGACGGTATTCCTTGCATCGCCGGCTTCGGTCACACCTAATCTCCCTATGTTCAGTTACACATCCATCTGGTACGGCCTTCTTGTTTTATCGAAGCTAAGCTTGCTTTCGGATGCCGCGACAAAAGGCAAGGCAGTCGAAGTCTATAACAAAGATATCCACAACCTCGGCCTTGCTGCTATGCAGAAAATGGAGGCAATGTCACGAAGAAACGATGTTTGGGATAATTGCCGTGCAGTGATTGGATCCATGCTCTCATGGTTAGAGAGCAGTCGGACACAGCCCCAATCAATACAAGTTCGAGGAGATACATCAAACACCCAGGACGCTGAGGACGCTCATATGTTACCACAATCAATACCCGAAGATCCCCCTCGAGCCACAGAGTCTGCAGCGGTAGTTGAAGATTGGGATGCTGCCGTATGGCAACAGATGTTGCAAGATTTGACCTGGATAGGACTACCGGTGGAGCAGCAGTTCACTGTAGATCTAGCCTACATGCATTGAAAGCAATATGACTTTCATACCCCCGTTCACCGGATTACGCAGGCTGAATTATGTTTGGTTTAATCTTATTGAACTATGGTAAACATTAACTAGGTTCGCAATCTATCACCGCGCCTGCGAAACGGAACCTTTCCGGTCTCACTTCCCCATCGCTGACCGGTGTACATTCAGTAGCCTGCATCGATGCGATAACGCCATCAATTCTCTTTTCCTGGGACACTGGCTTGACATGTGAACATTGCGCCAGGTGATACAACTTCAAAGCTCTGCGCTGCTATAATTCTTGGATGAAACGAAACTTCAGTTTACCGTGCTGCTCCGTCAACACTGAACTTATATGTCGAAAATGTAGTATAAAGGCCGTCCATTCCCCAGACTGTCTTTGACTCTCGTTGCCACTGGGGATTATTGATTCCATCAGTCCAGTCCTGCATTTCCAGTGAGATCGCTCCATACTCCGGCACTATACCAGTACCTTGCTTTCGTTTCAGTGGTACTTGATCTGTGTGACAATAGAAATATATCAGTTACTACTACTAAGCTCAAGGAGATTTATAGGGGAGCAATAGAGAAACACACCTGGTTTATTATTCCAGGTGTGGACATGCAAGGCTTCCTGGTCCGTATAAAGTTCGACCTTGATCCCCGAACGTGCTGACGAAAGTGACGCCACGGGATGATCTTCCTTTTTCCACGGCTGGAATCGGGAGATGAGGAAGGTATCATCGTAGCCACGACTACCGGGCTTCCCTATGCCATAATGCCCCACCGTCTTCGGTGCTGACCAAAAGTCATACGGCGAACCTTTCTTGTTGGCTTTGAGATCGCCCGTCGGGATCCCCTCGTCATCCGTCCCGATCCGCAGCCCCGAGAATGGCAGGTGCAGTTCATGTTCTAAGATTGTTTGGGCCGACGATGAGGAGTAGTTCCCGGACAGGCCATCCAGGTTCCAGAATACTTGCTGGCTCATATTGATCGGGGACGGCTTGCGGGTCGGCGTCACCCCAAAGGCGATGCGCCACTCGTACGGCGTTACTGTGTGCGTGAGACACGAGGCCGCCGTCCCCGGGAACCCGTTCCAGCTGCGGTCGAACAGGACGAAGGTAATGCTGTTTTCCGTGTGGGACCCGATGTCCAGCGTTGTCCGCCCCCAGCTGTGCTCCCCGCCGTTCCAGGTCATGGGGACAGTACCCTTACTCGTGTGGGCGTTGGCGGAGACCTGATGATTGACGCCTCCTAACTCAAACCGAGCGTTGCTGATGATGCCCGCGTATCGACCTACACAGGAGACAGATATAATTTCACATTAGAAGGATATATGTGAAGAGGGCCCTCAGCGAGCGAAAGTTGTACTTTACCTATGGCCCCGTTCAAGAATGGGTTGCCTTCATATCTTGGGTAATAATCGGCCTGGTCAAAGCCCATAACAATATCAATCTCCTGACCGTGGGTATCATTAATCCACAAGTTGGTTAACGCCCCTCCATGGTTGGTAAATGCCAGACGGATGCCTTCGGCCCCAATGACATATTTCCCTTCGTCGTTGGTGGGGAAGAGAGCCGTGGCCGCCGCGAATGGACTCCCCCGGGTCCAGGCGGATTTGATGGCTGCGAGAACACTCGTTGCGATTGTGAAAATTCGCATGGTTGTGGAGGCCAATTACACTGCAAAAAAAAAAAAGAGAACAATAGAATGGCAGCAAACACAGTTCCAACAAGTTAGTTGAGGAATTTCCAAAGCTCTCCGAAGATTCGAGGGGTGAGTTGTAGGTAACTAATGGGTAGGTAGTTTAGTCCAGCTCGGCCTGTTATGCTAGAGCGATCAATCAGCCCTTCTTTCAATGACCGGCTAAAAGAGAACCGGCGACTTTGGGGCTCGGCCGGCATGGTTGCAGGGGGGTTAGAATCTCGCCGGCTACATCTCCTTTCTAGGGTGTTTAGGTGCTAGCAATTTGGTCAGAACACACCCTTACCCATATCGCCTGTACGGCCTCAGTCAGGAAATGAGCGGGGACTGTATCTGGCTATCTCTTCCGGTTGACCTTGACGGATTGCCTCCATCACCCGTCGGTCAGCTTAAAGGCCTTTAACGCTTGGAATGGCAGAGTTCTGAGCTCTTGATTGGGTGTGATTGATATTTTCACCGGAGGGTTGTTGGAACTATACACACAAAGCTTAAGAGGATCCTGACGGATTCAAATTTATGATCCTACTCAGAGGTACGGGAATTGTTTCTTGAGCAAAGCCCCATTGACTATTATTGACCGATCAGGCGAAAATTACCATCCATCCACTACCTTAACCCGCGCACGCACACCATTCCGCAGCTTCATGGTTTTCCCTCTCTTCAGATGGTTGTCCATTGGGTCAAGCAGCGCGATCTCGAATCGACCCACCGTCGCACCCACCAGGCATGCTAGCTCCGCCCGCGTCCACCCCTGGCCGATGCAGCTCTTCGGCCCCGCGGAAAATGTCAAAGAGGCGAAGTTGCTCGTCGCGCCGCCGGATTTCCCTTGCTGGGGCCGCATCCACCGCTCCGGGTCGAAGCGGTCCGCATCGAGGCCCCACAGGGCTGCATCGTGGTTCGTGGCGTGGGCGGCGAAAGCCACGACAGTGCCCTTGGGGACGAACGTGCCCTGGATGGTATTGTCGCGACTGGCCACCCGTGTGGCGAAGGGGACGAATGGGTAAAATCTCAGGACCTCGCTGCACACGGCATTGAGATAGGGTAGTGATTCAATGGTGGTGGCTAGGTGGGTGCCAGCGGCGGTAGTTGTTCCTCTTCCTTCTACTTGCATCGAAGATATGTGCGTTCGGATTTCCTCCCGAAGTCGCGACTGCATAGCGGGTCGTCGACCAAGCTCGTACATGGCCCATTCAAAGGCCGTGGCGGTCGATTCGTGGCCGGCGACCAGGAAGGTCATCACGTGGTCCACGAGTTGTTGCTCGGTGAAGGTTCCACTGGCCAGGGCTATGGCTACGATGTCATCGTCCGGGGGACTTTCCTCGGATTGTCGCTGCTGCTTTTGGATCTTGTGGTGAATCACCCTCTCGGCCACTTGGCGGATATACTGGGAACCCTGCGTGAGCTCGCGGTTCTTCCTCACGGGCAAGGTCAGCAGGATGCGGAAGTCGATGTAGTTGCCCAACAGCTCCAGCCAATTGAAGGCATTGGATGGCTCCAGAAACATCTTCCGATACTGCTCGCTGAGCTCGTTGTGCGGATGGGTGAGCGTGTCGAAATCATAGCCCATTCCCACCACGCCGATAATGTCGAGGGTTGCGCGCGTGCCCCAGTGGTGGAGCGGAACGACCGGACTGTCAGACTTCTGTCGCTGGTCCTTGCTGCTGTCGTCCTCGAGGGACCGCTCGATCAACGAAACCATCAGAGCGGCTTTCGCCCAGAATTTGGGAATCAGGCGTTTGATGTGGCCGGTGGCAAAAGCGGGCAACAGGCCTTTCTTCTGCATCTGCGGGGAGCGGAAGTACGTCAAACGAGATGGTTACTTAAGGGAAGATGGACGGATGCGACTCACCCGATGCTCTTCCCCGTCCAGAAAGCCCAGACCGTTACCCGTGAACCGTTGAATGGCGAATCGCGCGAGATTGGTCTTGGTGTAGTCATACGCACCGTGGACTAGCACTTCACTGAGACCCTTGGGGCTGGTGACAAGCAACCTTTCGTTGGAGAGCGCGACGTAGTACCGGATGAGACCATTGTTGGGGATAGTTTCTGACCATCGACGTGCGACGTCCCACGGGAACTCCCTAAAAAGGGAGGTCTGATTGCCGGTAAGAAGCCAGCGGCGCTTGAAAAAGTGGAATATGTCAATGATATTTCCATCGTCAATTCGAATCTAGAAGTTAAATGGGTTGTCTTACAGGCGGTGTTAGCAAATACTTAAACGGTGTAAAGTACTTGAAATATAATACTAAAGCGTAGGTGACCCGCCCTGTAACCAGAAATACAAGGAAAATTATAGCCTTTCCAGCCTAGAAGATAACGTTAAGTTTGTAAAGAAAGCTATATCCTAAATAAATAAGCGCTCCTAGAGTAAGCCCTAGCTAGTAGATAAAAAAAGAGAATATAATCGTAGGATTAAATATAGTCCATCACCCTCTTTGCAGATATTTTCTCTAACTCTGTAGTTTAATACGTTTGGCAGAGGCAAAAGTAAAATACAAAGTACCCGAAGCCGGCGATAATAGAGTTGTTTTGTTCTACAAGTAACCGGTCCCCATACAACCTCTAATAATCAGAGATACAGTACTTAAAAAAAAAACAAAATAGCCATTTCTTAAAATAAAGGATAACTTAATTTCCACTCCTACAGAGAAATAACCTTTGCAATCTATCACCCACGAATATAACCGACTTCAGAATTCTCCCAATACAAACCGCGATCGTCGGCATACTCTCCGGTTTTCTCGGAATCAGCCATGAGACCAAGATCCCAAAATTAGTAGATAATATAATCCTTATACAGAACGAAGCAGTAGAATTGAATCCAATCGATACCAAGCTTATGGGAAAGCTATTTACCATTAATACCATCGCCGGCATAGACTTTACCGGCACGATTATAGCTCTAGAAAGTAAAGTAACAACTATAGCGGCCGACTTCCAAATTAAAGACCGCGTCTATAGGGCGGTAATAGATATACACTCCTTGACCTCTACAGTAAACACCTTCGCGCAATATATAGGCGCCAGTTATATCGTAACCCTTAAAATCCCCCCTAACATATCCTTCGAAGCTGGCGCCTCGATAGGCAGTACTATCGGGACCATCGGGCTAGCCCTCTTCAAATCACTTACCCTTCCCAGCAGTCCACTGCATCTAATCCAGACTCCTATGACCGTATTAATATATAGTAGAAGTACAGCCACAGGTACAATGACTATCCAAATCTTAAAACTATAAAACCAAAGCCCCCTCCCTACCTATACTTCTACGCTCATAGGTAATTATTTACTACTAGATCCAGGTATTGGCCCATCGCGACGTACTCGCCGCGGAACTTTAATCTAGTTCGGTCGTACAGGACCGACGCAGTATTCAATTACAACGCGCCTCACTGTATTATAGATATCCAGACGTCGACCAAGAACAGGTTTAAGTATATCTTGAACTGCATTTCCGAGCCCAAGACCATAGCGTTCTACTATAAGTACCTAGGCCAATCGAGCAGCAAGTATACTAGGCTGGAACCCTACCCAGCATTTCTATATACACGCCCCACGGTCCAGCCAGATTAGGTACTAGGGCCGACGCTGCTAAGAAAGCCTATCAAATAAGCAGCGCCCTTTACCCAAAAGAGATATCCAGAAACACGAAGGTTCGCGCTTAAATAGTTTACGATTACCCAAAAGCTCTTAAATAAAAACCTCTTGAAAACGCATCCCATTCAACGTATAAAAAAGGGCTTCGAGAGAGTTTTAACGGAACTGGAGCTCCTGCGTTCAAAAAAAATCTCCGGTAGGAAGCTAATTTATACCGTTTCCCCGTAAGTAGAGGGTCTATAGTTCGGTGGCAGATAAAAATAAAAGTAGTGTACATATATACTTACTAGATATAGCTATACTTCGCAAATAAGCCAACAAATGAATATACAATCTATGTATATAATATTAAAACAAGCAATACTCAATCTACTGCTTATTCGCAAAATCGCCGCCCCGGACAAAGACTTTAGAATAATAGTCTACCGAACCGGGCCCAACGTATTTATCTCAATTACTAGAACCATTCTACTAATCTCTCACTATAATATCACTGCAGTATATATACTCAGTCACACTGTAATCCTTAGAAAACAGGAAAATTCCACCATTCTGCTACAGACAAAAGAAAAACAACTACTTCCATTCAATATAACATCTGTGCCTTATCCTAAGCCCATCGCCATTATAAACATAGAGTGCCGCTTCCCTAGCGAATCAAACTCGCTGTCCAAATTCTGGGATCTTCTACACGATCCACGAGATATCTCGCAGAAAATTCCAGGCGATCGCTTCAACTCGCAGAGATTCTATCATCCAAATAAAAAACATCACGGAACTACCAATATTCAACAGTCCTACTTTCTCTCTAAGGACATCCGCCATTTTAATACCCAATTCTTTGATATCGCCCCAGCCAAAGCCAAAGCGATAGACCCCTAGCATCGTCTACTACTAAAGGTTATATATAAAGCCTTGGAATCTTCTGGAACGTCAATCGCCAAGCTTACCAATTCCGACACCGCAGTATATATCGACTTAATATACAGCAATTACTATATTCTATAAGCCCATAATATAAACACGATTTCGACATATAACGCGACAAGGATAACCAACAGCAACACCTCGAGCCAGATCTTTTACTTTTTTAACTAGCACAGGCTATCTATGACAATTAATACTATATATTCCTCGAGTCTCGTCACTCTTCACGAAGCGATCCAGACGTTACGCTCCAAGCGTTCTTGGATTACCTTCGCTATGGAAATAAATCTCCTGTTATCGCCTTTGCCCTACGTTTCGGAAAGTAAACTTAACATACTGTCCCCGACAGGCCGTTCGCGCATATGAAACGCAGATATAGATAGGTATACCTATAGAAAAGGTGTTACCGCAGTCATACTCAAGTCTCTCAGCGCCGCAATCTAGAACGAGAACCAGATCGAGGATATGATCCGTGAGACGGGCGTCAATCAGGATAGCCGTACCAAAGGGATCACGATACCCAGCGCCGTCGCGCAGACCGCGCTCATCAAAAACACGTATACACGCGCCGGCCTAGATCCAACTAAGCCACAAGATCACTATCAATATTTCGAAGCCCACAACACAGACACTCCTACCGGTAACCCCCAGGAGGCTAAGATCCTAAGCCAAGCCTTTTTCTTAGGGGCAGAGACGGTGGAAAGCGACAATCCATAGTCAACCATACTGGTCGGCTCGGTGAAGACGGTAATCGGCCACACAAAGGAGATGGCTGGTCTTGTGAGATTTATCAAAGTATACTTAACCCTAAAACACGGCATTGTACCGCTGAATATACTTTTCAGTTGTCTTAACCCCGCATTGGAGCCCTTTATAGCGAATCTACGTATCTCAATAAGACCTTAAACCTAGCCCGCTCTGCTAGATACGCATCCCCGAAAAGCCAGTGTAAACAGCTTCGGATTTGATAGAACAAATATATATACTATCCTCGAAAACTATAAAAAGATACGCCTTAAATATCTTTATAGAGCACCAACCACGCATAACCAGCTAACTATTTCCATTATTCTACACACTTTCTCTACTACGTCCAAGGGCTCTCTTCTAGCCCTTTTAAAATTATATCTCTCTTATCTCGAGCGGAACGCGGAGGTCGATCTGAAAAACCTTACTTATATCTTGATTACAAAAAGATTATCTCTAAAAATCAGAATTGCATTAGCAGTGATAACTTAAAATTAATTATAAAAGGAAATCAGTTCAGTACTACAACAGGCTACAGAGAGAAATAATAGCTTTCTTAAATCATACTCCTCCGCTTGTAAACCTTCTATTCTTAGAATCTTCACTGGGCAAAGCGCACAGTAAACCGCGATAGAAAAGCAACTTATTAACAGCGTACCAAGAGCTATAGCATTGATAGAGAGACTGGATAAATTACTCGATGCTTTACCAGAAGAATATATACTACGGTAAAGCTTAGTTAAAGAACTCTCGGTAGATAGGAACTCCCGCGTTTAATAAGTAAAGATATCGCAACCGCTCTGCACGGCAGTGCAAATCTTACTTATAGATCTACTTTCCGCTACAGGGATTAGGTTCAGTGCAATTATCAATTACTCGTTAAGCAAGATCACCGCTGCGTATACCGCGGGCTTTATCTTTACAGACGATACCATCCACATAGCTTATCTCCGGGGTTATTTTATAAAGTCAACTTATAAACTTAACGGAGAAAACGGTAAAATAATAGTAGTTAAAATTTCAATCGCTAACGCAAAGGATCTCTATAATCTAAACAACTTTCGAGGGCGGATTTATATTACCGCTTATAATTCGCTAGATAGTATAATACTTTCGGGCGACGAGGAGACCATTTATTATATTAAAAAGGTTTTCGACGAGGAAGGAAAATTTACTCGAATCTTAAAGATTAATACTGCATATTATTTACACTATTTAAGCCAAGTTAAGAAGACCTACCTTACTACTTTGCAAAATTAACAAATACAGATCTATACCCCCAATACGGATACTCTATAGTAGTACTCCAGTATATATACAGACCACGTAGTCAATATCCATAATAAACTAAAAGATAAATATTAGATTAAGAACATGCAAAATACTATTCAATTTACGACCGCCGTCGAAAAATATATAAAAAATTATTCTCAAAAGTCTCTGGACTACATTGTCGAGATTAACCCTTATTTTACCTTAATAAGACCAGTTAAAGAAACAATCCGGTAGACAACCAGGTAAGACATACCTTATATAAATATATTACGACGCGGTATAGATAACATAATCGCCTATCAAACTATTCTTGTATCCTTGTAGACAACATTTAATAATCATACAGTGGACCTAATAGGATTAAAATAGGAAAGCTACCAGCCAAACAATTTCCAGAATCTAAAAGACCTACCTCAATAATAATAGAGCTATAATCGTTTACTCTAGACTAAATTGTGCTCGACTAAACTCTTCTATACCCTTCCTAGTGGCTTTCACGATTTACTGAGTGTCCGTACCGAAGACAACACCGAAAATAAATAGAGGTGGCGGAACGTACTCAAAATCCAGGAACTACTATAGCTTTCTTACTATACTCTGCAAAGATAAACAGTCTTTTCTAAAACTGGATATATTACTCTTGCTATGGAGACTACCTTACAAATTACGCGAGACCGCCAGGTCCAGCTAATTAAGCTCCATAATCTAAAGATCCAAAAGGCGATTGCGATTAACGATTATCTTAAAATAAACCTTATAGTAATTTTAATCAACATTTCCAGTGCACTAGAAAGAAAGGACGACGTTATTAAAGCTAAATACAACATATTCTCCGCTAGCAACAAGAACTCGACCTCAATAACATTGAATACCTCGGGCGACGTCCATATTATTCTCGGCAGCCTATAAACTAATCTTTTTCCGCCACGAACTCCACCCAAAGCACCTTTGTCAGCCCTAAATATTGACCGTTTCTACTCGGCCATACGGAATAACCTAAAATATATATATAATAACCTATTCCGGGGGTTAACGAAGCTAGCACATCGTTTAAAATATTCAAGCGGTACAATTACCAACCCATATATAAACCCCAATAAAATCCAGCTTCTATTCCATCCCAGAATACTGGATAATACTTTTCAAGGCCTCTTTACTACGTATAGTACCCCAAATAACGGGCGTTTATAGTCGATGCGCGCGCTAACTGCATATCAACGGATCACACTCAATCCATCATAGTATAGACTATACATAACTTCGGAGATAGCATTTAATTACACGGTGACTAATCCTCGGGATAATTTTATTATAGGGGATATGGATATCTATTCTATAGATTTTAATAGCAAGATCATCGAATTTAAAAGACTGAGTTTCTCTTTTTTCGCAGCGACCAGTAAGCAGAACGATCGCTGTCTTTTCTAATAATATATCGAATACGTCGATTAATCCGACAGCGGGTTAATTTTGGAGAATAGATAGCCAAGTACACCGGAGCGACAAAAGGCGTTAGACACTGAACGCGTAGCATTCTACTATTTAAAGAGCCTTCATCGAGCTATCGATCTAGATCTACGCCTAGATTTACCTTGGTACCGCCAGTCCCTCCTCGACAATACCTCGAGGGTCGTTGGTCTTGTTCGCGACGGCGCCCATCCTTACGCTCCACAGTCATGGTTGAATGATAGTGAAGACGATATCCAGGCGATAATAAGAGGGTATGTCACGTCAAGGTTGAGACTAGATTCATTTAAACTGATAAGCATTCAGATACGGCGAGCAAGACCCTGACTTCAATCTCACAAGGGCTGTCGGAGAAAACCTTCCGCGCCCATCCGTGCTTACAGGCGAGACCAACATTCTCGAGTACATGACGCAGAACAATTATCTGGACAATTACTATACGCATGCTATCGGATTTGACTGGCTGAACGAGTTGATCTCCGGAACAATCCTCCAGCTGACATGCAAGTTCCCTCACATGAAGATTTGCGAGATTGGTGCTGGCACGGGCGGTGCCACGCAAGCGATCCTAGAAAAGGTGGGCGACGCGTTTGCATCATATACCTATACCGACATCTCGAGCGGCTTCTTCGAAAAGGCTCAGAGCAGGTTTCAGAGGTTCAGCAGCCGTCTAAACTACAAGGTCCTGGACATAGAGCGCGACCCGACAACTCAGGGATTCGAAGAACACTCTTACGATCTGGTGCTGGCTGCCAACGTTCTTCACGCCACTGCCTGCTTGGAGCACACCCTCCACAATGTTCGAAAGCTCCTCCGGCCCGGCGGGTTCTTGGTGCTCATGGAAATCGTCGGGAACGATGTTTTTCGCATTGGATTAGTGATGGGTGGACTGCCCGGATGGTGGGTGGGCAAAGACGATGGCCGACGCTATGCGCCGACGATCACGCTCGAGCAGTGGGACTCGCTCTTCCGGGCCACAGAGTTCTCTGGCATCGAGACTTACACCCCTATGCCCGACAAGGTCCAGATGCCTGGGTCGGTGTTCGTGACGCAGGCGGTCGACGCCACTCTGAACAACCTTCGAGAACCCCAGCATTTTCCACCGACTTCCGCTGCGTCGAGTGACCTGGTGATTTTGGGCGGCTCCAGTGACAGCACGTCCCGCCTTGTTCAAGTCTTGGTGCCACTTCTCGAGCCATTTTTCAAACATGTTATTACAATCCGGGATTTGAAACACCTTCCGACTATACCACCAAGGGCCTTCGTATTGAGCCTGCTGGACTGTGATGGCTTGCTTTTTGAAAAGCTGGATGAACCACTTTGGCAGAGCTTCAAGACCCTGGTTTTGTCTCTATCAGGCCTATTGTGGGTGACCACTGGCAGTCGCCTGGAGAGACCTTACGCCGGAATTGCCCTTGGTCTGCTGCGCTCTCTCGTATACGAAATACCAGAAACCAAGATTCAATGCTTGGACGTTGACGATGTGTCAGATGAAGGGACTTCAGCAGTCATCGCACGGCTCCTGCTCCAGATGCAGTTCCATTCCGCATTGCCGAAGGAGAAGCAGGAGGCGATCCTTTGGACTCCAGAGCCAGAATTGATCCTTGCCAATAACAGGCTGCACATGGTTCGTGTGCAACCTCAGACCGAGCAGAATGACCGATACAATTCGTTCCGCCGACCGATTATGAGAGAAACTACCCTGGGAACCAATGATCTCCGGCTGGAATATGATGGGGGCGCCTACATGCTTCGGGAGAAGCACGATGCTCCCGAGCCTCACAAAGACTACCGTACGGTTCAGGTCGAGTATTCGCTTCTCTCCGCAATCAAAGCCAATGATGGCTATTACTTCCTGTGCCTTGGAATCTGCCAAGGTACATGCGAGAAGGTTCTGTGCTTGTCCACCGATAATTCCTCCATTGTCACTGTGCCGCAGTCAATGCTAGTCACCGTGGACAACCACGACCTCATCGACGCGCAATTCATGTCGTTTGTGGTCGCTGATCTTGTTCGCCAGCATATCCTAAGATTGAGGCCCGCTGCGGGTACGCTGCTCATTCACGAGCCCGACCCTGGCCTTGCGTCTTTGCTGTCTGGTCGAACGGTTGGCGAGGGTCAGTCGATTGTGTTCACAACATGCAAGCCAAGTAATGCGAAGAGAAGAAATTGGATCTATGTACACGAAAGAACTCCGGCGCGCACTATCGATGCACTTATTCCGCGCGAAGTTGCGTTGATTATCGATCTATCTTCCACTGCTGCGTCCAAGTATGGACTGGGGACCAGAATTGCCTCATTGCGACCTCAGGCCGGCCAGAAACTTGGCTTTTCTAATCTTGTCCACAGCACGGCATCGCCGATGTCAACCCCTGTCCCTGAGAGCATTGGGCTGCTTCTTGAACGAGTCTCGGTGTTTGCACAATCCCAACTGAATGGAGTTCCAGACGGAGCGCCGCTCGACACTCTCACTGTGGGAGAAGCTGTGACGAAGCAGCTCCCAGAGTCAAGCCTAGCATTGATTCAATGGGACCCAAATCAGTCCGTTTCGGTCTTAGTGGAGCCAATCACCGTGAGGAATGACCTCTTCCAGGGTGATAGGACCTACTGGTTGGCGGGCCTGGCGGGAGACATGGGGCAGTCCCTGGCTGATTTCATGATCCAACGCGGTGCGAGGCACATCGCTCTCGGTAGCCGGAACCCGATAGTCTGCCCTGAATGGCAGAAGTTGTGTCAAGCCCGTGGAGTGAACATCGAGTACTTTACATGGTACGTGAACTGCCCAACTATATCCTATCCGAAATCCTACTGACAGAGTGATCTTTTTTGTCCAGTGACCTGACCGAGTATGCGTCAGTTCAATCGACACTCAGCGCGATCGAAAGCAAGATGCCTCGGATTGCCGGCGTTGCTAATGGTGCCCTTGTGCTTCGCGACATTCCCGTGGCGACGATGTCCTTCGATGACCTCCAGACGGTCCTGAAACCCAAGGTGGACGGCACCCTGAATCTCGACAGCGCGTTCGCGCACCATGCGCTGGACTGGTTCATCGCCTTCTCGTCGATCGTCGGGACGACCGGTAACATGGGCCAGGCGGCCTACTCGGCGGCCAACTGTTTCATGAAGGCGCTGGTGAACAACCGGCGCCGCCGGGGCCTCGCCGGGTCGGTAATCGATATCTCCCGGGTCATCGGGGTCGGCTACGTGGAACGTGAGACCAAGAGCGAAGGACGACTGACCAAGGAGCAAACGGAGCGGCTCATGAACCGCACCGGCACCATCCCTATGTCCGAGCCGGATTTGCATCAGCTGTTCGCAGAGGCGGTGGTTGCCGGCCTACCGGGGACGGCGCCCGGCTCGGAGCTCATCACGGGCCTGGCGCCCATCGGGATGGCGCAGGCGGAAACCGCCTTCTGGGCCGCCAACCCCAAGTTTGGACTCTTGGTGCGCGACCAAACCACCTCCTCGACTGTCTCCACGCTCGGCGGGAATGGGCGCTCCATTGCCCAGGTTCCCGTCTGGATTCAGCTGCAGGATGCTACCTCGCCGCAGGAGATGTCGACCCTTATCCAAGGTAAGTGATCATGCACCCCCCCCTACCTTCCTCTTCCGGTCCACCTTAAAAGAAGGAAAGAATCACTCCCCGTTTCTAACATCTTTTTCCTTTGTTTTCAGTTGCCTTGGGAAGTAAACTGCGGGCTTCGCTCTTTCTCTCGGCGACAGACCCATTATCTCCGGAGACACCTCTGGTCGACCTCGGCATCGACTCTCTGGTCGCCGTCGAAGTCCGCACCTGGGCCGCCAAGGAGCTGTCGGTGGACTTGCCCGTGCTCAAGATCCTGGGCGGCGCTTCGATCCTGGACCTGGTGACGGATATCCTGGGGAAGCTTCCAGGGGACCTGCTAGCTAACGCTACTGCTACGGTTTCAGACGCTTCGGGTCCGAACTTCCCGGAGTGGGGTGGCCGTGAGTCCCCGCTGGCTGATTCTTCCCTGTCTGCCTCGTATGATCTGGTTTCCATGCAAAGCCCACCTACCACCGTGCACGACTCGGATTGCTCGGATCATGATGGGCTGAAGAGCTCCGGATGAGAGATGCAGACCCCGGGGGGAGGGAAGTACCTAAGTCCAGCCTTGGCTGGCTCTGAGCTTATCACATGTAGTGTAATATATGAATTCATTATTTTCCGCTGCGCTGCTGCAGGCTGTAAACGTTTTGTTGTTAAGGTCTACAGCGTTAATACAAGTGGTGTTGGAATAAAACAATTGTTGACAGTTCTACCCTTTCAGGGCCCAGGTTGTCCACCTGCTTTGCCCGTTTTGATCCCTTTCCCAAAATGAAAGGGCAAAGGAGCGGCATTGCGGGCAATACTCACAGAGGGCAAAAAGGCTAAGACTATTGGAGTAGTCCCCAAGCTGTCTCGCAGTTCGGAGATGGTCGCCGCCGGCCTCTTCTTGCCTTACCTTCCTAAAAGTCGCCGGCTCTCCCAGGCCGGTTCAATTGAAGTATCCAAATTTCCTTCCGACTGAGCACCTGCACCAGGATTGAACTCCACTTTTCTCTTCTCTTCACTTTGTTTTGATCAATTGCGCCGATGCTTGAATATTCACAGAATTTCACCAGTTCAACGAACTTTTATGACATCCAGCATTGCATTTACTTGTAATACGATGTCATCCCAATCAGCCACCACCACTACCACGAGAGCCAGTAGCCAGCAACAGCCAACCCCTGCCCCACGCCCGACCATCCTCTGCTTCCACGGCGCGGGCACCAACGGCCTCATCTTCCGGTTGCAGGCGCGCGGGCTCGTGCGCTCCCTCGCTCCCCACTTCCACTTCGAGTTCCTGGACGCCCCCTTCGAAGCGGCATGCCCGGGTCCCGGTGTCGGCCCCGTGTTTCAGGATCTGGCGCCTTTCCGTCGGTGGCACTGCGACGGCAGCGCCGTTGACCAGTTCGATCTCGCCGGCGCGGAGGTCGTCCGGGAGCGCCGCGTCGTGCGGCGGTTGGTGCGGGATGCGCTGAGTCCTCCCCCGCCGCAGCGGGAGGAGCAGGAGAAGGGGCAGGAGGGGCAGAGGCTGGGGTATACGCCGAAAAGCGAAAGCGGACCGGGAGTAGCAGTAGCAGCAGGAGGAGGAAGGGGGAGGGTCGTCGGCGTGCTGGGATTTAGTCAGGGGACGCGGGTCGCAACGGGGGTGTGTCTAGATGCCGAGCTGGGGGCCTCGGTGCAATTTGCTGTTCTCATCGCGGGGACGTGTCCGGCTTTGATGCTTACGGATTATGTTGATGCTGGTGGTGATGACGGTGGTGATGGGTGCCCCGCGGACTGCAGCGCAGACTCTCCCGTTTCCCCCTCCCCCTCCCCCCCTTCCGCCTCCTCTTCTACCTCCGAGTTGACCGAGGAGGTCGAGAGCCCCAAGGATTGCATCGCAATCCCTTCCGTCCACGTGCAGGGCCTGCGGGACCCTTGGCTCGCCGACAGCAAGCGACTCTTGCGCACTTGCTATAAGGCCGAGCGGGCGGTAGTAGTAGAGTTTGCCGGAGCGCATCAGGTCCCCACGGCGCTCGGGGATGTGAAGCGGGTCGCGGCGGCGGTCTTGGAGGTGTGGAAGTCGGCGCAGCGAAGCGAAATGCAATAGAAAAGAAACCTGTCAGTCAGTTATATTTTCTTCATAGGGGAGTGGGGTCCCGGGAGGAGTAGCTGGTTTAAGGTGCTATAAGCAATCATCAAAAAGCTCAAGTTTGTTATTATTGGCTGTCGATGGCAGATACAGTGCCTTGCAAAAAGTCTGCAGAAACATGCCAGCGTCCGGATGGGCAACCAATACTATTTTTGTGGTCAATACTATAGATCTGATCCTCGACATTCAATCTTTTAAAGTATTGGAATACGCTTATCTATAGTACTGCTAAATTCTGATATTTAAAGAAATGAAAAGTTAAAATCTACAGAGCCTATTGCATTCCTAGCTATATCATTCTATAGCCCTCAGGTTGCTCATCTAAAGGCTCGGGAGCTGAATAGCACTAACTAGTATCCCCGCACGCCAAGCCGGCTGCGGGATATTAGTGTTTTCATAATACAAGAAGCGTAGTCTTTGATAAGACGCCGTGTGTGTGCTGTATTACTTAACCTCCGGTCTCACTAGGACAGGGCATTTACCGGACCGGCGACTTCTACTGGTGAAGGCTGTGAGTTTACTGATTTAGCGGAATAGTTGTTGGTTTCTCCACAGGTCGGAAGACAATTCATCCGTAACAATTGTCGTACAAAGAAGAGGTGATAAGAGCCTAAGTCTCCTGTTTTTAATGATACCTGTTCACACTGAGATATAACGGGAAATAGAAAAGCCTGTCTAGTGATTCTTTGTATTGGAGTATAAAGTAGCACATACAATATCATAAAACATGTTCCAACACCAATTCGTAACTACGGATTGATCATAACCTGTGCCGATTTCTCAAGTAAAGATGCTTCCTTCTCAGAAACCATATTCACCGCAGCTTGTATCGAATTGTTCGCAGCCGCAGCCACTGCCCCCAAGCCACTTCGTGGTGATGATACATGCGGAGGTGGGGAGCCCTTCTGATGCTGATATTCAGGCATCAACAGATTAATAGCATCACGCAGCTGATGAACCATGCTAGAAATCATGTAAGCACCCACAGAGGTACTCATGGCTGGCTGGGATGCAAGGTTGAAAGTACCCAGGCTAAGGGGCGCCAGATTCCCAGCGCGGGTCTTGAGATTATCCACGGCAATGTCCAGCAGCTGCAGGGCGTATGCGTACGATGTCGCGACTTGTAATACGGTGATGTAGTTTATCCTTGGTGGGTCGAACGGCCCTCCTATTTGAGTCGGCTCACCAAGGCCGTGGCAGCAATCAGGATGTCCAGCATTGACGCTGGCTGGGGCAAATGAGACTTCGGTCTCAGTCCCACTATTACTTGCAGTACTGTAGTCTGAACCAGGGCGATAGTCTGGGACGGGGAGCAGCTCTAGCAGTTCTTTGCAGGCCATCAGGACTTTGTCAAGAGCCGGCTGGTGCCCTGTGGGTGATTCACTCGCGCATGTTAACAGATTGCTCAGGTGAGACTGCAGCTGTAGGAGCTCGTCTGCACCGGTGATCCTAGCAGTAGAGGCTGTCCCTTGTTCTGACGTCCCCAGGCCGGAGTCAGAGAAATCGAAAACCGCCTTGGATTGATATTGCGGGCTCTCCACTCGATGATATTCTTGGTGTGCATGTCCGTGTCTGTGTTCGCCCGTTGGATCGTCATGAGCCGGGTGCGCAAAGTCCGGGGAATACATGCCTAGGTCCCAGTTCAGATTTTCGCCGGGTATCACTGGTCACACTAGTTAGCTGTTCAATTCAGTTCCTGCATGCAGGGTCTGCGGGTGTGGTGTGTACCTTACCTTCGGGGAGGAGAAGAGGAAACCCGGACACTGGTTCGAGATTGCCGTGACCACCCGGACCAGGACCACTATCAGGGCCACTTCTAGGACCGGCACAGCCAGATCTATTGTGTGCAGCTGCAGCTGCGTCTGCACAAACTGGATCAATAGGATCAACAGGAAGCGGCACTGCAGTAGCACCACGCTGCTTCCCGGGCTGGACGGCCTGTCGTTTAGAGTGTCTCGCATGACTATGACTGTCGGACGAGACTCCCTTCTGTTTCTCAGACACTCGGGGACGGCCCATGCGCGCAGTGGTATTGTACACGCAGTCAATATCGAGTCTCTCACACCGGTCGCACCGACTCTCAGGCCCACCAGTGCGAGTGCACCGATTCTTGAGTTCGTGGCAGCGGTCGCATGCCGCGCGGAGCTTTCGATCGCCGCTCACCATCTTCCAACTGCAATAAAACATACAATTTCCAATGAACTAAGTACCTGGGGAATTGTGTTACAAAGTCTTGAACAGCAACCACTTGGGTAAAAGAAATACTCTCCGGCGTCTGGGAGACATTAGCGGCCAGTTAAATAAATAGGTACTTTTCAGTCGCAGGCTCCCCTGCTCCCTGCTCAATAAGGGTACTAGCTGATACACCCATCTAACTCAGTACATAGTGGTAATTTGCCTGACTGGGACTGGACTTTTTTTAGTAGAATATTCCCTGTCGGCCCTTTAGCCAGGGATTAAATGCGTGGTCCCGGGGTGCTCAGGTAGACTTAAGAGATGCTTCTAGTGATAACTTTCGAACAGCTGCTGATCACTCGACTACTAAAATCTACTAAAATACCCTCGAATACCTGGTAGGCCTTAGAGGCCAACGACAGATATCCAGCCGATATACTTTAATGGCGGAAAGGCCCGGGCCTTTCCCTCCAGCCCCCATTGCTTACTGATTTTAGTGCTTCCCTGGAGCCGCCTGATGAACATACCTTAATCATACTAGGTAATTCCCGCCCCAACAATCCGGCTGATCGACCAATTAGAATCTTGGTTCAAGCTGCGGTCCACTGTGGCTTTGGAAGGTTCAGAAATACAACGGTAATCCTTCGGGAGTGGCCCGGTCAGTTGAAATTGTCTGGTCTCGGATCGTTCGCTCTTCCTTACCCCGCTTTTGGGCGAAAGACTAGTTCGAAGGTAGTTTGTCGTGCTGATCACTTTGGCCACGGCCTCAACCCTTTGTTGGCCTTCGCACCTCCTGCTGTGTGGCCTTAATAGCATCAATCAACCAACGCGTTTGGCCTCACGTTTCCTCAGCCTTGCGTTCCAACATAGTGTAGGGAGTGGACTAGCTCAATCGAATCGACCCGATCGCCCCTCAAGGAATTCGACGCGTCAAGCAACCTCAGCCTTCAACCACCCACCACACGGTTTCATCAGATATGATTCCCAAAATCTGATACGCCAGTTTCTCTGCATCGAGGTGATTCCATCTCTCAAATTTAGGGTACTCCTCGCCAGAGCTTCCATGTATACAATCCAGAAAAGAACCCAGAAGAAAGACTCCAGACCATGCGTGAATGTGTGTTTCTCGCCAAACAGCAATCCAATAGCCATAAATGCTCTTGTTCCCGTTTTCCCTTTTGCTCCAGAAGACGCTTCTCTCTGTTCCCGGATGGTGAGGTCTGAATCGATAAGAACGGCCGGCCAATGTCCAGCGTGGTCATTGCTAAGAATACGGTTCCCGATAGAGATATCGCCTTGCAATAGTCCTGTCTTTGAATGCAATTCATAACCTCTTGTAAGGGATAAGACCCGTAACGTTCGATAGACTATCCTAGCTATCAAAACAAGAAGGAAACGCTGAAAAAGAAAGGAGGAAAGAAAGAAAGAAGGAAGGAAATCAACACACGGTGAGACCATGAGGTATGAATGCACTACATAGTGGAAGGAGGGGCAAAATACACTACACGATAAACAAACGAGGGTCAACCTCTCGAGTAATCTAACGGGCTCGCTGGCGCTTATTCTGTTCATTCAGCAGGGCATTTTCAAGTCCTTTATTCTGAAGCTTAAGCAGAACATTCTCTGTAGAGAGATGGTGGTACTGCTTAATGTTTTGGGGTTCTGGTCATACACATCAGAGACGACCTGCTTGAGAAGCCTTTCAATTCTTCTCCAGGCTTCTGCTTACAGACTAGAGCGTGATGATGACTCACCAGAAGAGGGTCTTTGATCCTCCTCTTTAGTAAAGCGTGTCAAAACAACCTCCGGGTTCTAGGGCTATAAACCGACCGATTTCCATGCACTCTCAATATTGCTTGTAGATAAGGCCTTATTCCAGCTCGACCAGAATAGCCTAAAGAAATCCCTCTTGGTAATATGGCTTAGGCCCTGGCTGGCATGTAAAAGAGCCTCCAGCTGGTTACTATAGGCAAGAGATAAAGGACCAAAGATACTAATCAAGCGGCTGCAGAGAATATGTAGAATGAGGAGGATATATAGCCTAGAGGATCTTATTTGCATCACAGACGTCAATAAACTTTATTGTGATATGAGATCCATGTCCATTAGGAATTAAAAGACGCCAACGCCTTCTAGCTTTCTCTTTAGTCTGTCTACAGATGACAAAGGAGACATCTCCCTTGAGGAATTCCACAGCATGTACGCTAAAGACCCTGAACGCACCTTTGATATGATCCTTCGCGTTTTGAATCATCTGGAGACCAAAACAGAGCGCGCTGAGATCGCTGTTGACGACTTGACCACTGAGAGAGATGCATTGCTCGAACGGGTCGATAATCTGGTTGAAGAAAAAGGTAATATGGCCACTGAACGAGATCTCTTTGCTGTACAGTTGGCTCGCGTTGGTTCCCAGGCTGCACGAGCCGCCAACGAGCCTCGTAAGTCCACAAAGATCCCTGGCCCCCCATGCTCAGTGATGGACCCTACTTTTAAAGATTAGACCCTGGCTATGCACCAGAAACTAGACACCAATGCTGACCACTATAGCACCGCGATCCTTCGCAAGGCGTATGTATGCCATTTTGTCACTGTCTTCAACTTACTCCATCGGCTTCGATACGTTCTCAGCACCCCGTCCGATTATGATATCGAATCTCTGTATGGTGATCGCAGTCCTTCCTCTTGCTACGACGTATGAATTCATCTACAGCTATCAAGATGTAGATGAGGATATCACGCTGGGACTCAAGAGTATGGCAGTGAAGTATAGGCATTCTGGCCGACGAGTGCTTATTGCTCTCTCCCTCTTATACACAGGCCTTCTACTTGCGAGCGGCGTAACTGCCGCCCTTGGGCCGTATTATTTTACAGGGGCAGCTTGCTCGGCTATGACAGTGCTTTTGTCAACCGCTCTGGTTGACCTCGAGTCCCCTCCCAGCTGCGGCGCGTGTTTTCTGTATGGATTTGTCGCTGCGAGCGCAGGCTTGGCTTCGGGTGTGTATACGGAGTACGCTTGGTGAATCTGATGTTCTGCGGGCAGTGAAGCTGCAGAGACGGATGGAAAGAAGAGGGCTGAGAAAGTGTTTCCACCGCATCCAATGTGGGATATATCATCTTGTGATGGCACCTGGTTTGCGGCACAAAATCTATACAGGTAGTGGGTTTTCGCTGGAGATTAGTAGTGCGTGCTCAGAAAAGTGCATAACGAGTATTTATCAAGAGGAAAAGGAAATAGAGGGTCATGGGGCATGTTCTATACTCTGCAGAGAGTAGTCTATGACTCTCTTCAAAGTACTTTTCGTTAATCCATGTATTTAGTCATAAAGTGTAAAGCAAAGACTTGGTGTAAGTTGGACTATGAGTATGCCGACATTATTAAGAGGAAGCAAATAAACTTATGATTCAATACTCTTAAGTCCCAAAGAGCAGAGTGTCAAAGGAAGAGCGCCTTTGAATTGTAGAGGATGGATCGGGTTCTAATAGACACATGCGTCACCATGGACGCCACGCACTTAGTTACATTCCGGCAACGAACAAGGGTGATAAATAAGGTACGTGGAATGTAGAACTTCTAGCAAGAAAGCTACACTTCGGAACTTGCCTTGCTGTCTCACAAGTTACAACTGCTATAATACCCCCGATATTCCAGGTTCTAGTCCACAGGAGACACATTTGTATGTAGTGATGAGTTGGGCCCTTGCAACGTAACTAGAGCTCTGAGGTCACTGGTGCGAACTACTCCATGTTTAAGTTAGGGCTGCACGGAAGAATAGCTGATACAATCTTAGGTTCTTCTCGGGATTAAAGGTATCCTGCTAGGGGCCCACGAATAGACTTTCGCTTGACTCAAGATAAGGTGACTGGGCTATGCTGTTTCATTCGATATGCGGTAAGCCACACGTCCCCTTGCATAATTTACCTCGTGAGCAATAGAGGCATCATGGGTATATATGGCGAGCAAACGTGGCATAGCAGAATAATATTGTGAGATGGATCAAGTTGGTTTATGCTTTGGTCCTTCTTTCTGGGATGCTCCATGCGATTTACGCTATGATATTCAAATGTTTCCTTGTCATCGTAAAACGGTGATAAATGTTTTTCGTCTCTTCAAACTGTTGGGAAAGCTCCCTAGAATGACAGTCACCTCATATTGGTTTGGAAAACGTTCTTTATAAGTAACTGCCACATTATAAAGCGGGGTGGGTGAGGGGACAAGATATACAGTACAACGATGGCACTGCCACGTTACCTAGTAATTTGATATTGTTTATGAATGTGGTATTTGAATGGTATCCTTGCAATCAGTACCACACTCTAGAGGCATTAATCGTGCCGTAAATGGTTCGGTTGGTAATCATCTCAGAAATGGAAAACTACTTTACAAGGAATGGCCTTCAATAGTCGTGGGATTCAATATTCAAGCAGTAAAGATGCCTTTACATATTACACCAGCCCAAGACCCCTATAAACCTCTGTCTCGACAGCTTGCGACAACTGGAACAGTTGTTTATCACCATATGGTAATACCTGCGAGCATATAAAGCCCGCCACACCTTTTTCACGGTCGCACCACCAACGAAGATTAGCTATCCCCGACCACTGCGCAGTCCCGATCGATCGCCCCGTGGAACCTCCACTGAGCAGGAAGGTAAGTCCCCAGCCTTGGCGATCTCCCTCAACAGTTGGGTGAATGCCGATACTGGAGTGTGACAGGTCTGCTTTCGCATCCGGGAAATGCTTTTCGCTGAGAGGGGGCAGGTTCTCGATTTGGTTCCGGAACATCTCATCAACAGTCTCCTTCTTAAGCAGCTGCTTGCCGGTTGTCGGCGAAGTTCCGTTGTTCAACAGAACGGCGAGGATTTCTATATACGTGTCAGTCCATTGCTGGTAGTGTCGGCTCGGCAGGGAATCATACGGGAGTAGTCCTCTGCAGTTGAGAAACATCCGGCTCCACCGCTATTGAAGTAGGACTTGATGTCACTCTCACTCTTCACTGTCATGGCTCGTCGAAGCAGATGGTCGCGGACAGAGAGCTGGCCATCAGTCGCTCGCTGGTGCATGTACGCGAGCTTTGCCTTCATTTCTTCCGTGGGGATCATCGAGATATGCTTGAGGCCGAGTGGCTCGAAGATGTGTTGATGGAAATAGTCATTCAACGACTGTCCTGTAACCCGCTCAAGCACGACACCTGCCCAGTCAATGCCAATCTATCGCGCCGTTCCTTGGATGTTAACAGCCATCGCTTGCTTGCGGCCGGGCGGTGGTTACTCACGCTATATTCCCAAGCTTCCCCAGGTTGGTGGACCAGCGGCTGGTTGAAGTCCTCGGCGTATCCCGAGAATTCATCATATCCAACGGGTCGGCCGTAGTCCCGCAGTTTTTCATTATAGAATGTATAACCAAACCCGGCTACAATGGTTCAACATTAGTGCTCTCGTTCGAGTTTACAACATCATGGATACTGACAAGTATGAGTCAAGAGCATTCTCAAAGTAATGCCTTTATTTCTCTCCACCAAGGTCCCATCTTCTTGGAGCACTCGGAGATCATTGAATTCAGGACAGATGCGGTGGATTTGGTCAGCGTCATCCAAAGACAGCTTTCCCTGCTCGACTAGCTGCATGCACGCAATGCCAGTGATCATCTTTGTGCACGAAGCGATCCAGAAAACCGAGTCCACAGCCATGGGCTCGGCGCTGTCACGGCCCCGTTTCCCTGCAGCGTGGCTGAACAGCTGCTTGCCATCCCGTCCGACTACAGCGACGGAAACCCCGGGGAGGCCCTTGTCGGAATCGCTGCACACGGATTGCATCCGGCGCTTGAGCGCCTCGATGTTGGTGGGATTGACCTCGCTCATTGTCGGGAATGGTATGTAATGTGTCGTGGAGGTGCGATGAGGGGTTGGCTGCCCTTGTCAATCATTTATTTATACGTAATGAGGGGTTCGGTGGGGCTTCTCTTCTCTCTCGGGTCATCGAAAATCGTCCGGAATCTCAGCAACCCCTTAAGAGCCTTAGGCATTAAGCTATACTGAACACGCTAAATTCCTCCCAGACTTGGATAAACTGGGAAGCACCTAGCCAAATGTTCAATAGCTTCAATACTTTTATTATTTTATACTTGCTTGTGCGTTATCTCGTGTTTCATATTGTAGCAATTATGACATCTTCATTTGTATCTGATGTTCCCCAGACTGCCTTCTGCGAAACCAAAGCCTTCAAGTATGAATGACGCCCCTTGGTCCATAGAGTCAAGATAGGATTGGCAGCGAAATACCAAATCTTCAGAATTGCCATTGCTTGATCCAGTTCTCCATGATAGCCCCGTCAATCGGCCCGAGATCACGCATTGCCTTACTAGCTGCCTGTGTCTTCACATTCTCCATCATGCTGGTAAAAGTACCATGATTGCCGGCCAATCCCCTATAGAAATCTATGATTTTGAGAGCCGGCATGTCTTGTAAATCACCATCCGTTGGATTGCTAAACCCCTCTAAGGCAGCCATCCAGTCATTCATGTCGACAACCTCAGCGGTATAATACTTCTGGATGGCCGGGATAAGTGATTCCCAGCTTGCAGCATGAGGGTTGACGAGGTGGAAGGCGGCCGTTCTGGTGACGTCCTCGGTAGCGCGTCGGGACTGCGTGATATCGACCACGATCTTGGCCATAATATCCTATAGATACCATTAGTAGACAAAACCCAAGGGAACCCGGGTGGCAAGGGAACGTACTATAGGAATCCAATCAACCGGCATTGCACCAAGGGTACTTGGTACTTTTCCGATTGTCTTGGATGTCGCAACCAGAGAAGGTAACCATTCCTGTCGGTTCCATAGACCCTTTTCCATCGTTGGACCACCGATCTGTCCCACGCGATGGATGCTGGTCGGCACGCCTGCAATAGCTGACGCGAGAGCACAGATGCGCTCGCCGACGAACTTGGATTCCCCATACCCTTGGCGCAATGCCACATCAGGATCCTCTAGAGGGATTTCGGGCACGGATGGGCCGTGCTGAGGGCCCCACGCACTCACGGTTGAGATCGAGGAGATGAAGTGGATATGTGCCGAATGGGCACTTCGTAGACTGAAGTCCACCAGGTTACGTACGCCTCGGATATGGGGATCCTCGAATGCCTCAGCCCTGTGGTTGAAATTGACCTTCCATGCATTGTGGATAATGAGATCCACACACTCCGTGAGTTCGTTATATTTGTCGGCGGGCAAGCCAAGTTTTGGAGCTCCAAACTGGGTGTGTATGAACTCAACCCGTTCATCGAAGTCGTGCGGAATTGCAAGTCCTTTTTCCTTGAAGCTGTCGATCTGTCTTTGTCTTGCATCCTCTGCCCGATTGAGACAGTAGATGGTGGGGATCTCTCCATCATTGAGTAACTCATTCAGTATGTAGTTACCTAATGATCCAGTAGAACCGGTCAGAATAACTGCATGCTTTGCTGACCTGCTGAAACTTGTGATTTTTCTCTGCGGTAAATCACCGGTGTACTTTTTGACCAATCCTGCAATTCTCCCAGGTCTAGAAGCCTCCTCATCCTCAGTATTGCCCTCCTTGGTCTGACCATTTATCAGCCCATAAACATACTGTGACAGCCTATCAGGAGTCGGATAAGCGTATAGCTTTTGGCTTGTAATCGGGTCAGAGTGGTGATCAGCAGAAAGATGCTGGACGGCAGTTTGCAGGATCTTGCTCAGTTGCAGTGTTTGGAGCGAATCCATACCCAGTGAGAATATGTCGCTAGTACCACTGATTTGCTCAACAGAAAGTAGCTGTGACACCACTGTGCGGATATATTGCTGGATACTTTCAAGGTCTGTGCTCTGTGGTAAACCATCAATGCACTCCTCGTCGTCGTTGGCGTATAAAGCGTCAATTTCATTTTTGTAGTCTTCGGATATCTGTCTTCTCTGGACTGTACCCTTGGGGGTTAGCGCGAATGGTGTATCTTTCTTAGCTAGGGCAACCTTTGTGCGCAAGACATGGGCATGGCCGGGAGCAATGGCATTCGCCCTCTCAACGGTAGGCCATATTTTCTGGATAAAGTCCTCCTTGTCTTGATCCTCACTCCATTGCTCCCAGTTTGGCTGTACGAGTAACGCAGACTGGAATCGCCCTTGGCCAATAACGACGGCCTTTGAAACTAAGGAATGACACTCCACGATATTCTCCATGTCGATCGGGTTGAACTTCTCACCGTTGCTGAGCACAATAACGTCGTCAAGACGACCGTGATATTTCCACAGCCCTGATTTGGTTGGGTGTGGCGTGTATAGATCTTTTGTTCGATATTCAGTGATATCAGGATAGGTATGGAAGATACTGGAGAACTCATGATGTTCGCCCTTCCGTATGACAGCCTCAAACACTTCATCATCAATGGACTCCATGTGTATACGACTATATGGGTTCCACTCAAAATATTCCCAATCTTCACGGTGCGTGCAAATCAAGGCTGGCATGAACCCAGCTTCACTGGAGCCAATGACCGAGACGAGAGCCACCTTTTCACTCAACTTGTTGCCGACCTCCGGTGCAAGCGGTGCGCCGCCGAACATTATTGCTTCGAACTTTTGTAAGCCCATCAAACCTTCTTCGAAAGCGGACAACTCTTGCATGACCGATGGTGTGAGCAGAGCTGCTTCCGGACGCGCAGTCTCTAGGATTTGACAAAGTAGTGCCGGGGTAATCGGTCGTTCGGGGCTCAAGACCACGGGTGTATCGTGGAAAATGGCACCCGAGAGAGTGACAAGCCCCATTAAATGGAACATCGGAGCCATGGTGAACAGACGTTTACCTTGCGCTACTGAGCTGATCGACTTGTTCAGTCTGCCATGCGGAGTTGGTATCCTGTGAATATTGTCAATAACGCTGAAGAATCCGTTTGTCAGATATACCGGCTTAGGGAGACCTGAAGAGGGAGGGTTAGCCTATCACAAGCAGAGGTCATCGCAACTGTTAAGGCTTACCGGTGGTTCCAGAACTATGGATGATAATGCATGATTTATTTTGCAAATCATAGAAAGTCCCGTTGAAAGGGTAAGGCGCAGCCTGTTCACCGAATACCTCCCAGAGGCTCGGTATCTCAAACAATCGGACTCCTTGTACATTGTCCCGTATTTCTTCGGCGATTTTGTGTCTCTCAGCACTATAGACAATCTTTGAACATTTGGTGGCACCTAGAACGTGCGACGTGGCCACGATTGAATTTCTTGGAGATGGCAACAACGCCTATGTGCCGATTAGACAGAGCTTCGATTCATTGCTGAATAACTCATAGGAGCATTTACCGCATAGCCAGTCTTCATGCAAGCCAAATAGAAAGCCACATAGCGGATGTCATTGGCTCCAATATAAGCCAGGGGCTCACCGTCAAAGCCTTTTCCAATTGCCATCTCAATCCACCAGGCCGTGTAATCCACGGCACCGGCGAGGTCTCTCATGGACACATTTCGCCAACCTTGGGATAAATCGGAAGAAACAGATTGTACGCAGAAGAGCTGCTCTGGTCTACTCTCCGCCAACTCGTCGACAACACAGCACATTAGTCGCTGATCGAAGCCCATGACTACTTGACTGGGAGAGCGTTGTAATAGAAACAATACAGTGTAAAGTTAAGCAGGATCTTGTGTAGAATGTGAGACTTTTGATGTGATGATCTTGTACGAGGGATATTCGTCCCCTGACTGAACTGGGATTATATATACCACCGTTTGGTTGATCCCTTCCGATGTGGGAGTGGAGGCATATTGGTCCTATGATGGTAAACTTGTGTACAACCCTTCTGTGATCTTGGGATAACACACTCCGTTGCATAATTGCCGTGTTTAAACGGATAAGTACCGGTGGAGACTATATCGGGATCGTAGTATAGGAACATATTCCACACGGCACGACTTTCCATCCCGGATAACACAAGATAGTGAGTCTTGCTCACGTCAGTTCCCTCACCGCAATGAGGATTAGACCCACTGCACCCAGTTACACACAGCCGTCTTTGCTGATTATACAGCTGTGATACTATAGTATACCGGCATAATGTATTGAGTGCATTCGTCACACGGGGTAGGATTTGGTGGGGTTGTAAAACGCTTTGGAATAGATAAGGTGGCCAGGACACGAGTGTGGGTCAATTAGACCGATGAAGAAATCAGCGGTCAATTATTTGCTTTCCTCAAAAATAGCGCAGGAAGAAGAAGAAGACTGAAACTAAGTGGAGATTTATTGACGGGATATACGGCGTTCCGCTTCCCGTACGCGTTATGCTTTCCGATACCGTGATATACTTATTCCTCTCCTCCGGAGTATGATTGAGTCCACCGACATAACCTGTTATGCTGAGGTATTCAAGGATAAACTGCGACATTGGAAGAGGCGGCAATGTAGGCCTTCAAAATATCGGGACAGTAATTATATTTATCTGTCTACATGGAATGTAGTCTCGGACTCTCCTCAGCCAACAAACCGTTCAAATCTACACCCAATTGTATGAGCATCATGACTGAAGCCCACAGCAAGACTATCCTCATCACTGGGGCCTCAGGCTTTCTTGCAACTCATATTGTGAAAGCTTTTCTTCAACAGGGTTATCATGTCCGCGGGACTGTTCGATCGGATCAGGCCGCAGCGAACGTACGCAAGGGATTTTCGCAGTATAGTGATCGGCTGTCGTTCGCTATTGTTGAGGATATAGCACAGCCCGGGGCCTTCAATGAAGCCGTGAAAGGGGTCGACGGTGTAAGACTCTGTATCCCTGTATTTTGATCGATACCCGAGGGGTCGGAGACTCTAACTCTCAGCTATCTAGATCGTTCATACCGCTTCCCCATTCCAGATTTCAGTGCAGGACAACAAGCATGACCTTCTGTGGCCCGCGATTAACGGTACCACGTCAATCCTTCGGGCAGCTCAGGAATATGCACCGCAAATTAGTCGAGTCGTGATCACGTCTTCGATGGCTGCCGTGATAGACGTGGAAAAAGGTCCGCAGTCCGACTATACATATACTGAAGAAGACTGGAATCCCATGACATTCAAACAGGCTAAAAGTGCCCACGGCATAGTTGCATACGCTGCTTCCAAGGCAATTGCGGAGCAAGCTGCCTGGCGATACATGGGAACGAACGCGCCTCACTTCAGCCTTACCACAATTTGCCCTCCCATGATCTATGGCCCCGTGGAGCATCATGTTCCTACTATGGAGAAATTGAATACAAGTGTGGGTGATATCTACCGGTTATTCAATGGTAGCAGCACTGAGATACCATCGGTAATTTTGCCGGCCTTTGCGGATGTTCGCGACGTTGCTCAAGCCCACCTCTTCGCATTTGAATCCCAGAAAGCAGCAGGAGAGCGTTTTATTGTTAGCTCTGGACCCTACACCTATCAAGAAATTTGCGATATTCTTCGATCCGTCGTCCCCGAGGCCAGGGATAAAGTCCCTATTGGCCAGCCTGGACAATATGAAACGGCATCCATCAAAATCTCGAGTAACAAGATCAAGACTCTTCTGGGCATCAATTTCCACACGCTGCAGGAAACTGTGAAGGACACTGCCGATAGCTTGTTGGCTCTGGAAGAAGCATGCAAATTACACTAGGCTGCATTGGAAATCGAATCTTGTTTGGTTTTTGTATAGCTAGAAATGATGGCACATATATTCAAGTAGAATTTTACAATTGATGAAGGTAGCGTTTTGTGATACACAAAGAAACTTCAATATTGACGCCTTCATTGGGTGTGTAGGGCCTGCATTATACCTACTCGTACTATCCGTCATAAAAGGAATCTCCAGTTCTCCGTTCAAGAGGCGAGTTGTATAGAATGAGTACTTGATTTGCTGAGATATCGATCTGTGGAGACATCCTGGGCCGTCTTGACTTTTCACAAGCTTTAATACAGACAAGCATATTTTAGCGTTACCTCGTTATGCAAGGATGGTAATGTTACGGTAAGATCTGCCCGATGCGATCCCCGGCGTCCCCACAAAAAGGTCGCCCCTCCCCATTGAGCACAATTCCCTCTATGACATGCGAATGCCGCATAACCGACCACCGGAGTTATGCCCTCGCACCTCAGTTTTTCATGCCCAGCATTCTTTCCCTTTAGTTCGCGCCACAGTCCCAGACAGCCGATACTGTTATCTAACTTGTCTCAATTTAAATAATGAACCCGGTGGATCGGAGTGCAAGCGGGTTGTTAAACACTACCAGCGAAGAAAGACCAAGACAACGACCGGTAGTACGGTGTCCCTGCTAATGTGTCACACTCTCTAACCGAAAGGATTAGGCTTGTGAGCTTTGTCGCAGGTGGAAAGTCAAGTGCGAAAGGGCATCCGACCATGCGACATGTTCTGTTTGTCAACGGCGAGGTGCTGTTTGTGTCCGGACGAGCCGACCGCGTGTATCCCGGCGTCCTGGTGCCGGGTGAGGAATCAGAGGCCCACGCCCCAGACAGGCCCATAGAGATCGCTAATTTGTCGCTCCAGGAATAAAAGTAAAGAGAGACCACAGCCTCCGGTTATGCGACTAAACGATGCATTCCATCCTCAGCGGGAAGAGGGCATCCAATGCCAAGCCGGGGTGGAGGCAGAGCTTGTTAATGAGTTTATCGCATACAAGCAATGGACAAGGACGTTTCTCCATGACTGGCTGAGCTTGCTCTGTGAGATTTTGCTACCGACTCATTGCTTCCCACTACTAATAATTCTCAGCATGTAAAACACCATTATACTGCTTGCCAGCTCAATGGGAAGAATGGTTACAGTCTGAGATGGGTTTTCAACTCGGAGCCCTTCGAGACAAGATCAATGACGCCCAATCATCAAAAGAAAATCTTCTGAACACTGATTTAAGTAACGGTCGACTACCGGTATTCACTGCACTACCTTCACAGCAAGAGGCTGCTGAAGTCCTAAGCACGTTGTTCACCTATACTAAAGATGTATTTCCCCTATTCCACCCTGATACTTTCACAGATCTTTTGCATAGCAGCTATGAACGAAGGCGGCCCCGGGATCCATCATGGTGGGCTGGCCTGAACATAGCATTGGCAATTGGCTATCGCTACCGATCGCTGCACCAACATGACCAGAGTGGCGCTAGAGCGAAGTCGAATGTATATTACAAAAATGCACTTGCCGCTGTTCCGGAGCTTCTCTTACGCAGACCAGACTTGATGGCTGTTCAAGCACTCCTAGGCATTGTGCGTGTGATATAGTATCCTGTCCTCACTTGATGCGGTCGTTGCTAATGTTAACTCGATAGGTTTTTCTTTCATGCAATGGGTTTGACACCCCAATGTATCAGAATATATTATCTATCGCAATTCGCTCATGCGCTGAATTTGGAATCCATGATACTTGCGTAATCCCCCCGTCTTCATGCACAATACAGGAGCAACCAATGTTGATTTTGTCTCTTGGTTATACAATGGATGAGCTGTGGGTCTTGCCCAGAGACCACATTGAAACAGGCTGTCTAATGTTCACAGATACCGTCCGTGGCAAGGCCTGCCACCCAGCAATGCCCCAGCCTATCTCGGCGCGGACAGCCCTCATCCAGACTGGGTATATGAGTCTATCGCTCAGATCTCCGGTCTTTCTGACATAGATACTTTTACTTGGTTTCGCCGCCTATCAATCGTCCGACACAAGATATATTCGTCCCTCTACAGGGCAAAGGCCTCGCAGACGTTCCCGCATGGACAATCTTCAATCATACAGGCCTTGCAACTAGAATTAACAAGTTTCCAACGGGCCTTACCTGTTGACCCTGCCCATGCAATAGAATTTGTGAACAAACTACCGGGCAATCTGAAGTCTCCTACCGTGTCACTCCTATGTGCGTATCACAATACCGTTATTTTACTGCATCAGACGCAAATATTCTTCCGGGCCCCGAAGACCCTAACTCGGCCCCGAGCTACGGAGTTCTCTCACACGGCATGTGTAGGCGCTGCCCGCCACACTGCGCTTCTATTGAAGGGCCTTCCTCCCAGATGGTGGCCGTTTGGGATCCGGTATATGAAAAATTCTCTATCCTCCGTTTCCACTGTATGATACACAGGACTAACAAGCATCAGACTTGTAGCCCTATACATCTTTTCTGCGTTCAACATTTTGTTCGCTAGTCTGGTCGACAACCCTAACAGTACTGCAGCCCAAAGCGATCTCGAGTTAATGGAAGCAATGATCTCTCGTCTTTCTACATGTGCAACCAGGGATGAACTGTCACAAAGTCAGAGTTTGGCTGAGCTTACCTTCTTTCTTCAAACGTCGCGAGAATGTCTTGGGTTGGCGTATTCTATGGTTCACAAAGCGCAATCGTGAAATTTAGTCGAGATAAATGGGATATGAGTGGCGTTTTCTTTGGTTATAATGACACGGCGAAGCGTATATGATCAATCTCAGGTGATACCTACGACCGAAAACAATATTCACAGTCACTCCTGGTACGGTTACTGGTACGCCGACGAGTTTGCCTTTCAACTCTTTGATGGACGGGCGACCTGGCCCCAGTGAGAAGGATATCTTCATCACCGCATAGGACTTCCGTGGTATGACTACTACTACTAGTAATTTGTCTTAATGAGGTTGGTGGCGTTTGTGGTATTTTGTTATTTTGTAATTGTTGTGCCATCCACGAGCCTTGCAGTCAATATCTTCTTGATGGCTCTTGATCAAATGACATTGATTTATATGTTATTTTTAGCGATGTTGGACATCCCTGTTCGAACAGAGAGAACTTCTAGACTGGGCAATCTTTTGGGTGACTTTGACAATGAACTGCTACTTTCTAGCTTCAAATCCACTGAGAGCACAGAATACTAAACCAGATCGGCGCTTTCTTTGATGGCCAAAATCAATGTTCAAGACAGAAAGCTTTCCACGAACAGCGAAACTCTAGAAATAGAATCCGGTAAAGATGGTTCGCGGACCTTTACTCTGCTTGTCACATTTCTACTTACTGAATACCGTTGATTGTTATTGATAATACAGACAGGGATAGCTTCCCAGATGCACCTACAAGCTCTCATTCTATGCCTATCTATCAACCCCCCCTCAACATTCTGGATTTCGTACCTACTTCCCAACAATCCCTTCCGCAAGCGACTCTTCCAAATAAGTCCAACCCTTCCCAAAAAAGGCCTTCAGCAACTCCTCCGCCCGACTCGCTGGAACAATCTTACTCAAGTCCCTTGTGTGGTCCAACGGATCTGGGATCTTGTCATTATCGGGCCGCAGTCTCCGCAGGATAGCGATGATATCATCCCAGGCGAACGGCTGTGCGAAACCAAATAGACGCTGGGATTGCACATTTGGGTCAAGGAGGCCGATGGCGTGCAGTTTCGCGGTGTCAATGACGTCAATGAACCAAACTGCATGATTCTGTTAACTAAGTTGTCAATAAATAGGGGGAGGGATCGATGGATGCCTTACCCGGAGGTAGGTGCAATATGGTTGGATCACCCTCAAGTAGCTTGGCCGTTTGCCCCATTGACGACCCGTGGATCTGGGGATGGAGTATAGTGCCAAACTACCAGTGAACAACAAATAATAGGTTAGATCGACATGAGCCCTCATTGACGGGTTAAAGAAACATACATTCGCACTCGTCACAATAGTATTGAACTTGAAACTCGGGTTATGCTCAGCCATCCATTTCCAAGCCGCCCTCTCACCCTCAGTCTTGGATGCAGCATACACGGCTATGGGCTTTTGGGCTTGAGGTGTCTTCTCATCCCAGGCTGCTGCGATGGCGGCGTCATTCCACGAACCTATACATATATCACATTAGCATTGAGACAAGTATGGTACGCTGCACCTACCTTCGTCAATGACAATCCCCTCCACGTCTGGCTGGGTGGTATAGCACGCTAACGAAGACGATGTCAAAACTACCCGTTTCACACTCTTCACACGCCTGGCAGCCTCCAGAATTCCAATTGTGGCAGATACAACCCCGGGGATGACTTCGTTTGGCTTGGGATTCATTGCTAGGTCTGATGCCTGTACCCTGTCATCCATTTATCCATCATCCAATGGACAGCGTACTTGAACAAGATGAATCGAAGTAAGGTATACTATACGTACCACATGAGCCACCCCCTCAATCCCCTGAAAAGCCTTCTCGAGTTCACCAACATCATCTAATCTCGGCACAACCACGCTCTCATACCTACCATTCCCATACTTCGACACAAAGAATTCATCCAGCCAGGGTTTCGGTGCTCGCACCGTGCCTCGGACTTTGTACCCCAGTTCAAGGAGTGTGTTTACGACTGTCGAGCCGATGTACCCGTTTGCGCCGGTGACAAGCATCCAGGCGTCTTTTGGGATGACGACTTGAGTGGGGGTTGACATTGTGAGTTGGAATAAGTAATGATGTGAATCAAGCGATATAGATGGTAAGGATGAATGTTTCGATGTGGCTTATTGACACAGTGAAAAGAGGCAGACCAACATCAGTTCTATCATACCCTCTTAAGCAAGAGGAGAATATAGCATATTACAAATGTGATCTCCATGTCTTGCCCTGCTTAGGTGAACATGGCTTAACTTTGCGCCGCCGGATGGATCCAGGAGCTTAGGAAGCACCTTTTCTCGTCGCAATTTTCTTAGTCATTGGATAGTCAATGATTATTTACCAGTGGAATGTTTAACTCATGAGAACGGGAGTTCCACCTAGGCTTTCACGGTAATGAGAGAATTCTGAGACAGTCTATCTAGGATCAGCAATATTACAAATGCTGCACGATACTTAAGGTTCGAAACCCTCCGCGCTGATCCACATCAAGGCTCCACCCTTCCACTCGACCTGACATGGGAAGCTAGCAGTTGCACCGAAGTATCCCCGGGCCAGAAACCATAGGAACTGGACGGGTTTCAGTAACCATGGAAGTGATACTCGGTTGTCAATCAATCAACCTCTCCCGCAGAAAGAAACGTACAGATTAATTGCGTATCTGCCTGAGTCACTTGATTCTTTCGTCCGCTGTCTCACTAGCCATACTTAGTTCATTCGGTACAGAGATGCCTTCTATGCTCGCGTCCTCCATCTCGGAGCCACCGGTGAAACAGGAGATCCGTGCTAGATGACGTATTGGAATCTACATAATATGTGCGTTATGGTGGCCCACCCCCAGCATACTCTGTATTCAAGTATAAGATTTATAAAAAGAGTTAATTATTGTCTATGTTAGATACATATTTCTAATCTGTACTTGCTTATTAATCTACAGGTACCTGCCAAGATCTACAGATTTGAGATCTACATAAACCCAACCTCCGGGCTTAGACTAGAGACCCGAAACCCGCCAAGAGATGGGGCCTACTGGCAGGGTTCGAAAAGAATGTTTTTGGGACAAACAGGGCCACTGTGGCCATGTCACCGTCTGTACCGCTTCCTACTCCAGTAGTGATCTGGTTATACATCATAACCTTTAGAGGTATCTCTTTTTATACCACCGAGTTACTCCGTAAGATACAACTGGCAGAATCTTAATCAACAGACACACCCGCTGGCCGCCGACCGTCCCACGGCATCCTCCAACAGTACTCATCTACATCCATCCTGCAAGCATGGACTCAGGCAGTCAGCCATCGTCGCAGCGGAACATTCGCCAATCGTGCGACAAGTGCCGTATGTCACCCTGTACATTAGTCTGGGTTATTAAGAATTGTCGTGGATAATGCTAAATTCTAGTGTCGAAGGTACTCGAAAGCAGACATGCACGAAGGAGCCAGGTGGCTGCTCACGCTGCAGAAACTTAGGTATCCAATGTCGCTACTCTGCTCAAAAGCCCACTGGTCGTCCCCGAAAGGCAACACCTCATGTTTTGAGGCAGCTCCAAGTGTCAATTAACGATGTATCTCGTGTTGCGGTTGGCGATATAGGTATCTTGCAAACCGACACGAATCTACGTGACAGCATCCAATTTTTGGATGAGCATATTGCACCCCACCGCGGGGTTCCTGTTTCTAATTCTCGTGAAGCAGAACCACCCACTATGCGGTTCTCCAAAGACATGGATAGTTGCAGCTGTCTTTCCCGTATTCACTATTTTACTAGAGTACTCCGCGCTCTGACAAACGAGGCGGTCCCGAGTGTTACAGTCGTCCGTACTGCTGTTCGATCCGTTCACGATTCTCTCAAGTGCAGCTCCTGCTCTCGCTCAATGATAATCTCCCAAGATCCTACGGAGAAACTGCGGGCTCTTGGTACCCTTCTCTCGTTAATCCCTGGTTTCTATCATCAACTCTTGCAGATGATTGACTGTGAAGCATCGCTCGCAGTAGCCGAAAACCGCGGACTTGCATTCAAACTCGAAGAAAGTGGTGGTTTATGGGGTGACCTGGCGGGGGACAGAGCATGCCCGGTCGTTAACAGGCTCAAGGACCACCCCCTTGATCCGGAGCTTTGGCGACAAACGATGCGCGGACTCCTGAGGGCCGATGTGTATGGCCTTACGGTGGACTTCTATTCTGGGGATTCGGGAAAGCTACTGAAGCAGAGCCGGCACCCAGGTCTCAATGACATGGTTGGCATGCTGGATGAACTGGCGACCAGGGGACTAGTCGGTCAGATGGGTGGTTGGCTTCTTCCTGAATCGACTGGGATTCATACTTGTATGGACTTGATAGAAACCGCAAAGCAAAGTGTTGGCGAGCTCGTAATAGCTTAACTGTGAACACACCTTTGCCCAAAGTATGTTGCTATAAGATAACGAATGTGAGGAGGAGTCGTTGTCTATATACGCTTTCTAGAGATCTCCTATCTTTTTCCATAAACATGGTGAGATCATCGGTCCCGTCCATTATCAGTGTCATTATACCACAGTTCTGACAGGCCAATAGACCCTCTAGCAGTCACTCTATTAGTAGGACACGATATATGTCGCCTGGTGTATCGTATAGAGTATTGCGATCAATTTATTATTCACTTTATAGTGAATAAGACAATCTCGCTTGTCAAAGTCCTTGATCTGATCACAATTTGCCTATCTGCTAGTCTGTGGACAACTGAATCATTGCGCCCTTGGGATGACAATCCTCATTAAGTCATGACTCCTAATACATGTTTGTCGACCTACGCTGATCCACAGAATACAACAGATGAAAGAAAATTCACAGGCGGCCTTTTTCAGTGGTTACTCCATTTTCAGTCCCAGATTACTTTCTGTGTCGCTCAGCCACAAAGAAGAAGAATAACAACAGCAGCAACTGTCTCATGCTTCGGCATAAGGAACGACTAAACTAGACACCTATGCACACGTAGTAGTCCACCCACAGATTCGAGCAGGAGGCATCGACCATCGTGTTCCACGAGCGGAACTGAGCGAAGGTGATGCCCGCCGCAGTGTCGATAGAGTAACAGTCGTCACCGGACTTGACTAGGTAGAACTTCTTACAGTTGTCCACGATGCCAGGCATACGAGGCTCGGGGGGAGTGTCCGTGGGTCCGGGCGGCTTGCTCGTAGTAGTCGTCGTTGTGGCATCGGGGACATGGACACAAACATAATAGTCCAGCCAGAGATTGGTGCATGCTACCATGAGTGGGACATGGAATCAGTCATAGCAAAACGTGTGCTGAATAGGAAGACTTACCGGAGTTAATACTGGGATTCCATGCCTTGAATTGGGCGTCCGTGATGCCGTACTGGACCTCAATGGTATCGCACTGATCCCCTGGCCCGACCAGATGGAACTTGTCACAGTTGGACGGTATGCCCGGCTGGGTCGGCTCGTGTTTTGCAGAGGATGTGGTGGTTGTGGCGAGCGTCGTTGCAACGCCAGCACACAGCACCTGTGGGAGCAATCCCAGGACAACAGCGGTCTTGAAAATCATGTTATTAATTGGGTACTTTGGTTTGTTGAAGAGTAAATGAAGAGGAAAACTGGAGTTGGTATGCTGGTGAATATTCTTGTCAACGCAGTGTCTAGCCCGCTCTTATACCTATTCCTGCAGTATTTTTTTAGCAGGAATGAGTAACATAATCGACAGACCAGGCCGACGGCTACCCGAGCATTCGACCATACTCTGTGTATAGCTCAGTGTGACCCAGCTGCATAGATGTCTCACTAGAGTCCCAGGGTCCCCGCTCCGGGTATAGCAGGTAGGATGCCGCTGCCGGGTAAATACCTGTTCTAAGCGAGCCCCGCCAAAAGCAACGATGGCTTTGGGATGCGGGGTTGAGACGTGAAGACAATCTCCCGCAACCACGTCCGTCTGCGAACCCGGCCACTGATGCCGGATCAACCGGGGCTTTAATAATTGGAGGTCAGACGGCTTCCGACATAGTGACATCGCGTCGGCCCTTGCTTATGCCAAGAACGACTAATCATGCGCCAAGTTGGAGACAAGAGGTCGAGAGTTACATGCAAACGTCCGTGATGGCCAATCTCATCTGCGTACAGCTTGTTGACTGGCGCACAGAGCACGAGTGTCGCTTAATTGCGAGCCCCAACGGGAACTAAGAAAGGGGTTGCACGAAGAGAACAGAGTCGAGCAATTCAAGTTTTGCCGGTAACCATGTTCCTTAGACTGGTGCACTTGCGCTGCTGAGGCTGTATTCTCGGGGGGTGGGCTGATTCTGGGACACGGCAAAGCGCATACACTAGTGATCCTGCCCACCGAAAGAACTTCTGCAGTTGATAGGTTGATCTTGGCCTTGCAGGGATTGGAGGTAGTACCGGAGACGAAATAACTGCATAAGAGAAGCCGAGACATGCAGAAGATTTGAGACATTGAACACCTGAGTGTGCGGCTGATGGAACATGTCATGCATTTCCGCCAGAGAATCAGGCTCCCAAATGCTATACTTGGTAAGAAAGTAAGCAGGAGCGGGGCTCCCCGTAGCTCCCAATTGTCAGTGCATCCTCTAGTATCTTGGGGGTCCAGATAAATTGTAGGGATACGCCAATACTCAAGCGCGTGGTGTTCATATGAACGGAATACGGGTCGCTACATGATCATTTCATGTCTCACAGATGCACCGGGACCCTGAGATTCATGCCTGATAAACACAGACGGCTTGCTACTCGATACCCTAAACTAGATTCGGATGGATGTTCCGCGTGAGGCTCCGGTTCTAGATTGCGAAGATGGCGGTCATAGCCTCCAACGGGGAGCAAGTGTCAGGGCGTGGAAAGACCAGGCCCACTTCCATGACTCCTGCAGTGTTGGACAAGTAACGTCGTGCGAGGGGGCCAGAATTGCCCAGCTCCCAGGAAGGAAGTCAGTTCTTATCGGCGGCCATGAGGGATTTTGAAGACAGAAAAGCTGATATAGATGCCAACAATGCCTTTTGCGTTTCTTTTCTTCTTCTTCTTTTTTTTTTTTTTTTTTTTTTTTTTTTTTTTTTTTTTCTTAGTCTGGGCCCCGGAGTAGGGTGGCAACATGCTTGAATATCACTGCAGAGACCTGTACATTAGATGCAGCTAATACGCTAACAATAACTCAGTTCCGAGTGGGGTAACACCTGCCAGATGGTTACAATTGAACTTCAAGAAATACGATAAACCTGTCGCAACACAAGGCTACCAAGGTGCTTGATGTGCCCTATCTGGATTCCCATTACAGCACCCAAACGCAGCCCTAAATCATGTGCGGGGCATTGCCTACCAGGGGTTAACGTGAGAGCATAGTCTACTGCAAGTCAGGATTACTCGCGCTCTTGGTACTTCGAGAGGCGCTGCGGACCCAAAGGTTGCAATAGAAGTAAAACGAGAAGAACTACGTGTAGAAGCATAGGGCTGTCTGCCCTGCTGAAAGAGAGAACAGTCCTCAAGCCACGAGAAAGCCGCGATGGTGGAATAGAATACACCTTATTCACGGCTTGAACTTCCCTACATAGTCGATATTAATTCAACCCCCGACACCATTGAACTGGAATCCCCCGGCTCAACCACTGCCCGCTGAATGCATATTGTAATAGTCGAAGCCAGGTTCGGTTTTCTCCTCTACCTTGCGAACACAGATCATGTAGTCATCCTAAGAAAATTATATCAGTCTTGTCCTAGGGACAGGTTTTATATAGATAATGGTACAGGAGAGTGAGTATTCGAAAAAGAATATGCCAACAGTTATATATCTAATTGTGAGATGACAATAGCTACCAAAGTATGTTTTGACGAGAATGGGTTAATTCGGGCATCCATTGTAGTTACTGATAAGACTTATCCTTTGCTCTGTGAAGTACATACGACCATAGGGTGTGGAGAACAGGGCTTCCCGTCCACTCAGCTGTACTTAAACCACATATTACGCGTGGTCAGTAAGTATAATAGCCTTTAGCCCTTCAAAAAGTTAAAACAACAATAACTATTAACTTAAGATAAATACTAATAATTAAAGTAAATATCTTATATCTAACCATCACTAGCGATAATTCCTTTTTACTAAAAATAATATAGCTAATAACAGAGCTATTTATAATAATTTTTTATACCAAAATTAAAAAAACACAGGATGTCAAGTTATAGACAAATATTAGAATAGCATAACCTAATTATTGTAACCTAGCCATAACCTAACTTAACTAAAATTAATTAAATTAAGATATAAAATTCCTTAACTAACTTTAGTTAAATTAAATTAAAATTAATTAATTTCCTAATTATAATTAATTATAAATTAAAATAAATTAGATTATAATTATTAAATTAATAATTAATATATAATAGTTTTACTATATTTATTATATTTTTTTTAATTTATTTATTTATA